CCTTTTGTTCCTTCATCTCCAATGCCTTGTCTCCTCCTCCGCTTCGCCTATCTCTGTAAAATCGTCTGCCTCTGCCCTCCCACTGCCCACCCGCGTCCCGCCCCATGTTATGGGCTTATCCTCGCGGTGAAAGAGACTCCTTATGAACCTAGATTTGATCAGTTTTGCTACTTTCTCCTTTTCTCTTTTCAAACCCAGATATTTTGTTTATCTTGTCTTTTCTTTTATCTTTTCTCCCCTTCCTCAAAGAATGCTTTCCGCTATACGGACGCGGTTGCCTTTTTTTTCTTTGTTATGGTGACCTTGAAATCTGGTCTATCATACTTTTTGTGTTCCCGTTCCTCGCTCTTGCTCGAGGTATCGAGGTCTTGTTCCCTTGTACTACTCTTGTTAGAATTCATACCCAGGGCTTGCTGCTCTACTGGACACATCCCCCCATTCTGTCATTACCGCCCCTTCTCGCCATAGATCTGTTTCTGCGTGACGAATTATGTCTTCCATAATCAGAACTATCTCTATCTACAAATGGATGCCTGCGTTGTTTGTGCTAATTGAAGTTGAGTTGAATCTTTGATTTGAGATTCTCGAGTGTTTTTTTTTTTTTTTTTTTTTTTGCACTCCGTTGATAGTTCTTTACTTTATACAAGTTGTACGGAGATTGGGAGGGTTTGAAGCTTATGGTTACCAGAGGAGAGAATAAAAAGTGGGTTTCATACAGCTCCGGCGGGGAGATTTGTGTCATTATGTCTTGTACTTTGCTTTCTTCGCTGTACGTTGTCTAGAATGAGATGCGAACGCTCCGTTTGATAAAGGAATGAACCGCCATCTAGGCTGATATCATGCGCCGTTAAATGTTCTCTCTCTCCTCCATTTATTGTGGCCCTTAAGGGCTTGTAGAGATGGCATGCATCACGTACACGGTTCCCTTGCTGGAGTCAGCATGTTGAGGTTTCTCTCAATCTGGACCGAGCTCACGCGATGCATTTCCACCGCTCGGAATGCCAGTAACCCTGAATCGCGACAGGTAAGACTGACGATAGGCAAAAACATTGGAAAGTCTCAGCCTATCCACGCAATCCTGCAGCTAGCACAACTCGAATTACCCTGCCGGCGAAGGGAACCAAAGTCCGATATGCTTCAGGACAGAAACACTACCACAATCAGCACCACCTCCCACCAAACCCAGAAAAGAAGAATATAAACTCACCTGAAACCCTGAAATCCTCAAGCCCACTTATCATGTTTCCCACTAACCTTAACATCAAGCAAGACCTCGTGGAAATTCCCCTCCCTCCTCCCCTTCCTCAACCTCCTAACCTCATCCTCATCCAACACCCTCCCAACAATCCCCTCAAGTTCCTTCTTACTAATCTTCTCATACGCCTTACTCTCCTTGGAAGCCCGCAACTTCGGCTTAAACCTCGCCTGCATGCGCACGCGCACGGTCGTCTCAAAAGAAATCGTATTCGCGTCTCCGCGGATCTCAACGCCAGACGCAGCTTTGGATTTCTCTTTAATAGAGAGGAAAGACTCGCCGTCGCCGCCGTGTGTCTGAAGTGAGAATGTCCCTGAGACTTCCGGGGAGGGGATTGCGAGGAAGGACTCGTAGTGGCTCACTGCCGAGGCTGTTGCGGTGAAGAGGCCGTGTGTGTCTGAGGAGAGGTATCTGCGATTGGAGAGGTTGGTTGTTAGTTTTGGATTAGAAAAAAAATAAAAATAAAAAACAACGGGAATAGGAATTGGGGATTATGCATATGCATATGCCGCGATAAAACAGTTTCATGTACTCACTTTCCATGGTGTCCCTTGAAACTGAATGACTCCGTCCCCGCCACCCGCGACGCGACCCAAACCTGTCGCACATCGTGCGGTTCCGCTGTGCTGGGGTCTCCGTCGACGAGGTTTTCGAGCTTGCTGGCGAAGACTTGGCCGTTGGCGTCGCTGGCGACGCAGGTTGGGTCGTCTGAGGGGAGGACTATGACTACTGGGCCGGCGATGTCGCTTGGGGAGTCGGCGGAGACCCAGCTTTGGTCTTCTGGGTTGTCTTCTGGTTCGGGCTCGGTTTTGCGTGATTTAGCGGTTGGGGCTTCATTGTCTGTGGTGCGAGTCTTGCGCTTCTTTGGCTTGTCGCCTTTGAATGTTAGGGGTTTGACCATTGTGGTTGGTTTGGGGAATTGGGTGGTGATGGTTGTTGGAGCTTGGGTGGAGAGTTTGCGGCGGGGAGAGGCCGGGCTTGGCTGATGACGGAGTATGCCGTTTCTGGACTTCCTTTCCTCGGTTTGGATCTATAGTCTCATGTTTTGTTAGTATAATCCCCTTTTTAATATGATATTGCTAGTCCTATTTGATGATAATACTATTAATTTCAAAAGTACCTTGTTGGTCTATCAAGGTCCTCACTTTCGAGTACATATAAAGTCAGGATGCCCCATAGTTCCAGGAAGAGAGTCAATTTATTAACCGTCCTCTATGAGAATGTACTTTGTATGATGAAATTCACAGGGAAATCCAGATCTAATCGAAGGTAATGGCAGCCTTGATAGCAGTCTTGTTACGCATCGCCTCAAGACACTCCTCCCACTGCTCAATCTTGTACACCTTGTTCACGATGCCATCGACCTTTACCTTGCCGGAGTCAAGATAGTCAACAGCAGCAGGGAACTTGTAGGTCTCAGAGAAACTACCAAGGATAGTGATCTCATCACCAACTGGAATGAAGTCAGCAAAACATCAAAGCTCAAGAGAAAGCGAACAAGAAAACTCACAGATCTTAGCCGGCGACCATGACACCCGAACCTCGCTCGAGTACACGCCATACACCACCAACTTACCACCACGACGAACATAGTTAATCGAGTCCTCGAGAATCTTCTGGCTACCAGTAGCCTCGACAACAATATCGAATCCGTACGGGTTCTCAGCCTTGAGAGCATCGAATTGAGCCTGGGGACTCTCACGCGACAGCTCAATGTATTTATCACCAGCACCAAGCTTCTGAGCCAAATCCATCTTCAGACCTCCAGGAGCAACGACAATGACATTGCAGCCACCATTCTGGCGCAGCATCTGAGCCAATACCAGACCGGTAGGACCGGCGCCGAAGATCAACACGGATGAGCCCATCTTCGGGGCGATCTTGTCCAGACCATGGGCTGCACAGGAGGCGGGCTCGAGGAGAGTTGCGTCGATGTCGGAAAGGTTCTTAATCTTGAAGACTCGGCCAGCTGAAAGGAAATCGCAAATCAGACTTGAGAGCCCGGTACGCTTTTGATATGGTCTACTTACCAGGGTAGGCACAGTACTCAGCGAAACCGCCATTCATAGTCACACCATGAGCCTCGAAATGCTCGCAGAACAACTCATCGCCACGACGACAGTAGAAGCATGTTCCGCACAGCTCGGAATTATCGGCGACGACTCGCTCGCCGATCTCGAAGTCTTTAACCTTAGGTCCAATGGCGGCGACTACGCCCACGGTCTCGTGGCCGGGGATCAAAGGGAACTACGGACTGGTCAGCATGCCAATTCACGATGAGCGCTTATTATAGTGCGAAAGATGTACCTTGGCAATGAATTCACCCTCGTGGATGTGCAAGTCAGTGCCGCAGACACCACAGGCCTTGACCTTGATCTGATGGGGGGTTGGTCAGTCCGCTTCCGCGCAAATTGATGGACGACTTCATACCAAGACATCATTCTCGCGGATCTCAGGCACAGGGACCTCAACAATCTTGTGCTTCTTGGGCTCTGAGTACTGCAGAGCACGCATGGTCTTTGGGATTGAGGTGGCCATGATTGAAGGTAGGATGTGTTATGAGAAAAGAGAAGGGAAAGGTTAATGGGATACCAAAAGCTTTTGGAATGAAAAGAGGGGGAAGCAAGATGATCAAAGCAGTATATATAGCTTATGAAAGAGGAGGAAGCTTTTCTCAAACCCTTTTACCAAAGCGCCCCATGCGATACTCAAACACCCTCGTTCAGACGAAGTATACAGATCAGTGTCACTTGCAATTCGATGTGGGTCGAGATCGGCGTTATTTTCGTGCTTGCAGCCGGCTCCACTAACATGAGGGATCGTTATCTATTCGGTCTCTCATCTCTTCAACTATTTTGAAATTTCAAACATGGGGTTTACGTTTGCGTTTACGTTCGCGCCAAGTGAGGTCGGATTGGGAGAAGCCCGCGGAGCTCAGTGCAGGGGTTCATCCTGGGCTTCAGCAGTCATGGATCTTGTATAGATCTTGATTGATGCGATTGGCCGTTGATGTGTCATTTTTATTGCATCTATCACTACAATGACTCCAATGGATGTCTAGATCTCGCGAACGGCTCCATTTACAATCTAGACAACCAAAACACCGAGTACCTGTCAGCACCGATATCCCAGACATACCAAACCCAAAAAGACAAAAGTCTCTTCCCCAACAGCTGACCAAACTCCTCGGAAAAAGCGAAACGAAGCCAAAAGAAAGCCCCAATCTCACACCAAGAACCCCAATCGACTCACCGATCCCTTCCCCGCGATACCCGCCACTAAAAGAAGCAATTCCCAAACCAGAATCATCAAACCCAGATCACGCGGAGACGGGATATAACTGATAGCTTAAATTTGAATCCGGGGACTGCCAGAGCTGTCAAATGAGGCGTTCAAATCGATCCATCCAGACTTCTTGACCGCTGCGGCAAGAGCGGGAAGTTGGCTCCGGACGGATACTGCAGATGGACTGTGTGATTCCGGTGTCAATTGGTTAATTATATAATGGATACCCTTGGATACGTTGTTCTCGGCTATTCTGTCATAAAGTATATGCGTCACTTCGGATATGCAGCTGCGTGCTTGGGGCTTGGTTTGTATTACTGGGGTTTACCCCGGATTTAGGGGGTTCTTATGCTTAAATTTTATCGCGGGGAAGTGCTTGGTTTACTCAATTGATCTTCTGCAACAGAATAAAACAATTCAGAATGCGTTGTTATATAGCACTGCATTGACTGAAGTCCTCTTACTTCTCTAATCCAAGCTTGTTAGACTGATTGACAAACTCCTCAAATAGCTTGTTGAGCCCTAACATGCTCAATGTATCCTTGTCATCATCCTGATCCATAAAACAGAGCATATTGTGGATTTCAAACGTGATAGCCAGCATGAACCCTAACTCGGATTCCTTAAAAACCTGTTCCCCTGTGTCTGAGTCACCAGTTTGTTCATTCCATTGCTTCGCATATTCCTCGCAGAAGTGCCTCTTCTCATCTTCTGTGTAAGGTCGACAGTTTGCAATCTTGTTCTCCTCGTCAAACCACTGGAACATCTTTTGCAAAAAGTGTCCACCAATATCGAACCCTCGGTAATTCTGAAAGACGAATTCGAAATCTATAAGGATGATCTTGCTTTCTCCTTCCTTGGGACTGTTCTTCACCATCGTGTTCATGAATTGAACATCGTGGATGCACCATCCCTTTTTCCCTTTGATAGCTTCCAGTCTGTTGATGACTTGTCTTATTCGAGACACGAAGTCGTAATCAACAAGATTGTCCATATTGACACCTCCTTCGTTGGCTAGCCTCTTTAGCTTGTCCATCTTGTGATATCTTGCAAGTTCTCCGGCGACTGCATCGTAGTATAGCTGAACCGGTTTCTTCTCCCGATGTGTTGCTAAGGTATGAAAAACGGCATTTTCTCTCGCAACCTCAGCTCGGATATTCGCGTCTTCCACATCTGCTGGCTCCAGATTGCGTGCATCTAAGAACTCATCGATCCTTCCGAACGTGCCATCCTGTGTCTGGAAGAAACCATATACCTTGGCACCAAGACCGAATTGGGCGTAATCGTGACATAATTGTGCCTCTTCGTGTTTGGTGGGAACTAGGTGCTTGAACACCTCAATTTCTCCGTCAAGTTCGCCGTGAATCTTGAGGAACACCTTAAGAGGCTCTGAAGGTGTGGCACCCTTTGGCTGAGGCCGTTCCACTACACAGTTTGTGTTTGCGTATCCCGTATTGCGTGTCACTATTAGCGTTTCTGGATCCACGTTTGGCCACTCGTTGGTGAGAAACGTGCTGATAATATCTTTGACCATAGACTTGGCCAGTGAGCCATCTTTTGGAATGGTCATAGGGATGTTTGTCATGGTTGACATCTTGTCTTGTCCGTGTGAGGCGATGATCTACAGGGTCTGGTTGTTAAACAATCTGACAAATGACAGACATAAGATGTAGACGATTTCTTCACATCGATAGAATGGGACTTCGAACTTTATCTGTTTATAATTCTCTCCAAAGCAAAACCATGGAAGGATGTACTTCTGTTTGTGAGTCATCCGCGGAGGTTGCCTAGCGGTCATGACTCGACGATCCCAGTCGGAACACACTGTACTCGCGGCATCCGCCAACGGGAAGCAAATTATTCTGCCTCTATCAGAAGGCCACACAAGCGGTCGACTATTCTTGTACCCTCCAACACGAAGGTTGGGTATTTCAAGAGTAGTAGATGCTTTAGCCTAGGTTTCCAATCCGAGGCCTGAAATCCCCTATTGACCCTAATGTATGCCTTTCTAGGGTCTCTTCCTCTCTCTACATATTTAGATGATTTTTGGAAGTTGCATATAAAAGTCCTGTAGGTGTCTCCATAAGTATACACATTAATTAAGAGCTTTATGTGAAAGGATATCTAAATGCAGTATGTTGTCATTCCACACGCAATATGCATCTGTCCAATGTATGCAATCGCTTTCTACCGCTTGGTGCTGGTACTGTTCTTGAGCATCTCTTCCAAATGCTGCAAGCCAAGTTAGTCATATGATCTTTAATAGACACGATTCAAATGCTTACCTGCTTCTGCTCAACTGCTAATTTGCCTTGGGTATCCTGTTTCCAATTAGCGCGTGTTTCCCAAAACAAAGAGACAGCAACATACGCTAATGATGGTTAAAATCAATGAATAATTGTTGAAGAGGAATCGCTCTCTTCGCTTTGCGTCTGTGCCGTTGCGACTCAATTTTGCCAAAAGAGAATCGAATTCGGCAGTCAACCGGGCTAGACTGTTGGACACCGGCTCATCATCACCAGCATCGCTGCTAAGAACAAGGATTCCATGAAGAAGCTGTCCAAATCGCTGAGTCAAGAAGTGGGGTGCCGAAGACTGCTTCAGGTCGTCTCCGCCTGCAATCGAAAGAGCAGATACAGCACTGCGCCCAGTGTTGGATCCAACTCGCTTGAGCGAGTCGCCGTGGTAATCCATGATCACCTGGAAGCGCGGCCAGAGCTGCATGTTGGTTCCATTAACATACGAGTCGGCGACAGGCACCTTTCGGCGCTGAAGCTCAAACGCCGAATGTTGGTTGAGGCGAACACACATAAGGACACCAAGAGAATCGGTGGTGTGCTCGATTAACTTCTTGGTCTGGTTCTGGCCAAGAGTAAAGACCTGCTGGAATATTTCCACGGCATTGCGAGAGATTTCATGGAAGGTCTTTGGGGAGAAAAATTCAGTCAGGAAAGAGTACTCGGCGCACACATTGTCCACCAATGCGAGGTTGAAGTTTCGGAACGGAACTTCGATTCCATGGTAGGTATTGTCCTCTTCGGCCAGATATGAGGATAAGGCCTGGAGATTGCCAGTTCGGAGGACATCAATACGTCTACCCAGGGAGAAAGGGTCATGTACGGCAGAGCCAGCTCGGCCGCCAGGCATCATATTCCCTGAAATAATCAGTATATAGATGGCATCAAAGAAGCATAGCTCTTACCTGATCGATGTGTGGATGGATCACCTCCAAGCACCTCATTTCGGTCAGGAGGATAAACTTTGACCTTATCGAGTGCTTGAAGGTAGCGTGTGAAATGAGATGTGTAATACCAGCGCATTGTGTTGATGTAGGCCTGTGATATCTCTCCTGCCAGCTTTGGGTGGACCTTTGAGAGATAACTGTATAGATCTTTAAACTTCACCAGTCGCTGTTGTTGGATAATCTGAGAGTTGATATTTGGTGATCGCATAGCACGAATTTGTGACACAAGGTAGTCTCTGATCCTTTGGACCGCCTGTATAGATGTCAATATAGGTCTAGATAATTTGAGTGCAGCATACTCACTTTAGTCTTCACATCAGTTAAAAGGGGTCGTACATCCTCGACGGCTTTATAGCCATTGGAGGAAGCGGCGGCCTTTGCTTCAATATTTGCTGTTCGAGAATCGACCTCGTTCAATGCACGCACCCAATTCTCATCAATTGGGCCCTCGACAATTGTCCGAACAGCCTTAGGGGAGATACTAATCTCCTCCACAGCGGGTCCTAGCAACCGTTCCACGTTGCGCCTATTCTCTAGCATCGCGTTCAATTGTGTTGAGCGAGATTGCAAGGTTTCAATTTCCGCTGATACGGCACCCAATTCATTCTGGAAATCATTCAAGTACAGCTCAACTGACTTGGACACCTCATCACATCCAGTAATGGATGTGTGTAGCTCTTGAAACTTATCTCGCTCTTGCTCAAACTGCTGAACAGTTTGCGCGTTAACATCACTTTCGCGGGTCTTTTTCTTTGGTGCTGGGTCTTTCTTTTCCAGAAAGTCTTCGAGACTCAGCCCGTCGAACCGGATGGCTTCCACCAATTGCCCTGGTCGTTCCGGTACTGACGATAGCTGCGGCACATGCTTATCTGTTTGGGTTTCCTTCCCAATTATTTCATTCAAGACTTCCAGCGGATCCGGGACATTGGCCGGTCGAGGTCGTTGAATACTCGTCTGTTTTAAAGGAGAGCCATTGGTTGCCCGTGCAGTTCCTGGGAGAGATGCTGTAGAGTCGTTGGGGGTCGCGAGAAGAGATGTTGATGAAGTTCTAGATGTTACACCAGGGCGGCTATTGTAGGGACTTGAAGATAGCTGGGAGGATGATCGTTGCGGTAGAGGAGAAAGGTTGCGGCTATTGGCTCCGGAGGGAGTTGACTGAACTGAAATGCGGTCGCGCCACATTGTGTAAAGGGATGAACGGCATAGGAATTCCGAACCAAATCAAGAAATCCAGAGTATACTCCGGAAAATCCACCAAGTAAGCTCAACAATAAGGTAGAACAGTTGTAGTTGCTAGGTTGTTTCAGGACACTCGGACACTCCTGCTATATACACTAAACCCAACAAGGTGGACAACCCTCCATGACCAATCAACGTCCAGTAAGCGACCCCGCCACAGCGTCGCCGCCCACGATAGATTTTAGTTCGTTTGATTTTCTCTCTCCTCTTTTCTTCACTTTTCCCCTCCCCAAATTTTTCGAAAAACCCCCCTCTTTCAACCCCTCTAAATCTATTCACCATGTCTGCCGAGGAGGTACGTACTTGCCCTTACAAATTCGAGATCTCCCAATGGCTGTCTTGAGGATTTCTGGCCCAGCCCCGCATGCGGCTCCCCTCCTCTTCTCTTCTCGAGGGCACGAGGCCATATTGGACTCTTGACCCCGCCATGTTGACAATTTTCGAAGCGCTTGCTAACATGATTCACTACAGCACGATGTCACTTTCGATTCGGCTGATGCCGGAGCTTCGCTCACCTTCCCCATGCAGTGTTCTGCTCTGCGCAAGAACGGCCACGTTGTGATCAAGAACCGCCCTTGCAAGATCATTGACATGTCTACCTCCAAGACTGGAAAGCACGGTCACGCCAAGGTTCACTTGATCGCCACCGATATCTTCACCGGCAAGAAGCTCGAGGATCTCTCCCCCTCCACCCACAACATGGATGTTCCCCACGTGATCCGCAAGGAGTACCAGCTCGTGAGTTTCCCTGATGATCTGAAATATGGACTGTATTGTTGACCAATATTAGCTCGACATCACTGAGGATGGCTTCATGTCCCTCATGACCGATAACGGTGACACCAAGGATGATGTCAAGGTCCCCGACAACGAGGTTGGTGAGAAGATCAACCAGATGTTCCTTACCGAGGAGAAGGAGTGCAGTAAGTTACAACGATATTCAAATTTCCCAGGGAATCATTACTGATCTGGTACCATTAGACGTCGTCGTCCTTACTGCCATGGGCGAGGAGGCCGCCATGGAGTGCAAGGAGGCTCCCAAGTCTGGTTAAATTTAATACCTGGATTTATTACCTGTTATGCCAACCTTTATGTTCCACGAGGGCTCAAAGCCCGCCAAAAATTTTATCTTTCATGGTTCAAAGGAGGATACGATTCTTTGAACGATTATGCTCATTGCTTCAAGATCTGTCCCCCACATAACCTTGGATGTGGGCTGGACCGAGAATTGCTTTGGTTGGCATGATATGTGTTGTCCGAACAGTTCTGAGTCTCAGCATCTCATGATAGTGTGATGAATGAATAAATACTCAATCTTGCTTGACTACCCTGATGGTTCTAGTAAATTATAAGTAAATTATATCGTAGATGAACGGAGGAGCTTGGTTACTCCATTACACCCAATCCGCAGTAAATACTTCATACACAAGTGTAACACCAGAAAACAAAACAATAAAAAAAAGTACATAAAAAGTACATAAAAAGTACAAAACCCTTTCAATTTAATCGTCTTAAGGTAGTCAACGGATCAATCACAGCGCGCGCATTGCGGGACGTGTGGAGCGAGAAAAACGGCGGTCACTAGGAGGCAGAAAAAAAGTCCCGCCATCTCGGTATACCAACCCTTCCTTGTCAAACAAGCATGAACAAATCCCTTGGGGATGGACTACGTTACCCGAGGGGTCTGCGGTCAAGAAGGTTGCCGTGAGACCCGATATTATCTCGACAATGGACTTTGGTATTGTCGGCGCGGTCATTTGCAGGAGGTATGACGCTTTCTGAACCTTATCCTATCACCGCATCAAATGTCAAGAGGAAGTTCACAGCTAATGTGGATATACGACATATGTAGGGTGTTCAAGTTGCAGAAGATGCCGATGATTTTGGAAATCTAGGCAAAACACATCGCCTGAGGAAAGAAATCAGGGAGAAGACCAGCAAGAGTATGTAATTAACAGTTTGGAAATCGTTCTCTTCGCTAACTTTTGTCAAAAGCACTTCGTGGCCGTCCGGCCTACACGCTTTTCTTGCAAATTTACCAGCTTATCCTCTGGAAACAATGTCATGCCTTGGTTAATGAACATGGTTTCCCAGAGGAACTTGAGGTATGTGCATATGTTGCTTCATGTGTTTAAGAATAAAAGCTCATTATAGATTAGGTTGTTGTTCGCGATCTCTGGGCTCTTCGTTTGCAAGATTTCGAAATGAGACTCACTGATGCTACTGAAGATGACGGTGATGATACCGAATCTGAGCTATTTAGCTCACAACCTGCAGGGAAAGAGGAATCCCGTGATGGATTTAGACCAAACTCGAGATATCTCGAATGGCCTCGACTGATTGATTCTGTTGCACTTTGTTATCTCGCAGCGTTTTTGATGCGGCTTCCTGTCAGTGTCATTGATTTTTACGAGTATGTATTTTCTTTCCTCGGTGCAAGCGCGGTGGATTGCTACTAAGTTGCGCAATACTCACATTCTATAGTATGATAATGCGGCAGAAGATTCCCTACGCTCGAGTCCTGGCAACAATCCCTCGGGAAATGAGGGAAAGGCTTCCGCCAGAGCTGACTGCGATCCTTGAAGTCAATGTAAGTGTAGTCTAACTCTAGACCATTTCCGGGTTGACCTTGACTAATTTTGACAAAGACGATACCTAATGCCGAGCGTTTCCACCGTGGCATTCTAGCAATAGTGCTGTTCTATCAGCGCCGATTTGAATTGGAACTTCCTGCATTGAATTCGCCCATGGTCCTTTTCCGGCACATCAAGAGATTAGCTTTACCAAGTATGAGAAACCGCCTCCACGTGGTTGTCTTAGCTAACAATTTTTAGTTGAAGTATATGATGCAACTAGGATCTTACAAGATCTACTAGGCTTCACATTTCAATATCCGACAACAACTTCATCCGATGGCCGAAAAACAGCACTTCTTCTTCCCGACTTGCAATTGATGGTCCTAATCGTCATTTCTACGAAACTACTTTTCCCAATCGATGATTTGAAAAGGTATCCTACTACAGCTAAAGAGCCCGCTGCGCAGGTCATGGACTGGACCCACTGGGCACGCGCCCAGAATAATTTCGATCATGATCAGCCGTTTGGGGGGAAGATTGGGAAAAATACTGCCATTCAGATTACAGACCAAGATGTGTTGAACATGACCTCTGCCCAGTTAGACCATTACATGGACTGGTACGAAAGCAGTTGGCTGGACACTTCTAAGGAACCTAATCGCATCGCCGAATTGTTTCCCATCAGTCGGACAGAACAAAATATCCAACCAACCTCTCCCGCTGGCCCAGAACCATCCTCTACTTCTGTTCCAGCTGATCCAGCACTTCCTCCTGGCTCTCTTGACCCTGCTGCCCCGGAATTATCCTCTACTTCTGCCCCTGCCCTTCGTGATGCGACTCAAGACAAGCTCGAGCTTTTACTACGAACAGTCATGCAAACTCTCAGAGCCAGAAGAGTCATCCCTGACGACGATGAGACCGATCACAGGCGTCCCGGCGAGTGGTATCACCGGTATCGATGGGAATCACATCTCAGTGGCCCCGCACGGACTCTTTATGAGCTAGCAGCACAGCTCGCTGCAGTCCCATTGAAAACCTTTGTCCGTGCTGTCACAGTTGTTGAGTTTAGGATCGCAAAGCAGGATGAAGAGCGACAGAACAGAGAGTACTTCGCTAGTTTGGGAACGGAAGGAATGGACACTGACGAAAGCGATGAAGATCACACGTATAAAATAGCTGATTTTGAAGAGGATATGTCTGATGCGGAGTCCGAAGATATGGACGACGATGATTTCTTGTCCAACTCAAAGATGTGGTCGACTATCTAAAGCTGAGGAAGTCCGTTGTATCATATGCATGGCGTTGGGGCTTTGGGATCATGTATCTGGCGTTCACCTTTGTACAACCTTTTATCTCTACATAGTACAATTATTTGATTTCCCAAGGTTGCTATGAACTATTATTGTCTTTTCTCAACATATTGATATTTCCAGCTGAGCTGATGATCGAAAGATTTGTTGCATTCGATTAGGAAATACCATTGAAAGCTGAAAATATGCCTCATTTATTTTTAGTAGAACATCAATGGATCTCCAGGGCTACTATACCTGACGTAGGTCGATGCACTGCCAAGTTATCATTGGCTGGGTCGACCGGGGTTGCTTATGTAATGTACAACGAAAACGGGCAGAAACTAGGGCTTAGGGTACCCCGATCGGTCCACCTTTGCTAAGCGAGCGAAATCCTCAAATTGACAATCGACAGCTCCGCCTGGAACACAGCGACCGACAGCCGACAACAACGAAAACTCGCAACCAGTACGTCCCATACACCCCGTGCAACAGCGTCTATGCATCGCTATGGACTCAGTGAGCTAACATCGTCTTTTTCCGCGCCGTTTCAGTGCAGATGTAGGTCATTCTGAACCCCTCGAATGTCATCGCGAACCACAATCCCGATCCATCGCCGATACGACCCAAGCCTATGGAGGAAAAATGAATATGGACTAATACGGTGCGATATAGTTTCGTCAAGACCCTGACGGGTAAGACCATTACCCTCGATGTCGAGTCGAGCGACACCATCGACAACGTCAAGACCAAGATCCAGGATAAGGAGGGCATTCCCCCTGACCAGCAGCGCCTGATCTTCGCCGGAAAGCAGCTCGAGGATGGCCGCACCCTGAGCGACTACAACATCCAGAAGGTAGGGATCGACCTTCAACCTTTTTGATTTGGACCAAAAGTGGGGGCGTTTGGTATCCCGGGTGGATCGGATCATCCGACATGTTCTTTGTCCAGAGATAACTCTGCCCACGGATACGCAAGAGGAGGAATGATCGCTTCGCGCTATGGTCTATGGTCCGCGACATGGTGGAACATTCGCTAACATGCGATATCAACTCGTTATAGGAGTCCACCCTTCACCTTGTCCTGCGTCTCCGTGGTGGTATCATTGAGCCTTCCCTCAAGGCCCTTGCCTCCAAGTTCAACTGCGACAAGGCCATCTGCCGCAAGTGCTACGTACGTTTACCCCGCCTCTCCGCCTTTGCCCGATACTCGTCATGAACCCGCCTTTCGTGGCAAGGCGATCAATTACGTCAACACATATACTAACTCCGACCTTGTACAGGCTCGTCTCCCTCCCCGTGCCACCAACTGCCGCAAGAAGAAGTGCGGACACACCAACCAGCTCCGCCCCAAGAAGAAGCTCAAATAGACGACTCGCTCCTCGGTCTTGTGCTCGGCGTGCTGTGGTGCAGATTCCAGAGATGGGGATTGGCTGGACTGCTACATGGAGAGGATTACAAATGGCGTTAGATATGATGATAAAATCAATGCAGCCACAGTCATACTTTTTCTAGTTGGCTCCTCTCGACGACCAAGTTGCACTCCATGAAATGAAATGTGTAAAATTCAAAAAGTCGAATTGTTTCACGTCTCCAAATTCCATCTGCGATAAATACAGAGTACAATACATGCATGCGTTCAATAACACGACTAGAAACCTCGAGCTGCGAACCCTTGCTACCTGAGCAAGAAAAACGGGATGACCAGTATCCCAGATGAAAGCCAATGGTCCTTCCTCCCCCGCTTATGCCCGGAACATCATCCCTTTGTTGTCGTCAGTCTTCTTATCGTCGTGATCCTTGTCCTTGTTCTTTTTTGAGACGGGGCTCCCGTGACTAGTAGATATGTCAGTTCAGGGTCGATTCAACTGTCAGAGAAGAACACAACTTACGCAAAGAAAAGCACCTTGATAGCAATAGCCAGTCCCGCATGTAGCACAACAACCAAGATCAAGAGGATCTTGCTAGCCTTGGCATCAGTAGCATTCAAGACAGGGTACAAGTTCCGCAGAAGGAAGAAAACACTCCAAGCGAATCCAACACCAACAAGCGCCCAGTTAAGCGCAGTCAACGGGCTCCAGCTAACCAGCGCAACAGCAATCCAAAACAAGTTGGAGTACCCATACAGAGCCCAGCACTCGATAAGGTCAGCCGTGGAGCTGCCGAACCAACGCAACGCACCCCACAGGGCAATAGGCAAGATACCCGTGTATCCGTAAATCAGACCAGCCGCGCCCGATAGCAGCGTGAAGTCATACTCGAAGTGCTTGTCGTCATTGTTCGACAGCCATTGCGAGATAGTGCCCGTCAAAAACAGGATAACAACCACCGTAGTCGCGATCCAGATCGGTCCGTACAGGTCTGCGTTACCCTCTAGCACATCGAGGAAGTTGGTGCGCGGGTACACTGTTGCCACGCAGCGACGGAATACCTCGTTCGTGTCGACGTCGAAAAAGCGCTCGTAGTAGTGCAAAGACCACCAGCTGTGCTTGGTCGGCGTACCGCCAGGGGACCGGTCACGGCGCGACGACCCGCCGCCCAGGAACGGGGCGGAATCGCCTTGGACTTTGGCAGTTCTTTGGTCGTTTTCAAAGTCTAGGTGGTAGGATTACTTAGTTGGAGAGTTTGGCTAGGCCGGTTTGCTTAGAGGAACTCACTGGAGGGGTGGAATTCGAGGTCTTCTTGTAGGTCAGTGTGGCCAAGGTCGCCCTGCTGATTTGTTAGATGAAATGTTATATTGTTCATTCAAGTGCGCTTACCTCTGCATCCACATCTACTACGACATCGTAGCCTCGGTTCGCCATTGTGGTTGGTTTTGGGGTAAGCTGTTGGAAGGGAGTTGTTAAGTGTACACATCAGCTTCCGCAGATAAAGCCACCGCTCAAGCCACAGCTGTGGGTACCACTACCCAGGTGTCATACATGAGATGAGTATCGAATAGTTATATATTATTTACTATAAATTGACTAGGCATTTTATTACATGTAAATCTTTTTAAGTTGCGATCTTCAGACACAGAGATTATAGCTTAGTATTATTAACTTTTTTTCTCATTATCATACACGTGCAATAGCACCAAGCATCCACAATACCTGAGTTTGAAGATTAAACCCAGGTTTGGATTGCCCTTTGAATTCGGCCAACATAAGACCAAATCGAGGCGTCAAGTCCCCTTTTGCGGATGTAGAAAGATGCAGCTCCAACCAAAATAGCCAACGCCACAGATCCCACTGAGCGACGGTGACTCCACAAGAAATCCAGGGCTCGTTTCCTGCGCTCTTCGCTTCGAATCTGTTGGGATTGCTTTTCAAACAAGTACACCGCGTCTGCTGCAGTGTACTTGCCATGTGGGTCTCGTGAAGTTTTGAGCACGCTGCACCAGGGAATATGTTTCCAGGCTCCAAGCGGTAAAGATTCCGGTGGGTGATCTTCAAAGAGCCGTGCTGCACGCAGAATGTGTCCGTCCAGGTCAAGTGGGTGTGGTAGCTTGGAGAGCGTAAAATGAAGCATCTCGGGCTCATCCGCTGGAATTTCCAGCAACTCTTTTTTCCTAGACAGGATCATTGCTGCGAAGAGGTAGATTGCAACCACGGGTTCCCGAGCTAAAAGAAAGTCGAAAAGTCGGGAAATGTCGCTGTACTCTTGAATATCATGGGCATACAGTGTTAGTGTAGCGGCGAGAGCGAAGAATGGTTCAATGTTGCCAAGGTGTCGTCTTAGCTCGGGGTCTGTTGTCTCGATGATTGAAGGGATGAGATGGAGATGTTTCACAGCCGGGGAGAGCGATGGTAGCATGTAGTCACGTATGCGGAAAAGAGATATCTGTGCCACTGCTGGCACAGCTTGTTTCTCGCCCAGTACCAAGAGAAGGACTTGGACTATATCGTGGTATCCCTGGAAATAACAAAGCATGGGATATTCCCTTAGTACTTGAGTTATTAGGTTGGAGAGCTGCTGTTTCTTTCTCAACATTTCCTCCTCGGGGGCTAGATTTTGTTAACATCCAATTCTGTCTTGCACGGAGGTTTCTAATAGCATACCTTTTGGGTAGTAGACAAAAGACCGGTTGACGTCGAGTTCTACCTGTTCCTCGTCGACATGGCGTAAAAGTTCAGGACTTGAAACCGTATCAAATTGTTGCCTTTGTTCATCGCATCGTAGCAAAATAGGCCCTGTTCACCGGTTAGTTAAGTCCACATGCATGTATGCCTTTATAGACCGTTATATTCCATAGCAACTTACAAGCTATCTGTCTCAAGTCGTCTTCAAGTAGCCCGCCTTCTGAAGTTGCGTGCGCAGCCAAGGCTTCCACATCGCGCGTTGCACATGCTTTGCGGATGGCCCTCACCTTTTCTGCTCGAGCCATTCCTTTTTCTCCTTTATTCACTTTAGGATTTTTGAAGGATTCCTCCGACGCAGATGTGTCCTCAAAGCTGGGATGATTCTGTTCTTTTCCGGTATCTTTCATCCTTCATCTGCTAAGATATCACCTTCCAGGAGATCAAGCAGTTAAGTTGCACATGCACAAAAAGATGAAGTTATCACTCAGTTTGTTTCTCGATCTGAATGAACAAAATTCACGTGGTACGTCTGGATTTAGCTCAACAATGCCGAGGGCCGATCGGATATAGATCGACTAGAGCTTCAAATTTTTCACCGGACAACGAAATGACGTGTCCAAAACAACGACACAATGCCAGTCATGTGAGATAATGGCATTAATTTTCAAGATTGAGGTCTCTTTGAACGTGAACTGATGATTCTCTAGGCACATATACCCAGACGTGGAAGGTCTGAAGTCAAGGCGGCGGAGTCCCACTTGAGAACCTCAGGCATCGATCGGCAGCCGCGAGATGTTTTCGCCGATAACAACATTCACCATGTGCTAGGCTTAGGCACAACGCTACAGCTTAATAGCTTTGCGGTATTCATCGCAATATCTCGGACACATATAGCTGTGTACCGTGTTGTACCGCCCTTGGAAGTCCACGGTTTCTAGGGTTGCGACAGCTCACCGACGGGTGGTGATTGCATAACTCCGCAATTGGCTTGCTTTCCGAGTTGTCTGCCAGTGACAGTGTTAGCTCTGTGGTAAAGACTTGCTTCCTAAAGGGAAACCAATGGAGCTTGTGACTGATATTTTCACATCTTCGAGAGCTGCTACTACTGTACAGCGTTCTGGCAAGCTGTAAGTCTCACATTGATATTTGTTCCTCGTATGTGGGGTACTTTGGTTAATAAAGATATCACAGGGCTTGTCTGGAACATACTTGACTGTGGAGTCATTGATAACTGCCTGTGGTCTCTTCAGGCTCGCGTTGTGCATCAGACATCAATTCACAGCCAATATCGCATTTGGCAGTCAATGCATAAATCGCATTTGAGATATTCCACCCTTTGAAGTATGAAGACAGGTGGATCTCACAAATATCAAATGCCCGTTTCTTGAATGCAAAAAGTCACAGGAAGTGTGGTGCAATTCAAACTAATCTTGGGGCTTGTTGCGCCTCAGGCCATTGCCTGACCGGCTCTTGATATTGCCTATTTCCTATTTCCTGTTTCCCTTCCAACTCACTCACTTACAACTCCGCCTTCTATCTTCTTGTTCTATCTTTCGTCCCTCTCTCGTCCCTCTCTTCGAGTTTCTTCACATCTCTCTACCCCGCTTCATGCCTTTGGCTTCAGCATCACATCCTCGTTTGCTCTTCTTTGTTTTCGGTTTCTTTTGAAACCCACCCAATTACTGCAATGTCTGACAACCAGCCCGACATGCTTCCAACGCGTCTGCATGGACTGCTTACCCAGCCATTGATTCCCAGCCCTGTTATCAACTGGATCCTTCCAGCGCGTCTTCGAGATAAAGACCACAACGATGTGGTTTTCATTGGAGAGCGGCGAATTCAAATCAAGGAAGCCCTGCCTAGTGGTCATCTTCAAGATGTCGTCGAAAAATCTGACCTTGAAGGCTCCATTATTGGGGCAAAGGTCATCAATGTAAGCACCCAAGGTGCATCAGGTTTGATGGCTCACTATTACGATAACGACAACAATCATCTGCCTCCTCAAATCCTTTTCCTTGCTACGGACTCAAATGAGCTCCTTTTCATGTACTACTCAGAGGTCGGAGACGGCCCATTTGTTTGCTACAATCGACCTCTGCCCCGCGATGTCAACATAGCCGACAAGTATGGCAAGCATATAGCTGTCGATCCCAAGTAAGTATCACCCATTTCCCAGGTTCTCAACTGAATTATGAAAGCTTACACCATGATCCAGATCGCGTGCGGTCGCAGTCAGCGCGTCGCGTAATTTTTTCGGTATCTTGTGGTTGAAATCTGCGGCCGAACTCCAGGCGCAGATGGCTCAGGGGAAGCTGAACCCACTTGAAAGTGTATGTTCTCACTACTATTTTATTTATCATACTTGATATTAACAATGTTTGAACAGGAAAGTTTCTTACAAGTGGATGGCGATATCTTGTTTATGGAATTCCTTTACCCGAAAGACGACAATGACAAACGGACCATTCTACTGCTTATTGTCTATAAGCTTGGCTCAACACGATCTATGGTCTTCGAGTGGAATGAAGACAGTATGCCCAGCCGCATGAGTCCCAAATTTACCTCAAATTTTCTGCCTCAGCAAGACCAGTTGCCTAGCATGGTCATCCCTTTGGCCAAAGAATCTTCCTACCTCTTGATTACCACAAATTCCATGGCGATGTACACTCCCAATTCCTCCTTTCGTCCGATGCGATACCCGCCAATCATTCCCGATACCGAATCATCCGAAGCTGGACTATGGACTCGCTTCGCTAGACCTTCGCGGAACCGGATGTACAGTCAGAGGTACGATGGAATCTTGCTCTGTCAAGAAAAAGGCTGGATCTATTATCTCGAGTTTGGCAACGATGGTGAACTTGAAACCCAGACTTCTTTGGGTCAACTCCACTGCGATGTTGACACTGCATTTGATATCCTTGATATGGGCTATGAAGGTGGTGACTTCATTATCGCTGCTGGAAGCCATGGTGGTGGTGGGTTGTTTGTCCAGGAGGCACGGGATCGCCCCATATGTGTTCAGCGATTCCTCAACTGGGCACCAGTTTCCGATGCAGTTATTATTCCCTCAAACCCCCCAGCCGTCTTGAAACATAATTCATATGATTACGATCGGCTCTTTGTCAGCTCGACCTCTGCTTCAGGCACTGGAGCTATTACTGAACTTCGATATGGCATTGAGGCTCAGATTGGTGTCTCAGCGGCATTGGGTGAATTGTCCAGCATACGTGATATGTGGGCTGTGTCATTCGGTGCTAAGGATTCAATCTACCTGCTTGCTTCTGATCCGCTTTCATCGATGCTTCTTCGTACGACTCCCGACATGAGAGATGGCATTACTGCGCTTGAGGACGATACAGGCTTGGACATTCAGCAGACTTTGGCAATGGACTGTACACCCTCCGGTGTTATTGTTCGGGTCACAGAAAGAGCTGTGCACTTTTTCGTTCCTACTGATTTTACTCTCAACAGCTGTGTTGAGCATGACCCCCATGTATTTGTCACAGCAGCCATTGTGGATGGCCCAAGTTCCACTGTGATCATGACTACAAGAAGTAACAAAGGGAATTTTCTCCATATTCTTCGGGTAGTCACGACTGAAGGATGTGCTTCCTCCCTATCTGATCATGAGCCTCCATACCCGCTCCAAAAAGAACCCATCTGCATCTCCTACCAGAATTGGGGAGAACTTGGATTCATTTTCCTGGGCACCAGCGATGGCACAGTGCTATCATTCGAAGTTTACAATGAGACTGGTGGAATCAGACAACATGCTGACACTCTTATTGAAATCGTCGACAGTCCAGAAGACGTGTCAGAACCAATTGAAAGCCTCGCTGTGATCAATACTCTCTCAGACGACGGGATTCACGCGTTCCTTTTCTGTGGGCTGCGAAGTGGCACACTTGTTCCATTCGAGATAGATACAACCATCGTGAATGTGCACGGTGACCCTGTCTTCGGTTTCAAATGTGAGTCACCTCGCGTTCAAATTATCGGTCCCCTTCATTAACCAGGTCATTTCTCTTCAGGTTTAAAACAAAGAGCGCCACACCATCTTGGGCAAACATCAATCATCGTCAAATCCTACAACAATTTTGCTTTGTTTACATGTGGAGATGATTTCTGGCGTGTGTCATATGCCCCGGATGGCAATGGCTCTGACTATTTCCTATCTCGTGTTTGGATTACAGATCAAAACTGTGTAAGTTACATCACATCCTGTCCTTTTGAGATATGGCCTAACATTCATGCCAGCCCGCATACTTCCCCACCAGATTCAGCAGCTTCGACATTGTCGATGTAAAAGATCGCTGGTCCGAGGTTCCAATTACATACTTGTTTTGTTTTGCAGATGGTCAGCTTCTGGTATGCTCTCTGGAACAAGAAGCAAAGGTCGTTCCCCGACGCATCGACATTCCCGGAAATCCCAGCAAGCTCACCTACTCCAACCATCTCCGGAGTCTCATTGTTTCATATTCTGTCGCCGAGGTCGGAAACCAAGCAAGGCCTTTTGATCTTTCCCGCACGGCATATGTCGAATTTGTGGACCCAAACACACAGTCGCCAGTAGTCTCTAACGACATGGACATGGTTTCTCAAGGCCTTCTTCCCTGGAGACCACATGGAGTTTCTGGTGAGAAAATCACATGCATTTTTGACTGGATGCCAGAAAGAGAGGGCAATGCATACCATCTTATCGCGATTGGGACTTCAATCAATCTACCTCACCAACCCAATAACTACCAAGGTCGATTGATGCTCATACAAGCGTCTCGAGATTCCAACTATCCTGGGCAGATCACTTGCATTGATAAGCACACACAACGGTTTAAGGACCCTGTTTATGCGATGGCGGCATGCGAGGATAGCTTGATTGTTGTCTCTGGGAAGAAATTCTTCACGGTTAGCTCACGAAACTCTCAAACAAAATGGGTTCGAAATATTACAGCGACCCTTCCATCTACAGCTGTCGCGATGGAGGTGCGAGGAAAGATGATCTACGTCACCAGCTCGAGACACTCCCTGCTGGTCTACAAGATTGTGGATGGGGACATCCAGATGCACGGGTTCGACCCAATTTCACGCGATGGTTTGTCTCACACTCTTATGCCCGGGTATGGAATTCAATCGGATCTCATTTTTGTGAGTACCCGAGGCGGGGCTACCCGGGCTTTCACAGACCTTGATCAACCAGGGGACCTTGTGCCACGTCCAACGGCCAATCTCCCCGTCTCATTGATCAAGCTCGCTCGGGGCATCAAGTCTCCAGATTCGCTGACGACCACCAAAACCTTTTATGGTTTCGGCATCAATGGATCGGTCTACAGACTCTTGGCCCTTGATGCAGAGGAGTTGCGCCTCCTTCAACTTCTGCTGAACATCTGCCTTAGGGACGAGGTCATCTGTCCCTCCCTGTCCCGCAGATATCGCTACCTTGATGCGATCAACCAGGTCGAGAACAACATGCATATCGACGGCAATATCCTAGCCCGCCTCGCCAGTCGCAACTCGAAATACCTGGATGAGATTCTCATGGCATGCAACAGGAGTCAGTTCAAGGACCTGACCCCCGAAACTGTGCACATGTTCTTCGGGGCAGTTGAGGACGTGCTTGGGGTTCATGTCAACCATACCCAGGCTCTCTTCAGCTGGCTCCGGAAGATGCTGCACATTGAGATCTAAATCTCAGGGTTGGGGGTTTAACCGGGTGAAGAAGTGTGGAGGACCAAGCTTGGAAGTACAGAGCCCTGGAGGTTTGAGTCAACTTGTGAGAGAGTGTCTATGCCATAGTTCAAATTAAAATGTTAGTAGTAATGTTTGAAGCTCTTTTTCTGGTAGATTAGCACACATGCGATATAATATATACTAGAAAAAAGTATATATTATCAATATATGGGGGAATTTAGCTAGTTCGTGGTTGTGGCAACTTAGAAAATGAAGTCCGATGCAATTGTTCCCCACTGTCCATGATTCTTCCCGAAATTCTTTTCCCTTCCCACACCCCTCCCTAGGCCCACCTTACAGAGAGCTCTATCTCTCGCCTTTCATTCTGGGGATTGTCCTTTTTTTGACTTCTGTCATCCTCTCCCTTTTAATACGTGTGCGTATTACCACAGGTCGCAAATAACCGGTTAGCTCCGTTTGTGCGCCCACTACATTTCTCCGGTCACCACTCCAATCGGATCATCAACAAACCCACCAAGGGAAATTCATCGCAATGGCGCCCAAGAAGAAGGGAAACAAGAGACAGGAGGAGGACTGGGAGGCCGACCTCGGCGAGTCTGCTCCCGCAGTTGCTCCCGCCGATGAGCAGCCCCAAGAAGATGCCAACGAGGAGGCTGCACCGGTCGGTGGCCTTATGGCTGCTCTGAGAAAGAACAAGGCCAAGAAGGCTAAGAAGGGCAAGACAAATGATTTTGTCGAGGGTGAGGACGCCGAGGGTGCCAACGCCGACCCTTTGGCTGGCAAGCAGCCCGAGGAGGGTAACTTCGATGATGACGATGTTTTCGCTGGAAAGAAGACCAAGCCCATCAAGGAGGTGGTTAAGCCCGCGGCGGAAGAGCAGCCCGAGGGCGAGTTCCGAGTAAAGAGTAAGAAGGAGAAGGAGCGTGAGAAGAAGGAGAAGGAGAAGCAGCGCAAGAAGGAGCAGGTAGGTTTTACATCTTTCTTCATACTGGAAATGCGTGCCTGGTGGCGAGACAATCTACTAATCAGTCCTTTTCTCGTCTATATAGGCTGCCACAAAGAAGAAGCTCACTCCTGCTCAAGAAAAGGCCGAGGCCAAGAAGACCGCCACCGCTGAGGCCAAGAAGGATGAAGCCGCCGCCGCCGCTCCATCCGCCCCAGAGACTGGCAAGAAGAAGAAGCTCCCTCCCCACCTAGCAGCTCTTCAGAGGCAACAGGAGCTTCTTCGACAGCAACGTGAGGAGGAGGAGCGCATCGCAGCGGAAGAGCAGGCTGCCGCGGCCAAGCAGAAGCTCCTCGATGAAGAGGAAGAGAAGAAGCGTGCAGAGGCTCGTGAGCGCAAGAAGGAGAAGGAGCGCGAAAAGAAGGAGCAGCTACGCAAGGAAGGTAAGCTGCTTACCAAGGCTCAACGAGAGGCCAAGGAGCGCAATGAATTGCGCATGCAGCAGATGATTGCCGCCGGTGGCAAGGTTGCTGGCTTGCAGGAGGGTGGCGACAAGAAGGCGCGCCCTGTATACGAGAACAAGAAGAAGAGGGCTGGCAAGAAGCAGGAAGAGGACCTCGAAGCCGCTGCCGCTCGAGCCCAGGCTCAGCGCGAAGCTGAAGACCGAAAGAAGAAGGAGGCCGAGGAGAAAGCCAAGGCTGAGGCCGCCGCTGCCGCTGCTGCTGCCACTCCTGCGGAAGAGGACGCCATCGAGGACTGGGAGCAGGCTGCCGACGAAGATGTCAAGGACAGCTGGGATGCGGAATCAGATGAGGAAGAGAAGCCCGCTGAGGAGGCACCCGCCGAGAAGAAAGAAGAATCTGGCTCCGAGTCCGACTCTGACGATTCATCTGATGAAGATTCATCTGACGAAGAGCAATCCGCCAACCAAAGGGCCATTCTGGCAAGAAAGGCCGAGGCTGCGGAGCGGAGAAAGATCAAGCACGAGGAGGCTCTGGCCGCTCGTTCAAAGGATGATCTTCGATCCCCTATTTGCTGTATTCTTGGTCACGTCGATACTGGTAAGACCAAGCTGCTTGACAAGATCCGACAGACCAACGTGCAGGAGGGTGAAGCCGGTGGTATTACCCAGCAGATCGGTGCCACTTACTTCCCTGTCGATGCTCTGCGCACCAAGACCCAAGTTGTCAACAAGGATGGCAAGTTCGAATTTAAGGTCCCCGGTCTGTTGATCATCGATACTCCCGGTCACGAGTCTTTCTCCAACTTGCGATCAAGAGGTTCCTCCCTTTGCAACATTGCTATTCTTGTTGTTGATATCATGCACGGTCTCGAGCCCCAAACCCTCGAGTCTATGCGTTTGCTGCGTGACCGCAAGACTCCTTTCATTGTCGCATTGAACAAGATCGATCGTCTCTACGGCTGGAAGAAGATCGACAACAACGGCTTCGAAGATAGTTTGGCTATGCAGAACAAGGGTGTCCAAAACGAGTTCCGCACTCGTCTTGAGGCCACCAAGCTTGCTTTCGCCGAGCAAGGTTTCAACTCCGAGCTGTTCTTCGAGAACAAGTCTCTGTCTCGCAACGTCTCTCTCGTTCCCACCTCCGCCCACACCGGAGAGGGTGTTCCTGACATGCTGAAGCTCCTGACCAGCCTGAGTCAAGAGCGTATGACCAACTCGCTTATGTACTTGTCCGAGGTCGAGTGTACAGTTCTAGAGGTCAAGGTCATTGAGGGTCTCGGTACCACCATTGACGTTATCCTGTCCAACGGTATCCTTCGCGAGGGTGATCGCATCGTAATGTGCGGTCTTAACGGACCTATTACAACCAATATTCGTGCTCTTCTAACACCAGCACCGCTCAAGGAACTGCGTCTGAAGTCCCAGTACGTTCACAACAAGGAGGTCAAGGCTGCTCTTGGTGTGAAGATTGCTGCCAACGACTTGGAGCACGCTATTGCTGGTTCTCGTATGCTTGTCGTCGGTCCTGACGATGATGAGGAGGATCTTGAGGAGGAGGTCATGACCGATCTGGAGAACCTGCTGAGCCGTGTCTCCACTGATCAGCGTGGTGTCACTGTCCAGGCTTCTACCCTGGGTTCGCTTGAGGCTCTCCTGGAGTTCCTCAAGGTCTCCAAGATTCCTGTTGCCAATATCTCCATCGGTCCCGTTTACAAGCGTGATGTTATGATGGCCGGAACCATGCTTGAGAAGAATAAGGAATTTGCTGTCATGCTGTGTTTCGATGTCAAGGTCGATAAGGATGCGATGGCCTACGCCAACGAAATCGGTGTCAAGATCTTCACCGCCGACATTATTTACCACTTGTTCGATAGCTTCACTGAGCACATGGCTCAGATCACAGAGCAGCGTAAGGAGGAGGCTAAGCTTCTTGCTATCTTCCCCTGTGTCATCAAGCCCATTGCTGTCTTCAACAAGACCGATCCCATTGTCATCGGTGTCGATGTCATTGAAGGAAGCCTGCGTCTCCACACTCCTCTGGCTGCTGTCAGGACGAACGCCGCTGGTGTAAGGGAGATTGTCGATATTGGTAGAGTGTAAGTTTTTGTCCCCTTCGTTCTTTTACTCTTCTTATTTCTAACGCAACCGTTTTCACAGCACATCCATCGAGCGCGATCACAAGGCCGTCCCGGTCTGCAAGCGAGGCCAGCCCTCTGTTGCTGTTAAGGTCGAGGGACCCAACCAGCCCATGTACGGTCGTCACCTCGAAGAGAAGGATCAGCTTATCTCGCACATCTCGCGTGCCAGTATCGACACCCTCAAGGAGTTCTACCGATCCGAAGTCTCCATGGAAGAATGGGCTCTGGTCAAGAAGCTCAAGCCCGTCTTCGACATTCCTTGAATTCGGTCTTAGGGCTTCCTTCCGGTGTGCGATGTCTTCATATCAAGAATCGTCAGCACCGGACCCATTCCAGCCTTGCGATACCTATCCTCGAGCGAACTTAACGATCAAATGCCAGTAAGTGGCGAGCTTTGTTCTCCGTCGGCCCTCATGGCCTTCGGTTCCATCATAGCCAGTTTGGAGGAAACGAATCGAAATCTACTAGGCTATGACAATTGCTATCGAAAAGCGGAAAAGTTATTCTATTTTGATTACGATTTGAACATACAATGAATGACCATGACATGATGGATGAACAGCGAGAGAAGTCGCATGTACATGATATAGGAAAAGCAAGGCCTGGTCGATACCAGATCTTTTATTTCTGTTAGAGTGAATTGATTTTATACTATTCAAGTATTTGCATTATAATCTATCTTCAACGCGCGCAAGCAATTTGACCAGTTTTGGAACTAGGGAGATCTATGTTTTCAGGGCACAAATCAAATCGAACGGTTGCTTCAGAATATCGGAATAGACCAGATGATCTATCTACCCTCCATCCTATTCAGCATTATGTAGTATGTACAATCTTCTTCTTACCCACCACCAAACTCACCGAACCGCCTTATTCCCCTAAACAGTTATCAAGCACTTGTCAAATAAACATTCCTTCCCCATCAAGATTTCCTACCTCAAAAATCATCCCCATCCCACCTCTCAACCTTCCCCCCATGTCTCTCCCAATCCAACCAACTACCCATATAAACCCCAATATTAGCAGGGTCATATCCAGCATGCACAGCCATCTGCGCCGCCGCCTTAGCCCGCACACCAGCCTTGCAATAGAAGACCATCTGCGCAGGCTCGCCCTCACCCTCCTCGGGATCAGGCTTCGCGAACCCGAACCGGGTCTCGAACTCGTCCGGCGTGAGGTACAAAGCATCTCCCTGCGATGCTAGCGGGATACACACTGCAGTTGGGATTACGCCTGTGCCTTTCAGTTCGGCGGGCTCGCGCACGTCGATGAGGATTATGGGCTTGTGGGTTGGGGAATTGGGTGTTGAGGTTGGGAGGGCGGCGTTGATCTAATTTGGTATTGTTAGTTTTGTAATAATGGTTTTTCATATTTGTTCATTGGGATATTATATTCGGCTCAAGGAAAGAGGTCATGGGGTAGAGAGGTAGAATGACTGAAGCTGGTATGGGAAGTACATACATCTTCGAAACCCCATTCCCGGAGTTTGACCGAGCTGGCATCATCACTATTCCACCGCTTCTGCACTTGGCGCGCACTCTTGATGCTCACGCTTGACTTGGTTCGGAGACTGCATGATGGCACCTGGCGGCTGGGGAGGACACGGTTCTGAGGAGAAGTAACCAGTCCTCTTGTCGGTGCGGAGATAGTTCGGTGCAAGGCCGAGGCGAATGATACCGCACTGCGCGCCGGGATTCTGACTGCGGTGGATGACAGCACGATGGCAGATCGCTGGATCTTTGATGGTAATGTCGAAGCCATTGTTTCAATTCTGGATTTTGATTGTCCGCGGAGGTGAGTCGGGAGCTATTACACCTCCGGGGGTAACCTCGGGATGAGTGATGTCAGTATCTGCCACGCGTGACCGCTTACTGGTTTGGGGTTTTTACTTGGTATTGTACAAGCTTTGTTAGGCAATATTGGGACTTTGGTTGGTAGGAATGACTTGATTGGTTGTATTGTAGCTAGTAATTATTGTTTGAAAGCTAAGATATATTTTGTTTGACTTTCATGTAGATCTTGTAGAGATAAGTAGTACATATATATCGCGGAGTGTAGACCAAGTAAATGGGACCTTGTGATTGGGAATTTACTATAACCATATATAGAAGACGAGACAGGCCCTCTCTAGTAAGATAAAAAGGACCACTCTAAACCGCAAGGCCATAACGAGTGTTAGTTCTTATGATTGCGTGGAAGTTATTCATCCAAACCAAGAGTAAGACACAAAGTAAAAAGCTATGTAAATAACAGGGCTTTAGCCCGTATCTCGAGCTGCAAGCTACGTGAGAAAATATGGTTATTAATTTAAAGCATATGAACAGTTATGTAAAATGTCATGAAGATTCAAGTAGGAAAAGAGAATTAATATTGTTCTAATATGCATGGCTCTAGGAGTAGTCACTCTGAAGAAAAGAAACAAGAAACCCCCCGCGACCCCTCACGGGCAATAGGTAATCATAATCGCAACGGGGGTTCTTTGCACAAGGGTATGAAAGGTCTCTCTAAGAGAAACATATGCTAAAGACTCTTCCTGTATTAAGCGTTCATCATGCATCGAAATTGAAGAAAGAAGAAAGTGTCAGCGGACCACCCCATCTCCAGGACAGGAAGGCATCATGTCAGGGTAACCAAGCCCTCTGTCCGGAAAATGGGGCTGGGTTCCAACTTCGCTTTGGTGTTTTGTACAAAAAGGGAGAATTTAAGCGCGGGGGCGGAACGTAAGAAGACAGTCATCCTGACACACGTTAGTAAATTGATCATAACAGAAAAGAAGATTGAACATACCTGGGGGAAGATAGTGGCAAACACCTTGATGTCCTCCGACTCGGGGGTAGGGGTGTGCTCCCAGTCCATCACCATACTGGCCTTTCCAATCATGGACATCAGAGAAAGCTGAGCATAGGTCTGACCCAGACAGTAGTGGGGACCTGTGCCGAAGACCAACCAGTTCTTGGTCTGCTGCTCAGCGGTACCGGTGATCCAGCGATCAGGATCGAACGAGTCAGCGTTGGGGTAAGCCTCCTCATCGTGGCATGCGGGCCACACGGAGGGAATGATCATAGAGCCCTTGGAGACGGTGACAGTGTCGGTGATGGGGAAGTCCTTCTTGACCAGGTAGGGAACCATGATGACAGGGGGACGGTAGCGCAGTGTCTCCTTAACGACGGCGCGGGTGTAGGGCATTTGGTCTAGCATATCCATTGTGGCAGGGAGATCGCGATCGCCGTTACGGACCCTAAGGTTCTCTTCACGGACCTTGTCCAGGATCTCGGGGCGGTCAGCCATCAGCTGGAACAACCAGGTGGAGGCGGCACTGGTTGCATCCTGGGAAGCGAACAGGAAGGTGAAGATAGTCTGGGCAATTTCGAAGTCGGAGAATTCACGAAGAACCTGGCTAGGCTTCTCTGAAGAATCGACCGGGATTCCCTTCTCAATCTTCTCGCGGTACGCGGCGGAATCCAGCTGGGCCTTAACCCAAGCGTCCATGATACAAGAGATCTCGCCACCGGCAGCCATACGGGCCTTAGACTTAGCAGCACACTTGGTAAACTCCACAAGCACCATATCGGCGGCCTTCTTGCCGTACCAGGTCTTGGTGTAGGGAAGGATAATAGGGAAGTTAACCAGCTCAAGGGCGGCAGTGATCAGATAGTAGTCATCGGCAATTTTCTGGACACCCTCATCAGTGATGTAGTAACCGACAAAGGTACGGCAAGACAGAGCACACATGAGTTCTCGGAACTCGGACATCCAGGGAGTCGGGGTGAAGTTGGTAGCGGCGGACTTCTCAAGGAAGTGCTTGTTGTAGGCATTGAAGACCTCCTCGGAGCGGGGGAGATACATGGCCAGAGCCTGGCGAGTAAACAATCCATTCAGACCCTTGCGGTAATCCACATGGGCCTTGCCATCCAAGAAGACCCAGTTGGTCTTGCCGAGAAGCTTGTGCGCGGCGTCAACAACACAGGGCTTCACATAGGCGGGCGAGTTGAAAATCTTCCGGGACATATCACGAGTCGATGCAATGACGACGAACCTTTGCAGAATAGTGTTAGTGAACAGACCCAAAGGAAACAAGTATGTCTGGGACTTCTCACTTGTGGAAAACGGAAACACAGCTGAGGTCTCCACTGTCCCATTTGGCCTTGTATTTGGTGAATTGGGGGTTGACTGATTCGAGGAATGGGCCCATGAAGGGGATCTTGTACATAGGGCCAACAATGGCGCCCTTGAGGTAGTGATACTTGACTGTAAATAGGGGGTCTAGGTTAGTTTCAAGACGCGATTTCAAAGGCCACACATGTCGCATTCGCACTCACCCTGGTCATATATGACGGCAGCGACCAAGAAAGTCAACAGGCCCTTCCAGATAGTGAAGCCATCCAATATGGTGGCAACGAGACCGGCCGGCGCGAAAAGTTGGGGCGAGACCGTTGCATCCGCCGATGGCGAGACGAAGCTCCCAGTGAGGTTGGCCATGTTGACCATGTTAGGGAGTCCACGAGGTCAATATTCCGAGCAAGAATTGAAAAGAAAGGGACTTGCTACTGAGAAGGGAGGAAGCCAGAACAAAAAGGGAAAAAAGCGAGTGGAGAGAGGGGAGAAAGGATTGACTGGGGCCCTCAGGGGCGGGAGCGCCAATTACACGGAAGCCCGGGGATGCCCAGCATTAGGCCATATCAATGCATAAAATTATTTGTGTTTTGAACTATTCAATTAATATTCAATAGCATCTGTTAGGTCGATTTCTTATGGATTTTTTTTGTATTTTTGTATTTTTGTATTTTGGTATCGATATATTACTCCGTATATTGTTCTTTGAACAATCTCTGCTTTCGCCTACGGAGTATAGTTGGGGGGAGGGGGGGCGTTTTCAGTACTAATCTCCGAGCCGGGCTTAAGATTGGTGATGATACGGATACGGAGGATGTGGGTTCAAGACTGATTTTATTCTACAACATAAAAAAGTTGAAAAATAATAAAATAACGCCCGAGAACCCGTACATGTGAAGTAGGACAACTATACAACTCCGAAAATAGAAACGAGTGAGCGCAAAGCCATATCACAATTACTCAGCACGACGTGACCCCGGCTAGGGAGTTCCCGAGAGTTGGATCGACGCTGATTGGTCGAATAAGAAGTAAGGGTTTTTATATGCACGTGCACGGGCTCGTTCTTGTTACTACAACGTACATGTCGTACTACTACTATGTATGTTGTACACATTCAATGTTACTAGTACGGAGTACGGAGTAGTATAGGCATCAATAGGAATGGGTATTCGTAGCATGACATCTATGTAAGGGGATTCAGCGACCGCCAAAACCAAACCATCCACGACGGCCTTTCGTTTCTTCTTCCACGGGACCTTGGGCTTGAGCCTGTGCCTGAGCCGGAGCCTCCTGTTGCTGACCACCTTCGCGTGGGTAATCAATGTAGTTCCATGCCACATCAAGGAACAAGGGCTTGACGGGAATGGGTTGCATTTGAGGTGGGTACGGCACCAAATTATTAAGGTCCAGTCCGGATCCTGCGAACTGTTGGAGTCGTTCCACCACTGGCCGCTGGCTTGATTGTGACGCCTCTTCAGCAGTCACCTTCTCCAGAGTGACAAGTCCACGATACTGAGCAACCAATTCTCGCAAGGTTGACTCTAGGGTACTTGTTTGAGTTCGAGAGACGTCGAGTCTTGGGACACCTTCGGCATCTGTTGCTGACTGGGGGGAAGCGGAGGCGGCCAGGTTCAGGGCTTGGGAAAATAGTGCAAGAGCCTCCTTTGACTTCGAAAGCACTCCATGGGATCTTCCTAAAGCGAGACACCTAAAGAAGAAGAAAACCAGGGATTAGTTGTGACAATCAGTGATGATCGTGATTAGAAGCATACCTGAGAGCACGGAAGTAATGCCGCTTTGCCTCTAGATCCTGCACAAAGGCTGAGTCGGCCGCAACACCCGGAAGCTCGAGAATAAAGTCCAAGCTCTGGAGTGTTGAATCATACAGGACGACACGCTCACGGAGCTTGTTCAACTTCTTGCCATTACCTGTGGTGTGCTTCACAGCTTCCTTTCCATTCGTTGTGGGTTGCTGTTCCTCAAATGACAAACCGTCCCTTTCTCCACACAACACCCGGTTACGGCCGACTCGCCAACCGACCAAAGTGTAATTAACAGCAGTTCGAGTGATTTGCAGTGCCTGCATTCTCTTATCACTTGGATCTACACCCTCACTAGCCAGGTCATCAATGGCAGATTTCGTAGCATCGACAGCATCCTGACTGGCAATAATCACGTTGTCATATGCAGCGGCTTTCTCCTTAGCAGCAGCCGACTTCCCTGCGTCTGCCAGCCAAGTAGTGAGGCGAGCCTCCGCGGCCGAAGCAGCAGCTAGGGATTGAGAAATTGAGGCATCCTCCAGGGGGACAGTTCGCGATCTCCAAGTGACAGATTGGGGTAATTCCTGCACCTCTCCCTCTGCGGTTCGTCGAGTACCGGCTGCTTCTTCAGCGAGACAAGATGGGTCGATCTTCTCGACCTCGGCGCGAATCTCCGAATCCGACGGGAAGAACTCAATGGCCAGCGATGAAGTAGGTTTAGAGCGGGGCAGCTTCATCTGATAAGCCGCGTATCGGAGACTTGGGTCAACAGTTCCCGAGAGTAGGTCCCGGAAAGCGTCTCTCTTGACTATTTGACCCAAAGCTGTGTAAATCACTCTTGCGATGGAATAGTCCTGGAGACACTGTTCCCATCTCCGCTTTTCAAGCCACAAAGTGCCGGAAATCATTGCCAAATAAGCCCGACTCTCCAGGATATCCATATCATTTGCCCCAGAAAGCGATTGTTCGTGAAGCAGCGAGACTAGATGCTGCGCATACCCAGTGGCCTTGTTCAGTCGAGAAATAATGTGGCGCCGAGCAGCACCAGAGATGCCCTTTGCGGAAGTATCTGCGGAATGTGTGGACTTCATGTGCATTGCTTGCGCCCAAGCTCGTTCGGAACTAAGAAGCAAAAGATGTACATATCTGGCGTAGGTTAGAAACTAGTCGAAGTAGTAATTGGGAATGGAAATATGAGTAAACAACATACGACACATTGCTTCCAACATTTTCAGCAGTCACAGCTGGTTTGGCAGTATACTTGCGGCCTTTCACTGTGGCCTGACCAAGCTTCTTGCGGAGTTTCTGCAGTTTTCTGGTAGTGTGTGCCCGGTAGGCATTGTAGTCTCCCACAAGGAGAACCTCCTCTCTCTCTTTGAAGATAAAATCAGTGACCTCCATGATATTTTTCTTCCTTGTTCCTCTATTTGGGGTCCTCGTGATGAGAATGGGAGGGACACGGTTGAAGTGGTGGGCTCAGTAAAGGCGGTGAACCCCCGGCAATTTCATGCACCGCCGAATCTTTTGCCTTGGGTTCTCCAAGCTCATGGGACCTCGGATTTACCATTGTCTTTTTGTTCAGATCAAGGTGCTTGAACCTTGATTGGAAATTCATGTCCGGGACTTCTATGTGAGCAAAATTGCGTTCCACAAGTCGACGAGTCCCGATTTCCTTCCTCAGTACGAATGGCACCACCAAGGACAACTTGCTCAATTGGTTGTCATACTCAAATACAGGACGGTTTTCTGACACAACAACTATCCAGACAGACCGTTTGAAACCAGTACCACACCTACCGCGCATTAGTAACGGCATCTTACGGCTTGACACTACGACTGAGGGTGATGCTCGAACGTGCAACGAGCTGCCTCGAGAACGCGGGACGGCGTTTCCTTCAAGATTCCAATGGCGTGATCCGAAACAGAAGCTGCCTGTCTGATCATTTCTGGAAGCACAATGGCGCTGGAGCGGATGCTCCTCAGTGGTTTATCGCGCTTTTGCAGGCGTCAGGCCAACGATTGTCCCCCATTCTTAGCAGTCAACATGAAAGCAGAGAGTCAAGCGATGGGCTAGGGACATCACTCGAGTTTTTATATCCTCGACAGGCTCAAATTTTGATCGCTTCGCGTCTGCCTCGCTCCCAAAACAGGACTGTATTTCGGAGCAGATCAAATTTGGGCTTTTCGAGATCATATGTTTCCATTTCAAGTCTTCAACAAGCTACCTCAAAGACTTCATCCACCCACAAATCTACATCCGAGCGCGCCCGAGGGCCTCAAGGTGCAGAATCTCTCGATAAGGACGGGGAAGCAAGCGCAACCCTCCAGGCTTTCCTTCAAAAGAATGGCACCGAATATGATAAAGCTTGGGTGCTGTACGTCGCAGCTGGATATCCGTCGAAACTCACGCCTGCGCTCTGTGCTTATATGAGCAAATCATCTCAAAAAAAGAATCAAAAACTAGCATTTGATCTCTTCAAACGAATCTCGCCCAAAGATCGCACCGAGTCAGACTTCAAGAACATTATAAGATCGCGACTTCTTTCGTTACCCGAGCAAAAACCCCTTTATTTGAAGTCCATCTGCCGGGACGCCATTTCCACGCCATTTGCTCGAGATGTCATCTCGCTGGGCCTGTTGCACATGGTAGCAAACAGACAGTGGACCTCAATTAGCTTATTGTGGACCTCCTTATTGGAGGCTCCTGAAAACGAGCGACCGCCATTGGAATCTTTGCTGGATCAACTCGACCGCTTTCACTTTCCTGAATATTCCTTTGCCAGGCATCTCCTTGATTTAGGAAAGTACTTGTCAACCGATAACAAGAATGTTACTGCGAGCGAAAAAGACTTTGCTTGCCGTCTATTTGAACACTTTGTCAACTCCACCGACATGGTCAAACTCACACCGATATCAACTGTGATTTTACTGTTGCGCAGATACAGTCCTTTTGGTTCTGTGGCCAACAAACACTATTGTCAATTGATTAATTTCTTCCTAAAATCAGAGCAGAGGTCAGAATTTGTCTCGTGCATTCTCATTTATCGCGACTTGCGTTTGAATTTTCCAGATGCAAGGGTACCTGTGGAGATAATTCATTCTATCATGAAAAGCTTGGTGAAATTCAAGATGACCGATAGCATACCATACTTCTTGGACGAAGAGGCGCACTTTTCTGGATCTAAAAGACCAAGCATCGACTCATACGGAGGCGCCATGAATGCGATTTCCAAGATTGGGGATGTACGAACTGTCCAACACTTGTTCGACAGGTTCCTTGCAGATCACGGCAACCCGAAGTCTCAACGGTCGGTGACCCCCCTTCTTGCCGTTCACGCGAGGCTAGGTGATGTGCGCGAGACGCGGCTACAATTCGATCGAATTCCTACAGAATTTGGTCTCCCGCTGAACACAGTTTGCTGGAACATACTGCTTCTGGCGCACGCTACTGCCAAGGATTTATCGGGTGCTATTTCTGCTTTCTCGGAAATGCGAGAAAATCATGTACCTCCCAACTCGTACACATTTGGCACACTGATGGGGATTTTCGCCCAGCGAGGTGACATCGAAGCTATCCGTCGATTGCTCAAAGAGGCACAGAAGAGTCGAGTGTCAATCACGAGGCCGATGCTTGACACGGCTGTTCAGGCGTACTGCAAGAATGGCCAATTGGGTCATGCAGAAGAACTTGTCGCAAGCAGCTGGAATTTAGCGGTGGGAGGGTCTCCCTTGCGAATGTGGAATTTTCTTCTAATGCGCTATGCATTCAGGGTATCAAAATTTTCCTTCCGGCGCGTCCTTGACCGCATGGGACAACTAGGCTTGAAACCGGACGACATGACTTACGCGGCCATTATGCTTGCTTATGTCTATGCTAGGCAGGTGGATCGTGCGCAGACTACTCTCAGGCAGATGCACGAAGCTGGTTTTGAACCTACCGAGTACCATTATTCTATTCTCTTGCTTGGATATGTGAAGCAACGGAACCGGGATATGGTTCACGTCATCTCTCGCGAAATGCAAGCACGCTTCGGTCAACTTGGGATGGAGGCGAGCTTGTTGAACCTGAGAATGCAGATCACGAGAGACTTGGGAAACGCAAAATTTCTTCAAACTCCCGTTGAAGACATCGTCTTGGAGAACGCAGAAAAGACACTTTCTGAATCAATCGCACAATTCAATGCCCATCCGTCACCAGCCGACAGTCGATTATCTGGCTCGCTAGAGGGCTTTGCTCTTGAGTCTTTCACTGCCACGCACTATCAACGACTGGTCGACGCATATGGCACCGAAGCTGGCGCCGAAAGGGCGCTCCAAGCCTTCAATCGTTACATGCAATCCAGACGAACTGCAGGATCATCGGACGGCGATGGATTAGAATCATTGCCGATTGGATTCGTCACAGCTACTATGAAAGCCTATTCAAAAGCCCAGAACCATCAGAAGGTGGAAGAGTGCTGGGTCAGTATTATGGCAAATGTGAGCAAGACAGCTGGTACCTGTGACCTTGACAAAATCTTGTCTGCTCGGTCGCCGATGTCTACCCTGTCAGGGCCAGTCGAGTCCCGCCTCCCATCGATTCTTTCAATGTCCACCATTCAAGCAGAAAAGTCGAAAATTATTCCTGCTCAACGCTTCATTCTGGACCAACCACTTTCGCTTCAGCTGGCATCGTTGGGTCAGCGAGGCATGTTTGAGAGAGTACATCAAGTTGTGGCGGAAGTTCAGGCAGCAGGCTTTGCATTGTCTGGTTTCAACTGGTCAAACTACGTTAGAGTGCTTGCGAAATCTGATAATTTTCCCGACAATGTGGAGGCATTTCGACTGTTCGAAGAGAAGTTCATTGCTCATTTCCCTGGTTGGTCGTGGTTTCTCAAGGGATATGGCGTGAGACCGATCAATGCCCCCGTGACAATCCTCCATCTCGAAGGCCGCTCGGGTATCACCAAATCTCGCAGGATGATGGGAAAAGCGGCCCGACGGCATTGGCGCCAAATTGAACCAGATTACATGCACCCGAATTACGCCACCATGGTTCAACTAGCCGCCGCACTGCAGCGGCTCCGGCAAACAAGTATTGTGGAGGGGAAAGAACGTCTGGCGACTATCTATGAAATTGCGCCACAGACCGTTGATGCCCTTGCTGCGATGCCATACGTGGCTGATAAACTTCAGGGTACAATTCTTCGCGGCAACGAGGCCAAGAGTGATACTCCCCCACGCCCGCCCCGTGTATTCTCCATGCGTTCTGGTGTTCTTGGCTCCAGCAGCGACATGCATGAACGCCGCTTTAGTGACGCAACTAAGGAACCTCTTCTATTGAGCAGTGACCAATTTTCCGAGACCTCCGCCCCCGACTTAAAGCTTATCCGCTCAATTACCAGTGAGACCTATGGAATCCTCGGCCCTTTGGCGAGCATCCTTCCTCGCGAGGACCAGGTTGACCTGGAAAGCACAATTCTCGAGCATCACAGAATTTACCAACAATGGAAGGTTCGAAATGAGGATTACAAGGAGCATATTGCTAAGGCGCAAAGAAATAATAATCTTCCGCGGTTCCACGCTTACAAGCGACGTTTGGAGAAGTTGCAACATGTCAACATCCAAAGGCCGACTCCTGAGCGGCAACTTTTCGACAAGGCTAATCGCAAGTGGAAGCTGGATACTCCAGCCCACCTTCGCTACAACCCCACTTCTGGGCTCCACGTGAGACCCGGGCGCACACCATCACAACGATCGTCCGAACGGGGAAAATTCGTCAAATCCTGGACGCCCAGGGACAAGCCGGGCGATGACCGTTGAGCAGCGTGCTCCATGTACAGTGACCATGTAATATTAGCTTGTTTTTATATATCCTGATTTTTATAGTTAGATTTTGTACAATATATCAGGTTTTCCACTTTTATTAAACACACTGTTTATATATATAAAAATTGCCTAGATTATTTTGGCCTTTTTCTCATTTTTCTAGCTATAAACTTGAGAATGGGAGAACATATCTAAAGACATCTAGTGCTTGCTATTATTTTAAATATTGGATGTAACTTCAAGGCCATGAAAACATATGTAGCCAATTGTTCATATCTTTGAATCTACATGTATTTCGTCTTTGCTACTGTACCTTCCAACGGTGCAGGCAAAGTGCAGGAATTGATGTGCGGGCCGAACATCCGTAGCCACATGGTGAGTAGTAGATCGATTATGTAGACCTGGGTGCAGAGTACATGCATTGGAATAATACAGTTGGACAGCTGCAAGGTTAGTGCGGCACGGATCAAATATTGAGGTTACGAAGAATATTTTAAGAGATTTTTGTAGACGTAGTCAAGTGAATTGAAAATTTTTCATTGATAGACAGATATTTTATGAAACCAACAGCCCACACACAGCGCCCCATACCATCAACCAGAATGGAAGAGGACCTTTCAGACCTCCTCGACACCCACCAGGACCGACCGACCGAAGTCAGACATCGAGACCAGGTCAAGATCATCACCACTCCCTGGACCGAAACACAGACACTGCGGACAGCACGCGTGACAGTCGAGGCGGGAGTAAAAAGGTTTCACTTTAGGGCATCGAGGACATGTAGTCATCAGCAAGGGTGGAGATTCTGTGGCTCTTTTAAAGAGTTTAGAAAGGGGACGTCTACTCTAAAGTGATTCTTTGAACTGCAGAGGAAGAAAAGTCAGTGGAAATGTTCAAAATGCCAAAGTCCAGATTGAAAACCCAGAAGGTTTCCAACTGTTAGGGGGAGGAGAACGCACGTAGAGTCGCTTGAAGAAGAAGAAAAGGATCGGGGGGAAGGCGGCTTATATAGCCCGCTGAAAAATTATTCGCTGAGTCAGCGCGGCACGTGGTACCCGTGGGACGCGCCTTCCTCGCGTGCAACTTCACCCGTCGACGCGTTCCACTTTAGCAAATCGGGAAATCCCAATCGGCCCCCCTCGACTCCCTCCTTCCCACCACACTATATTGCATCACACATCATGGACGGTTTACAACTACGTGATGAGGCCGCGCAGGATCGCGTGCGTGCCGCAACTGAATTTCTTGACCCTAGTAAGTCCATTGAGTTATGTGTTGTGGTCCCTTTAGCTAACAAAGTTCTTTTTTTTTCCAGATGATGCACGGGCACGCAGGTTCGTCGATATCGAAGATCAATATGCTATTATATACATCTAACAGACTGGAAAAGTTATCGAGCGGATATTGTGGTTATGCTGAACAAGGGTGCGCGACGATTGACAGTGCGTGGATCTGCGAAATTCCCTGCCAGGAGGTGGTGCTGATAATTTTGGACAGGTCAGCATCGATGAAATCAGAGCACACAACCGGGAGCTTGCCGATGGGTAAATTACACCTCTATAACAAGTGGAATTCGGTTCACCGACTAATGACTGTAGGCTGCTCTCTTCGCCATTCGATTATTCACAAGCCTTTGACGCTGCCTTGAAGGCCGTTGTCAAAACCCTGCCCGGTCGACCACTTAAAGAAACTTCAGATGAAGCGGTGTGTATTCGGTTTTGGATGATTCTTAGCAGACATTGTATGTCTAACGATATTGACAGAACTACTACTGCGCCTATGTTGGCGCATTTGGAGAATTCTCCTGCAACCCTCGCACATTGGGCTCGGAACAATTGAACCACATGGTCTCGCTCGAGGGTATTGTGACAAAATGCTCTCTCGTACGCCCCAAGGTCGTCCAGAGTGTTCACTACGTCGAGAGGAAGGATCGGTTTGTTGCCAGAAAATATCGTGATCAAACTATGAGTGCCAGCGGTGCAACCAGTTTGAACGTTTACCCTCAAGAGGATGATGAAAAGAACCCGGTGAGTTTGGCCTGGACAATCTTACTCACTTCTTTGAAACTAATGATATAATTTCTAGCTTATCACCGAGTACGGTTACTCAACATATCTCGACCACCAGTCTATTTCTATCCAAGAAATGCCCGAACGTGCCCCGGCAGGACAATTGCCCCGAAGTGTCGATGTCATTCTGGACGACGATCTCGTTGACACTGCCAAGCCTGGTGATAGAATCCAGCTGGTCGGTATCTACCGTACCCTCGGTAACGGAGGCAGTGGTTCGTCGACGTTCCGCACCGTCATTATGGCCAACAACATTATTCAGTTGTCTTCGAAGAGTGGTGGAGGTATTGCAGAGGCTGTGCTTACGGATACCGACATTCGAAACATCAACCAGATTGCCAAGAAGCGGAACGTATTTGATTTGTTGTCCAAGTCTCTGGCTCCCAGTATCCACGGGCATGACTACATCAAGAAAGCCATCCTTCTGATGCTTCTTGGTGGAATGGAGAAGAACTTGGATAACGGAACCCATCTTCGTGGTGATATCAACATCCTGATGGTCGGTGATCCCTCGACTGCGAAGTCCCAACTTCTTCGTTTCGTGTTGAATACCGCGCCTCTGGCAATTGCGACTACTGGTCGTGGCTCTTCCGGTGTCGGTTTGACTGCTGCCGTTACATCCGACAAAGAAACCGGCGAACGTCGACTAGAGGCTGGTGCTATGGTTCTCGGTGACCGTGGTGTGGTGTGTATTGATGAATTCGACAAGATGAGTGATGTCGATCGTGTCGCCATACACGAAGTTATGGAACAGCAGACCGTGACAATCGCAAAAGCTGGTATCCACACAAGCTTGAACGCTCGCTGCAGTGTCCTTGCAGCAGCCAACCCGATTTATGGCCAATATGATCCCCACAAGGACCCGCACAAGAACATTGCTCTCCCCGACTCCTTGCTTTCTCGTTTCGATTTGCTATTCGTCGTGACTGATGATATTGAGGATGCTCATGACCGAATAATCTCAGAGCACGTTCTACGCATGCACCGTTACCGCCAGCCTGGCACCGAAGAGGGTGCACCCGTTCGGGAGCAGCTCAACCAAACATTGGGTGTGGGTGGTGAAGACCGTCAAGATGCCAACGCGCCGAGCGAAGTATTCGAGAAGTTCAATGTCATGCTCCACGGTGGTATGGTTGACGCTGCCAATGCTGGCCGCCGCCGTGGCAAGAATGTGGAAATCATTAGTATTCCATTTATCAAGAAGTACATCCAATACGCCAAGAAGCGAATTATGCCCGTCTTGACCAAGGGTGCTGCCGACCACGTCATCGCCACATACTCTGCTCTGCGAAACGACGAGCTCACCGGCAACAAGCGTCGCACATCGCCCATCACCCCTCGTACCCTGGAGACGCTGATCCGTTTGTCCACTGCACACGCCAAGGCCCGCCTGTCTAACCGAGTAGACGAGAAGGATGCCAAACATGCCGAGGCCATCCTGCGCTTCGCCATGTTCAAGGAAGTGGTCGAGGACGAGCGCCGGAAGAGACGCAAGGTGACCACCTTCGACGATTCCTCCGACGATGACAGCGATGCCGAACTCGACGACAACTCCGATGATGACACCACTGCCCGCAACACATCAACCGCCACACCGGGTAGACGCACTGGAACAGCACGCACCCGCGGTACCGCGACGCAGTCTAGCGTTCCAGTCCCAGACGAGGACGAAGACCCAGACAGCCTATACACAGCCAGCCCTCGAGCTCAACGCTTGCGTTCGAGTCAGACAGCTCGCACACAAACCCAGACCGACTCCCAGATGTCAATGGCATCTTCGCAGCCAGCCTCGCAGCTCATCGAGTCTCAGACAGACTCACAGTCCACTTCCACAGACGTCCCGATCACTCCTGCTCGTATGACAGTCTTCAGACAGACTCTTGGCCCGCTCATGGGCAAGACCTTGTTTAAGGACAGCGATACAAGCAAGATTGATGATTTGATCAACGCTGTTAATACTGCTATCCGGGAATCGCCCAAACTGGGCGCTTCGCACGTCTTCTCCCGCCCCGAGGCTATCCAGGCCTTGCGGGTCATGAACGACGATAATATCCTGATGTACCTTGAGGACGAACAAGATGTGTACCGGGTCTAATCTATCTGGGTTATGTGGCACTGTCTATACTTTTCTCCTCTCGGAAAATAGCTAGAGGAGGGAATACTGGATCTGCCTATGTCCAATTTTACGAGCATGCTTTCTTGTCATTGCATTGGGATTGATATCATCGCATGTTTTTTTTGTGTTTGGCGTATGGAGTGGGTTGGTGAGGGAATATTAGTGGACTCAATACGAGAAATATGAATGAATACTCGATCTTTGACTTATATCAAACCCCGAATAGTAGTCCTAGACTTAGCTCACCTGCAACTGTAATGCTATGCCATGCTATGTAATATGATTTGATTAGCAGTGATTCGTTTATTTGACACTGTAAACATGAAGTAATATGGGAGTTTTCCAAAGAAAGCAGACACAACACAACAGCATCCATAGGCGAGGCACTCAGGTTTATCTATAGCACCGAGGACACCGCATTCTAAAGGATATGCATACATAGCTAATGCAAGTTTCCAAAGACAGCGCTCTGAGCAACAAGTGTCTAGCAAATATAACAAAGACGAAAAAAAAGGGTATAGAGATATGAACAGCCTAAGCATTGACAACATTTCGTGCTAAGGTGCAGTGAAGTATTACAATTCCGGAACAGAATTCGGTATAGCCTCCTCCTTATCTTTCTCAATCATACCCATAGGCAACACGGAATCATCAGATGAGAAGGACGGGGTCCGTACACCCTCTCTAATTTGTGCCTGCGTGAGAGGCGACAGACCCCTCCGAAGCGTTGAGCCCTTCCGTTTCCGCTGCTGCGGACTCGCGTCCTGCCCAGAGGCGGTGCTTCCGCGACGGGGCCGACTGGAAGTGGAAGAGCGGGATGGGGGACGGTCGTCGAAGCTAGTGTCGACGGGGGTGGTGCTGCGGGATGAGGTGCGGGAATGGGACTCGGAGCGGGTACTACGGCGGGAGGAGGGGCCGCGTTGGTCCTGGTTGAGTTTCGTGATGGAGAGGTGGTGGCCGTGGCCTAGGCGGTGTTTGAATTCCGGCTCGATTGGGCGGTGCAGGGTTCCTGCGACGAGGCGGCGGCGTTGGGAAGCGCGCCAGCCAAGCCCGAGTCGGTTGAGCCAGCCTCCTTCTGTCTGGGCGAGGTGGTGCTCACGCTCGCGTAGTTTCTGGCGAAGCTGGGCGCGACGCTCGTTTTCTTTCTCCCAGAAATCTGTGCGGTAATCGTCCCAGTTTTCGCGGAATTCAGGAGAGAAGGACTTAGGTAGCAGGAGGAGACGGATGTAGTCGCCTCCCGGACTGAGGTCTTCTTCTACCAAGCCGGACTCAGTGTCGATGCCGTTGTAGTACTGTTGATAGTGCTGCCGACTACCACCAGCGCGCCTCTCCGAGGGGCTCTGCTCCACGAAATGGTAGTTTCCATTGGGGGAGGGTAAGAACGGGGCGGAGAAAGGGAACAGGAATGAAATGTAAGACAGTAGCTCCTGCCAGAAGGGACCGCGAATGACAATGATCTTGGTGTTCATAACGCGCAGGCCGCGGTTGGAAACAGCGAGCCAGCGCCGAGGCCATCTGATTCCTCGTTCCCATTGCCCTGTACCCCAGACGAGCAGTGCGGTCACCACCCCACCAAGCAGGGCGACTTTCTCCGCCATCTCCACGACCCAGTAAACTGAGCCGCCGACCCCGCGGCCATCTTCACGTGGGCGAAGGAAAAGAGCATATGCAAAATGGGTAAGCCAGGCGGCTAGTAGAAGTAGAAAGAACGTGTTCTGGCGGCGACGCTCGCGCAGGGCCAGATACTGGGCTCGCAGCGAGGTTTCGAGTATTAAGAGGTTTAGGTAGATCTGGGGCGGGGAGGAGGGTAGGTGTGCCAGCGGGTCTGGAGTCGAGGGACGTTGAGGGGAGGAATTTGAACGGTGGGCTTGAGATGACCGTGAGGAGTTCAATGGCTCTGGGGTTGATGAGGCGCGAGCCTCCGGTGTTGGGGCACCCTTGACCACCTGGTCTAAAGGCGAAGCCATGGTCAAACGAGTCCCAAGATGAGAATATGATATGAAAAGTAAAGCTCAATTAAATTCAAATCAAAACTTGGCCGATCCGGCCCAGAGCGAGTGTCATTAGTGTCATCGCATGTGAAGAGGAGAGAAAGGCGGAAAAAGGAAGGCCAAGTTGGATCGACATCATCTGCCCAGTTGACTTGGCTTCTTTTTTCTCTACACAAATAATTCTATTTGACCATTGCCCATTGCCCTTAGGGGGATTTAAACTTCATATCTAGTTTTATCGGCTCTCTTCTATCGGACATTACCTCTTCTGTCCGGTGCGTATGTCAGGCTACCGGGGTTAAGCGGAGTGACCGAATTGTCTCCGCGCTCCCTTCTTATACGTCCATGAGCGCCACCGTTCAACTTTTGCTAGCAGAAACCCTCTGTTTTCCCAACTTGCGAACCGCAGACATAGCTTCACGACTTACCTTTCCCTTTTCAGTCTCTCGACACCAGGCCAAATCTCGCTCAGTCGTATTTGCCACCCTCCCTCGGAGGCAACGATTGGCTTCGATGGCGTCAGAATCACTCAACTCGTCCCACGAGGACGTCCATAGGCGTCACCAGCGCCCAGGTGAAAATAATACCGAAGGAATCTCGGGAAGTCCATATGCGAATCAGGCTGCTGCTGGTGCGGCAGCGGCGCGCACACTGTTTCCGTTGGGATATCGCGAAGGCTTCAGTCAATGGGTAAGCTACAATGCAGGAGCCCCAATTGCCGCATTTCCGCTGATGATTTGCTCTATATAGTGGGCTCGTATACCTGCAGCTGCTGCCGAACACAAAGTCCTCTCTTATCTGCCTTACTTGCATCACCAGCCCCCCACTCACCTCCAGACTGGAAAGACGACAGAGCTCCCCGATGGCACTACCCCGACCAGTCTCGAGAGTGCAGACCCTAATCAGCTGGGTGAAGTCACCACCAGCTCTCTTGATGATCCCTACGGCCCTCGCCGATGGCGGTCCAGCATGGTAGAACTGGATGGGAAAGACCGCGCGCTCAATGAGTTCTCGGTGGAGAGGATTGGCGAGGAAGCAGACCAGCATTTGGTCATGCTCCACGGCTACGGTGCTGGACTTGGCTTCTTCTATAAAAACTTCGAACCACTGAGTCGGTTGAAGGGCTGGCAACTCCATGCCTTGGACATGCTAGGCATGGGGCGGAGTACCCGACCCTCATTCAAAATCAAGGCAAAGGATAGAGAAGAAGCCATCAGGGAGGCCGAGGCTTGGTTTGTGGATGCCTTGGAAGAATGGCGCATCAAACGCAAGATTGATCGCTTTACATTGCTTGGACACAGTCTTGGCGGGTACATGGCGGTCGCCTACGCGCTGAAATACCCCGGCCATCTGAACAAGCTTATCCTGGCATCACCAGTTGGCATCCCAGAGGACCCATACGCTGTGACTGCAGATGTTGCTGAGCCCCCGGCATCAACACTGTCCAACGAGCTTACCCAGGACGAGCGAGATATCGCTGCCATTCCGGGAACAGCGCCAAAGACAGCTGAGGGTAGCTTTATCACTGGGCGCCAACCCCTCCCGGCTGATTCCGTTCCACCTCCACCCCCACGACGGGTTCTCCCCAAATGGTTCGCGTACTTATGGGACGCAAATATCTCGCCCTTCAGCCTGGTGCGTTGGGCCGGTCCTTTAGGGCCACGTCTCGTATCCGGATGGACTTCTCGTCGTTTCTCCCACCTACCAGCCGAGGAAGCTAAGGCACTCCACGACTATTCGTACTCGATCTTCAGTCTTCGCGGCAGCGGCGAGTACGCGCTAGCATACATTCTTGCCCCTGGTGCTTTCGCTCGCAGTCCTTTGATCCACCGTGTCCACGGCCTCGGAAGACAACTAATCCAAAACACAAGCGCCCTCCCTCATCCAGTTGCTGCCGCTACTTCTTCGTCAACGACATCTGAGAATACGCCCGCCTCTACTTCGTCTGACTCTTTGGCACCCGCTCGGCGCGAGAAGGGTCTCCCCGTGGTATTCATGTATGGTGACCACGACTGGATGGATGTCTCAGGTGGTCATGCAGCAGCAGCTAAACTGGAAGAAGAAAAGCGCAAAGTCCTCGAAAAGGCCACCCCAGAGGAGCAGCGTGCCGATGAAGGTTCCTCTAAGGTGGTCATCGTGAATAAAGCTGGCCACCATTTGTATCTTGATGGCTGGGAGCAGTTCAACAGCATTGTGCTCACCGAGATGGAAGAAGTCAACCAGAGGGAGAGAAGCCGTCAGTAATGATGTGGATATGGCTTCATTCCCTTTATACCAAATTTAGAGCTGGAGGGTGGTGTTGATATTTCGCGTTGAATACCTTCGTCCCTCGTTTATTGTGGCTTTTTATCTTTTTTTTTTTGCCCCCTGGTGTTCATGGAACTCTCTCCCTCTTTTCCATGGCTACAATTCTGTACGGTACATATTGACTAGATAGACTTGGACGGAATTAATAACACTTGCCATGAATACTCTATTCGGAGAAACAGCTTTCATGGCACTTTTTTTAATCATTTATGCTGCTTGCGCATCCCAACCCCAAAAATGAAAGGCAGAATTGAAGAAAAACTTTATCCAACTCGATCCCCAGAAGCCAGCCCCTTCGAATTCAGCCCAGAGATACTTTGTCTCCGATGCCTAGGGCTAGTGGGATAATGCGCCATCAAACGCGCTAATCCCACCGATGGAGCATCACGCTCTTCGGTCGACGGACCAACCGCGGGGGTAGTATATCCACTAGTACTAGGGCTAACTCTTCCAGAGTAAATATGGCTACCAGAGGACCCAGGCCGTCTCAAAGAAAAGTACCCACCCCCACTTCCGTTCGCAAAGCTTCCGCCACTACCATTGCTCCCGAAACTGTGGCCCAGCCCATCCCCGAAGCTGGAGAGATATGAGCTCGTGAACGGTGCACCGCTAGCATGGAAAGCGCGCGGGAGAGCCCTCGACTGGGCAGGCGGGTTCGAATCGAGTCTCGCGTGTGGCTGCGGCGTCACGAACGGGGCCGTGAGTCGTGCCGTTGACGACGACATCGATTGGCCGTACTCCCTCGAATGAACAGCTGTGTTATCAGGCCTGGTTGACAGCGCTAGGGAGAGACCCGTTCCCGTGTGTCGGTCAGAGGTCGTTAGTGAGGATGTCGTGAGCGAACGGTGGTGGTGTCTTGACCCGTCATGTTGTTTCTCCCGGTAGATGTCCTGTGAGCCCGTTGCTCCTGTCAGCGATTGGAAATTGCTGCGGCCATTGCGCCAGTCGGCGCTTTCGGGGCTGTTCAGGGTGCTTCCGGAGTGGACACTTGTGCATAGCGTGACGAGCTGTGAGGGGAGCTCGAGACGATTGTTTAAAGAAAGCCAGGCTCGCTCGTCTGCGTCGATGTCTTCGTCTGCATCGACGTCGCCGGTGCTATGTGTTGAAGACGAAGAGGTCGAGCTTGTGGATTTCTCGTGCGCACTATGCGAGCTGCGTGTTTTGGATGCTCGGTACGAGCGCCATCCACCTACGCCTTCGAAGTCTCGTCTTTCATCGCCGCTTATAGGCAGGCCGTAGACGGGTGTTGGGGTAGATAAGTTGTGGGCCTCGATCATGCTCCGTGCATAAGAGTTCCTTTTGCGGTTTGCTGGGTCATCCAGAATGGTATCAATGGCCCAGGAAGCGAAAGAGTCATTTGTCTTTCGTGGATGTGTCGCCGTTTGGCTAGAGTTTCTTCTTGATCTACCAGCAGCTGGGGTTGTAGGTTCTGAGGCCGCGAATGTCAACAATGATGAGGTAGATGAGGTTGGCACTGAGAAGAAATGCATGACCAATCCATAGACTAGCTCAACACAGACTACTGATAGCCTGAGTATTAATGCAAAAAGCGCAGCGGAGATGGTAACCCATGCTGAGAGAATGAGTGGGATAGAGATGACGGCTAGGATAGGCAACGCGAGCAACGTTGATAGAAAGGGCCACATTGGGGAGTCAGTCTATATCCCCAGAAAGGGATCAAAAGACTGGAAGTCCATTATTATAAGACTTTCGGCGTTTTCCCCAGTCACAGCACAAACAACAAATTGCGGAGAAAGCATGTGATGGGTGATGGATGCCCCAGGCACAAACCGCCAATTACATCACTTCGGTAACTTTCAGCTTTGTATATCAAAAACTTAGAATCTAGTTCTGGAGGCCTTGCTCTGATCTTCATGAATATCCCCGAAAATATGCCAGAGGGCGAACCCTTCCCTTGGGACATTGGCGTTCACGATGCCCACTGTCACCCCACCGACACATTGGCCTCAGTGGCCGACATCCCGCAGATGAAAGCGACAACACTGACAATCATGGCGACACGTGGGGAAGATCAAGATCTCGTACAACAAACAGCGGTGTCACTATCCGCAAAGAAAAGCCAATCAACAACAGACCGCGTAGTCCCCTGCTTCGGCTGGCACCCGTGGTTCTCGCACCAGATCCTGGACGACACTGCACAACCAACAGCTGCACAAAGCCCAGCCGAGCACAAGTCCACACACTACGCCGCCGTCCTAGCACCGTCTCCAGCCGATGACCAGCCATTTATTGATTTACTCCCTGTTCCCAAGCCCCTCTCAGAACTGATATCTGAAACTCGGAACCGACTCCAACAGTTCCCGAATGCGTTAGTCGGCGAAGTAGGCTTGGACAGGGCATTCCGACTCCCCAGTCCATGGACTCCAACCGACATCGACAACAGAGATGACCAGCTTACACCCGGCTCACGCGAGGGCCGACGTCTCTCAAATTACCGCGTTAAGCCGGAACATCAACGCACCGTGCTAAAAGCGCAGCTACAGCTAGCGGGAGAAATGAATCGTGCCGTCTCGCTGCACAGCGTGCAAGCTCACGGCGGGATCTTCGAAGTGCTTAAGGAGCTCTGGGCGGGACATGAACGGGTTGTTCTATCGCGACGGAAGAGGGACAAGCAGCGGGATGCAGAAGGCGCTGTATCTGGCGACGATGAAGACGATGACGAAAATAAGACGCCGGACGGATCTCAGTCTACTAAATCATCTGACCCCAATGGGAAATCGTATCCGCCGTTTCCGCCTCGCATCTGCATGCACTCTTATACCGGTTCTGTTGAGCCCATTCGCCAGTTCTTGCATCGGTCGAATCCGTCGGATGTTTATTTCTCGTTCTCGAAAGTTATCAATTTCTCTGGTAATGCCGGGAAGAAGGTTGGCGATGTTATCAAGGCTTTGCCTGAGGATCGAATTCTCATCGAAAGTGATCTCCATGTTGCGGGTGCGCAGATGGATGACTTGCTGGAAGATGTGGCCCGACAAGTTTGTCAGCTACGTGGATGGGAGTTGCGGCACGGTGTGCAGGTGCTTGCGGATAATTGGCGGCGGTTTGTGTTTGGCTAGGTCTTGCGTTTCTTTTCTTTACTTTTCTATTCCTGCATGGGGCGAGCTTAGGTTCGACTTCTGATTTACTGCAGTTTTCTTTCGCCGGTTTCTTGAGCGGTACAATTAGCGAAAACGCATAGATGGCGCGATCTGGAACACTCTCGTACGTACATCCATGGATATTGCCTAGGTGATTCATTCAAGATACAAAAAGGCCCCAACTAATTTTTACCCGATATCACTATTTGCAATTATATGACGTCGTATATCTATATCATTGTATGTGATCGTTTGTGACATGGTATCATAGGCTGGGCCTTTAGGTGCCTGTGGCCTGGCATGGTCTCTAAGATGTATCGTGTATCTGCGTGCCCTGGCATGGCTCGTCTCGTCGTCAAAGTAGAAAAGGTATGTGGGGAGTAGGCGGTGGAAAAGATGACAGCTTTATGCAGTCATCAACCAGAGGTAGCGACAATGCTAGCTATGTATCCATCCTCCATCGTGAATAAGATCTGCCATTGGGGCATCCTGCCAGTAGATTTGCCGCCATTCATCTTCAAGCTCGGGCAGACCTTCACCTCCCACGGGGGGAGGTAGGTCTACATCACCAAAGGCGAACAACTGTCGCCAGTCCGGATAGTCGCGAGCTGGCTCAATGGAATCCACTTGCATGCTGCTTGAGAAAGGATCGTTCCTTTCCAGCGGTCCAACATTAAGCCGGAGAGGGGCAATCCAGTTATTAAATTGAGGATTGGGTTGTGGTGAGAGGGTATTTTGTTGGAGAGGTGTGGTGGATTCGGGGGTGGGCACACCGAAGGAGAGCGGTCCCGGGGTTTGCATGGTAATTGATGGGACAGGAGAGGCAATGGGCATCTTGTGCGCATGATGAGGGTCGCTGAACGGCTTGGGTCGTTCCGTAGTTGCCATCCGAAGATCCTCTTGCAGACGTTTGGAGTCCTCAAAGAGTCGCAGGATTGTGCCAGCATGAACCCAGTATTGAGCCAACTCGCGCAGCGAGTAAGAGGCAGAATCGAAGCGGCGCAAGGCATTGATGGCAAGAACTGGGTTGGAGAATCGGAGTTCAACTCGGACTTGGATCATGGCTGTGAAGAGGGTATGGACGCCAGTGTACCAAAGGAACTTCAAGCGCTCATGCATCCTGAGCTCTTCGAAGATTGAGGCTATTACCCCGGCGGCTGCACTGCAAATTTCTGCGTCGTGAGGGCCATAGTCATCAGAATAGGCTGAGGCTCTAGGATGAGGCCGATGCAACAGAATGAGGAAGTTGTTGTAGGTTAAATGGAGCATGGCGGACCAAGGATCCATATCAGATGCGCGAAGCCGAAGATTATCAGGAAGTTTTAGAGACCAGGTTGCCAATGATCCGTCGGCCTCTTGAAGAACAGCCTTTCGCCGTTCCTCACTTGCCCGAAGTCCAAATCGATCGCGAATGAGATACGAGATCATTGTGCAAAGTTCGGTAAAATGAATCACGTAGTCTGCTTGTACAAGGGGACCACAATTCTCGAAATCAGCGGGCGTCAAAGGAGAAACGTCGGAATCATCCAGATTGCTGAATTGAAACTTTGATTAGTATTGGCTGCAGATTGGCCGTTTGGGATGACTTACATCGCTTGAGGTCGACCATATGAAAGAGAGATCAACACATCAAATTGGACCAAAATGAACCAAACTCTCCGCCACATTCGCCGATCGCGAGTCACGAAGCTACTGGAAACGGGATTACGGTGCATTCCAAGCCCCGTGGCGATACGTGCAGCGGCCCCAACCCAAAAGTGGGCATCTGCAGCAACATCGTCATCTGCGCTATCCGAATGCCACGTCAAAAGAAGGGCCGCTTGAACAAGGATGTCGCGATTTCGCTCGATGCGATTGTCAAACAGATACTTGGTGCGGCGGAAGAAAATTTCTTTGAGAGTGTCTCGCTCTCCTTTTGCACGAGAAACATGCGCCCCAACCAGCAAAATTGCTTGAAGGAGAAGGACTGGCGGAGGATCTGCAGGGTCCCGGTTCCGGTATTGCGTCATGAATAAATCTTCGTCGATGATAGGGTACCCCGGATTGACATATGTGAAATAAGCCTGGACCAATTCATCTGCGAGAACCGGTTCTGGAAGTGTTAGAGCATCCATAAGCAGCTGATCGTGACCCGTCTTCATTTGACGCCGTGGGATTTCGTTGCTCGCAAAATGGTATACATCGTCATCTTGTTCTCGTTGTTGTCGGAACAAGAATGACATGTTCGAATGCTCGTGTCCGACATAGAAGGCGCGCACACCTCTTTGGATCTCTCTTCTGCCGGATTCCTCCTCATCTATCAATTTAACGAGATGTTGCTCCATCTCCGAGTGTGCCTCGTGGGCATGCGCCATATCGGGGCCGTGGCGGCCAAATGCCTCCGATCCCGTGCCTGGCGGGAATGCATGTTGCGGAAGGCCCCCAGATATTGGTGTAGCATGGCCGCTCTGGAATGCAGTTGGAAAACTTGGTGGTAGTGGTGTCCCCGCTGCAAGAGCAGGGTTTGGAGTGGGATCTGATGTGGGTAGAGGCCGAGATCTGATTGGAACAGGATCTAGGATTGAGCGTACTGCAAGACGCTTTTTCTTTTCGTGTATGCGACAGTCGGCCTTTCCAGAGGCGCGACAGTTGGTACAGGGTGTCCCGACGGTACGGGCATCGCAGCGAACCTTGCGCCGGTGACAGTGAACACAAGCTGCGGAGCCTAAGAGTTTTTTGAGTCATCGGTTAGCGAGTCTGATCGCGCGAAAATAACCGAGAACCGAGAAAAGGGACTACAAATCAAGATGCACAACGATTTGGCAGACAGGGGGCATTGCACAAGCGCTTACCTTGTTTGCGCTTGCTCACCCCATCCACCGGGAGCGGCGAGGGGGGGTTATCATTGACGGAGGACATGGCAGGAGTACCGTTGACATCATTCGTCCAAATCGGCCACGATTCTGCATTCTTCGAGTCACCAACACCAGTCACTTCAAGGCATCATGGGCGAACTCCGAAACGATTGCCGAGGATAATGCGACAAACACCAAAATCAAAGAGACAAAAATGTCGGGAAGTTGAGGGACTGCGGGATCGGGTCTCTGGTGGAGACTCACGTGGATGCGGAGAAGCCGATTATGTAAAAATTTAGGCCAGAATCGTATCACAAGGACATATTCCTCCTTGGGAGTTGCATTAGATTTGATATATCGTATTCTCGTCGATGCAAGGAAGTTTTTGTCTTCGGGTAAAACATAAAGAGCAAGTTTTAATTTCTCTTTAGTGGGTTGAAAATGGTCCACGACTCGATCTATAGTTATGTCCGCACAGCCACAGCATTGCGCATTTTATATACTCTACTCCGTAGCACACGCTAGTTTCTGCTATGAACTACTTTTATATATGTTTATCGTCAACTGAAATCACTAATGGATCTTATTTGGGGAAGAAAGGTTGACACATGATAGCAGGTCAAGGCTTTGAATTAAGTGTTTTGATTCATCAGTCGAAAGAATCATTCAAGGATTCAGGTGATGCTTACATCACTTCGAAGAACATTTCTCCTGTCCTCCCGGAGCAAACCTGGACGGCAGCTGCTATTCTGTCGGAGGTCTTTGTCTTCATTGGGTACCAGGCTGTGCCTGATATGCAGAGCCTCAATGACCTAATATCTAAGTCACATGCCTATATAAACCATCTATAATGAGGCACATCAAGATGAGTAACAAATCAAACAAATATCTTTCTGAAAGTGTACCACCCATCTGAAACCTCTCTCTTCAATCCGAGAATTGGGAAAGAACCAATGAGATAAGTCTTCTCCAACATTCGGACATCTATGTAAAGAACGCTAAATGGTACTACAACATAGAGATGACTGGAGATTAATGTACTTAACATAGCAAAAAAGGATAAGAAGGAAAGAAGATTGTACAGAGTATGTTGTACTTTGTAGTGACTTTATGGAGTGGGTCCTATCACCTATTATTGGTGCGCCACCACAGATATGCCCTAACTCGAACCCCGAAAGATCTGCGAGGCTCATATATCGGCTTCAATTCCTTGTACTCCGTAGTTTCATGACTTCTGCCACTCATCCCTGGGTTGACGTCTCCCCGATTTCCGTCCGGAAATTTAGATAAAGGCCGAATGCCAAGTGGGACGTTCACATCCAATTATATTTTGTACGGAGTGTTTATCAATAGATGGACTTGCTTTTTTTTCGCACGGACTTGTCAACTTGGCCAACATTTGATTTGGGATTCGAGTGAATAATTCCCACATGGGCAGGACATAATTCATTATATAAGCGGTAACATTATACTCCGTACTCCGTATCCCTTGTTTGCTTCACGTATGAAGGATCATTTGACTCTTTGAGGATCCCACGACTGAAGACTTGTGGTATAAGCTAAAAGGGTCCAGATCTTTAAAAAAGCTCAATGTACCGAACCACTCCGAGCTATTTGAGATGAGTCTAAGCTACGTATTCCCAAAAATGGGCCCTCAAGGCTGGCGGCCCTATCGGGTTGCCGAAGCTTCTCTCTCTTGGCCAATTACCCCTGGACAACACCCCAGTGATCTACATACATAAATACGATAAGAGATACATAGGGAGTAACTATTTACGGGTATATACATAGTTTTCAAGGGAATATTTCTGGCTTGGCTGAATTGCTGTTAAACTTGTGAATCACATCCCCCTGCGTCGTTCACCACGCTGCGACTCAACGTAAACTTAAGAACTCCGTACCTCTCTCGTATCTTTCATTTGAATTTATTCTTAATAACCTTTGGTTTTAGTTCTTACTATAATTTTCATGTGTGTCCAGCGTCGAGGAGGACCCTCGCTCATTATATAGACATGAAGTCGTCTCTCCTATTTTGTTTCATCGGACTAAGTGCTGCCTTCCATCTTGTTCCACCTCGGCCGACAAAAAAGTTCGAGCTCAATCTAACTTGGGGCACCAAGGCGCCCGATGGAATTGAGCGCCAACAGGCCTTAATTAATGGCCAATTCCCTGGGCCTGCTCTCATCTTTGACGAGGGCGACAATGTAGAGGTGACAGTTAACAATTTCCTGCCATTTAACACCACGATGCATTGGCATGGCATTGAGTGAGTCTTCTTGAAAATAACTTGGTTTGTCACATCGCTAAGACAAAAATAGACAACAAGGAACATCATGGTCAGATGGTGTGCCTGGAGTCTCGCAAAGACTTATTGCCCCTGGCGGAAGATTTGTTTCTAAATTCACTGCTTCACAATATGGAACATACTGGTAAGTGGATTTCTTTAACAACAAATTCTATTTTTGCTGACATCTTGAAGGTATCATTCGCATTGCGCGGGACAAATAATGGATGGCTTGTATGGACCGATCTATATCAGGTTTGTTCATACCTATCCGAATCAAAATCTTACCAATTTGCGCAGACGACTAAGCAATTATAATCCAGGCCGCGAGATATTGCCGCCAATCTGGCTAGTATGATATCAAATGACACAAAGGCACATTCTCAAATCAACAATGCCATTCGAGACCCCAAATTGCTGATGATTTCCGATTGGTTTCATAATACATCAGAAGAGCTCCGGAACATTGCGGTTTCTGCAAACCTTGATACATTGTTAGTTCCACAGAGGCATTGTGAGAGAATGGGCTTATAGCTTATACCAATTCTAGATGTGCAGATTCTATCTTGATCAATGGCAAAGGCCGAGTGCGCTGCGTCGATCCTGCGTATTTGACCAGTCTGACTCCTGCCCCATTGCTCCCCCTGCTCCAGGGCATGAACTACACAGCAAAAGGGTATGTGGTGACTCGTAAAGTTCTGATCAAATTACTCACATTTAGTTCAACTTCAGATGTATTCCAGTTCGAAATACCTTTGCTCAAACAACATTTGCTCAGCATAACTACACTGCAATCCCACCATCCCTGTTTGACCAATGCAATTCCACAGAGTCAATGGAGGAAGTGATCAAAGTTGACCATCAGAAGGGCTGGGTAAGCCTCAATCTCATCGGTTCAGCATCGGTCTCTGTCCCAACAGGTATGTTTATTATTTTTTCAAGAGGAGCAAAAGCAGAAGTTAAGTCCAATTGCTAACTAATATAGTCTCTATCAATAATCATTCTCTTTGGGTATACGAAGTTGATGGTCGATACATTGTACCCACCAAAGTTGATGTATGATACTATTCTTACGTTATACTCCGTGAGGTTTAAAACATTGCACTAACCAAGGATCCATTTCCAGGCATTGTCAATTAATAACGGTGCTCGCTATTCCGTTCTGGTTGAATTGAATAAAACGCCTGGTAACTACCTGATCACAGCAGCCAATGCCGGACTCAACCAAAAGTTTGCCGGGTACGGTACTTTCTCCTACATCAACGGTGACTCCTCCGTCGTGGGCAAGCCTTCAATCAACTACGGTGGAAACAGTATCGGTACAGATGTTGTTGTCTTGGACGAAAGTAAAATCAAGCCACTTATCCCAAGTCGACCCAGTGCACAGGCGGACCAAACATACCTGCTCACCATTGGCCGTATTGAAAAAGCCTGGAAATGGTCTCTTCATGGGAACCATTCGTACGGTCTATCTCTTGAGTCAGAGAAGCCGATGTTATGGGATCCCCAGTCATACGCAGATAGTGACTTGGTTATCGCTACGAAAAACGATACCTGGGTGGATATTGTATTTGCCGTATCTGGCAAAGCGTCGACTATCCAACCTGGTCATCCGATTCACAAGCATTCAAACATGGTTTATCTTCTCGTGAGTTACTTTGAGCGCACCCATCCAGTATAAAACTCACTGTATTGATCCTAATTTGCATGTTTTAGGGTGCCGGTTCAGGCGAGTTCAATTGGACTTCTGTTGCAGAGGCTCAACAGGAAATCCCAGAGATGTTTAACCTGGTCGACCCTCCAATGAGAGGTAGGAGATACACAGCTTTTCTTATGGGTTGTTCTAGTGCTGGGAACTAATGGATGGGATAGATACATTCACATCGCTTCCTGCCTTGCAAAGCCCAAGCTGGATGGCAGTTCGCTATCATGGTATGTCTTCCAATCGCTATCCTTCCTTCTCTCTTTTCTCTTCTTGTTTTGGAGGCTAATATGGTTGGGTTGACAGTGCAAAATCCCGGTGTAAGGCATCAATCCATATAGAACCTCTCGGATCTTCCGCTAACCAGACAGGCCTTCTTCCTCCACTGCCATATCGATCCTCACCTCACCGGAGGAATGGCGTAAGTTACCGACATCTTGATATTATTATACACCATATGTTAACCAACTCCCCAGACTCGCAATATTGGACGGCATAGATACGTGGCCTAGCATTCCTACACAGTATGGCCCGAAGGGTCATTGGGGGAAGGCCAACCAAATAGGAAACATCATTGATGATCGTGATGGATACAAAGGGTAAATACTTTTGAATTCAATTTTCTATCTTCACTTCATATGATAAATGGCATTGGATGTATGGATGAATGGATCGGCGGGCATTTGGCCTAGCGGTTGTCGTTGGCGACATTTGGCGCATTGCCCCTTGGATCCCCGTCCATCCTCAGTTTGAGTGCCGTTTGATCTCAAGCTGCCGGATCGTCTCCGGGCGATGACTTTTTTATTTTTATTTGTTTTGATACTCTTCTATAACCATTGGTTCCAAAAGTATGTACATACAAGAAGAAGTAGGCTGGGATTGCGGTCTCATGGCGTCTTTTCGGTAGTATTTTTGAATTTCTTTTTTATAGATATCTGCCTTTTCGGTTTCACACATAGACGGCAGAAGAAGGTAGAGAAAGCCTTAATTTGTGAAATTATATTTTCTATGTATAATCAGGGATCACTAGTCAAAGACCAAGACAAACTAGTTCAGAACAACCTTGTTAAGTCTAGCTTGTCCTTCTAGGCCTGCCTTCATGATCATACCGAAGATCTCAAGATCCTTCTTAGCATCCGTTGAGGTGGTTTTAGCCGGCTTGCCCTCAACAACAAATGCATACAGCTCCTTCATTTCCAAAGTATAAGCATCTTCATATGTCTTCCGAACCACAGACTCCCGGAATGAGCCATCTTCCAACTTCTCACGAATGTGCATAGTGGTAGGCAATCCCTTGACGTAAGGCGAATCAAAGCAAATCTTGACAGTCTTATTACTGCCAAAGACCTCAATCGAAGCATCGAATCGGGGGACATAATCAATCCCAGACTCATAAGACACAGCAAAAGAGGGATATTGGAAGAGAGCACTGGAGGACAAGAAAGTCAACATATCACCCGGAACCACAGATTCAGAATTCACAACTTACCTCCAGAACGGCGGACCCCTCGCAGAGCACAAAGAAGCACCAAGCACAGCCGTCGGCATACCAAGAGCCTCCCTCATAGCACTAAGATCATGCGAGCCAAGACTCCCCAAATTCCTCCACTGAGCAGCAGTATCAGCCGTAACCGGAATCCCCAATTCCGTCGTCAAAGCCTGTTCCAGAAACTCGTCTGTCCTACTCGCCAACTCCTTCACATCCTCTTCCCTGTAATCCGAGAAAACCTTAGGAAATGTCCCAGACTGACCAACAAAATCCGAATTCGGGCCGACGATATCTCGCACGCGGGCATAGCACACCTGATCAAGGCTTCCTATTTCCTTGACAGCGTCGATGAACCCACTCGCATACCGACGCATATATCCCACCATGATCTTTCCAGAGGATTGCTTCTCGAGCTCGATGAGCTGGTCCGCGTCTTGTAGGGAGAGAGCCATGGGTTTCTCGATGAAGACGACTTTGTCGTGTTTCAGGCCTAGGACGGCGTGCGGAACGTGGAAGGCGTCGCTGTTGGCTATCATTACAATGTCCACGTCTGCCGATGCGCAGAGATCCTCTGCCTTGCGGGTGGTCTTGGGAGTGCTTCCAATGACCTTCTTGGAACAGTGCGTGAGCGCATTGTCGGAGACATCACATAGGTAGGTGACTTGGAAGTAATCGGAGAGGAACCCGAGAGTTGGGATGTGGGCAACTTGGGTGATTTCGCCGCATCTGGATGGAATATTAGTATCAATGTATAGCGCATCTAAATTGGGATTCTTACCCAATTATTCCCACGCGAAGGATCCTGTTGCTGGTGCTCATCTTGAATGTGTGGTGTGGTTCTTCGGCTTCTCCAATGACGTAATGGTTGGAGTACCTTGAGGTTCAAAGGTTGAAGCTGATTCTGATAAAATCTCACACAAGATAATTTATGCAGAACAGAAGATGTATCAGCTCGTCGGATGTTTCGAAGGGATATGCTGGGTAAATTGAATTGAAAGAGCGCTGATCTGATGCCCCGCGAGGTGGAACAGCTCTGGAGCCCCGCTGAACTTCGGTCTCAGACGCTTGCATGCACGTTGGCTGAATACGAATACCATCACAATTAGGATCTTGTAAAATAAGACACATAGTAGGGAGAATTTTGCATTTACTCCAACATTGGAATGTACATTGTAGACTTAGTCTCCTGCACCTTGCACTGTCGTAGATACAGATGTCCTTATTCCGCCTATAATTCGCCGCAAAACTCCGAAATCAAAACGAATCAAGTAAAAAGCCTGGAAATCCAAATTTGCCAAAATCCAACGAAAAAAGCCATGCCGTTAAGCTCATCTAGATGCTCTCCCAAACACATCGACCAGAGGAGAGACCATTGCATATGAACACCAAAGAAAGAGACAGAAGATGCCTCCACACATACTTCGATTAGATCTGCCTCGTTAGTTGTATCAAGAACATGCGTTATGTATCGGAATCAGGTACAATGTCACTCGGCCAGCTCCTTCACGTCGTATCTTAGTATGACTCGCCGCCCGCGCCGTTGTGAGGCTGACCGACCATGGAAGAATAGCCGTAGGCGGAGGCGTCTTGCTCGGACTGGTCAAGGTTAGGGTTCAGCATAGGATTTGCACCTTCGGCATCAGGGAATCCTGTGGGGCGAGCTGGACCAGGTCCACCAGGGCCACCGACGGGTCCCCCGGTTCCATAGCCAGCGCTTGGGGGCCTCTGGTTATCCCCACGGGCAGATTGAGTCTGGGGTCAAGTTAGTATTTTAAAGCCAATAACTGTTCGAGGCTCGGTCCTATGAAAGGATTCTAGAGTTGGTCCTGGGGTTCGGGGGACTCTACCTCGCGGTACTTAGATAGGTAGATCTTAAGGGCTTCGGCATAGTTCTCAAATCCAAGCGACGTCATAGCGAATAGGATATCTTCGCCGTTAACTGTCTTACGCTTCTCCTGCTGGCATTTCTCCGAGGCTGCGAATATAGCCCATTAGTATGTCTAACTTGGACCAAGCGAGAAGCAGACTCACCTTCACTTGTGATGAATGAGATGAACTCGCTCACACATTCCTGCATGCATTCCTTGGCTTCTTTCGCGATCTTTGCATTTTCAGGTAGGGCCAACTTCATAATACGAGCCACTGAATAAGATCGGTGATGTTAACATGTTGTGGAGACATAGTGGGTTTGGTGATATCGTCAAAATGAGGGGTAGAGGAGGTTGGGATATATGAGCTATACGACCGATAAAAGCATCAGGGAAAGTGATCCCGCTTGCATTATATCTGAGACGAAAAGAACCGGGGACTTTAGACAGGAAGGACCAAAAAATGCGGGGGGGAAGTTAAGTGGCCAGGGCAAAGGCAAGGTACGCGCAAATCAGAAAAGACCTGCAAGGAGACGTACCATTTGCAATCGGAAGCCACCGATCTTGTTCCTTCACCTCAAACTCGCCCGGGTGTCCCTGCACGTCGTGATGGTCCTTGTCCATGTGATCTTGATCTTCTCCCGATTGCGCTTCGGGGTCAAGTTCAGCGTCCTTTGAAGGAGAGTTCGACATGATTATAAGTGGTTTAGATACGTGCGGTGGATCCTCGGCTTGGGCGTCAATACTTGGTGTTTCGCGTGCTCTGTTGTCAGACCACGTCAGATCACAATGCTGGGCGCCTCCGTTTCAGACAGCGCAGAACCGGCTGTTCCAAAAGTAGACAGGGTCGTATTGGCTGGGTACAAACCAATTCGCAGTGGCCTTAAAGATAGCGTCAGCTCAGGGGGATTGATAATAATGCAGATATTAGCTCTGATATATGCGACGCGCGAAATGGCACCAATTAGCCTCGTGTCTTGGAAATGGTATGGGGCACTTTTAAGGACAAGGGTTCGAGCTTAGTATGGAACGCGATCACGTACCCGCTGTACCAACACCAAATATGCGAATGGTCGGGATTTGGACTAGTGAAGCTGATGCGGGCAACGCGCAGTGACCTCGGGAAGGGTTCGATTAGGGGAGAGCCCAACTATTCCAAATCGCAAGTCGCGTAAGAGACAGCTTTTAGATATCCAGTGCGCTTAATCTGATTCGTTTCCGATTCAAGTTAAAGTTAAGGTGTTTTGCGTGGAGGATCTGGGGAGGTCAATTGGCGAACCAGAAGTCCTGGCAGATCTTTGGTCACTTTGGCCACTAACGTTAGTACCCGTGGACTTGTTGGCTCAACTTTTCGAGACAAAGCATAAGTAAAACACCAATTTCGTGAAAATAAGCCGAATTAGACAAATAGAAGAGAATCAATCAAATCACATACTATTCAAAAGCATTACTTATCAGCATAATGACGTATCGGTGTATTGGTGTGCGACTTGTGCTACTATCGTCACAGATCTATAGAAGCTGGGGTCATACATGTATTCAGATCCTCATTTGATTTGTTATTGCGTTTTAAGTTGCGCATCCGTATTCAATTAGTTAGGTTCTTTAGGGCCCAAAATAATATATTTCCTTGATCATTTGCTGTCAAGTCAGGCATCAAGGCTTGCATCCTAAAGTATCCGAAGCATCTACATCGATGTACACAGGTATATCTAAATTTGTACAAATCTTAAAAGTATTGACCGGATGATTTGAGTTAGGCATCAATTGCACCTTTTCTTCAAGGTAGTTTAGGCTGATATATGCAAACTCAAGACTCTGCCATCTCATGACATGACTGAGGTCCGAGACCCCTAGCTGCAACATCCATGATTCAAAACTTATGGGTATATTTTTTTTACTATGATAAGGAGCTAATCTTGCAAGTTTGACATCAAAGCACAAATCAACGCTGCATTATGTCTAGTCTTTTGCCGTTCCCAGTAACGCCGGTAGCCTATTGCTCTCGCACTCAGATAGCACCACCCGGGAACACGTAAATCGAAAGTATACAGAGAAAAGGAATGCCACTAAGGCTGCACAACCTGGATGTTGTTCTTCTTCTGCAAAGGAGAAATTAAAGTCAGCACTGCTCGTATCAAATTCCCAGGATATGGTTTCAGGCTGAGAAACACCTATGAAACAAGAGATGTGCTTACCTTCCAGGTATCCAGCTCACCCTGCTTTGACTTGTACTGCTTGAGCATATCCTCCAATACTTGCTTCAATCCATCCGAGTTGGTCTTGAGTGTAGGAAGAACATCTTGGACAGTACGCTCAACTAGAACACCGTTCACCATGCGGAAACATTTGCGGTCTGCGGCGAGAGGGTCGAGGGTTTCAATCACAAGTCTAAAAAAAATAGATGTTAGCATTATACATATTCGTTGAGACATTCCTGATAGTGTCTGCTGGTGGTGTAGCCCGCGATTCAATCCCAGCAAGATCCCACTATGCTGGAACAGCGCATAGCCCTGGTAGTGACTCACTTGTGCTCTTCTGCCTCCTGCTCAATATCACCGATCTTTTGTGCTAATTGCTGAAGGGTGTTCTTGAAGTTGGTGTATTGGTGCTGAAGCTCTGGATTGAGGGGGTTTGCGTCAGCTTTCGTTCATCTTCAGGGTTTGCAGAGGCAGTAGGAAAAGCATACCCTGCTGCTTCTTGGGTTCAATCTGTTTCTGGCTAGACATAATGGCTGTTTGACAAACTGTGGTCGGCACGTGGAAGCTCGAGAAATTGAGATGACGATGCGGGGCGGTTGCTTTTTGGTGTTGGCGGAAGTCACTATGTACTATAGAACTTTTGATGTGCCTTTACACCCAATACATAAGTTGATTTAACTCTCAATCTCCCATATATCTACTCAAGTTCTCAAACTAATCTCAAGATCATTAATATAATTGTTGATTTAACTCTACACTACCAAATACATGCTCTTCATAAAGTGATTTATAGATCACGTGACCGATATATCGGTTTGCAATGTTTGATGGCGATATTAGTGACAAGACGATCAGTTCTACGAATTTCAAATGTTCCTCTAAAATGTAAAGAGAAAGCTGCTTGTGGCTGTCTTGGTCAGGCTTATAAAGATCTATATCCTTTATAAATAGAAGCTAAGTCCTGCTGATGGTATTGTCTTTTTGAAAGACTAGAAACTGGACTGCCAGGGCGGTGTCTGACTTCTGGCAATAAAAGGCGGTGAGGCTTTAACGATAGGAAAGAGGCTCGACGCCGCGAAATAACTTTCTCATAAACACAACCCCACGCAGACCAGACCGGCTCGTAAATTGCGAATAACCCAAGTCTTAAACCTGGCTTACAAGCCCGGCTGAACGACATGTCTCGCAACGATATGGGCCCTCCGGCCAAAAGACACAAGGGCTTTGGACACCTCCCTCAAGGCCTACGCGACGCAAAACGAAAGGACATTGACAACTGGGAGACGAATCGAATGCTCACCTCTGGTGTGGCACAACGACGAGACCACGAGGGCGACTTCATGCTCGAAGATGAAGAAGCAACTCGAGTGCATTTGCTCGTCCATGACCTCAAGCCACCCTTTCTCGATGGTCGCACGATCTTCACGAAGCAGTTGGAGCCAATCTCCGCTGTTCGCGATCCGCAAAGTGACATGGCAGTATTCAGTCGGAAAGGAAGCAGGGTCGTTAATGAGCGCCGACAGCAGCGCGAACGACAAAAGCAAGCGCAGGAGGCGACAAATATCGCCGGCACAGCCCTGGGCAACTTCATGGGTATCAAAGAGGACGAGGGAGACAGCGCGGTCGCTGAACCTATCGAGGATACTTACAAAGGAGGAGGAAATAAATTTGCCAAACATATGAAGAAAGGCGGTGGTGGCGCCAGCGCTTTCAGCAGTAGCAAGACTATGCGCGAACAGAGAGAGTATCTGCCCGCCTTTGCTGTGCGCGAAGATCTCATGAGAGTCATCCGAGACAACCAAGTTGTGGTGGTCGTTGGAGAGACTGGATCTGGAAAAACCACCCAGCTAACTCAATTCCTACACGAGGATGGCTACTCTAAGTTCGGTATGATTGGGTGCACGCAGCCTCGCCGTGTGGCTGCTATGAGTGTCGCAAAGCGTGTCAGTGAGGAGATGGATGTTGATCTCGGTGCACTCGTCGGATACGCCATCCGTTTCGAGGATTGTACGAGTGATGAAACCGTCATCAAATGTGAGTTTCTCCCTTTCCGCTTTGAAGTGATCGTGTAGCTAATCTGTATACTAGACATGACGGATGGCGTGTTACTTCGAGAATCTCTTACCCAGAAGGATCTTGACAAATACTCCTGCATCATTATGGACGAGGCACACGAAAGAGCTTTGAACACTGACGTCTTGATGGGTCTTCTCAAGAAAGTTCTGGCCCGACGCAGGGATCTGAAATTGATCGTGACCTCGGCAACGATGAACTCTGAACGATTTTCGCGCTTCTTTGGCGGTGCCGCAGAATTCATCATTCCTGGCAGAACCTTCCCTGTTGATCTTCACTTCTCGCGCACACCTTGTGAAGATTATGTCGATAGTGCTGTCAAGCAGGTCTTGGCCATTCATGTATCCCAGGGTGCTGGTGATATTCTTGTCTTCATGACTGGACAAGAAGATATTGAGGCAACCTGCGAGCTGGTCGAAGAAAGGCTGAAGCAGCTGAATGATCCACCGAAACTCAGCGTCTTACCCATCTACAGTCAACTGCCGGCCGAGCAACAGGCAAAGATCTTCGAAAAGGCCGATCCGGGCGTGCGCAAAGTAATTGTGGCTACGAATATTGCTGAGACGAGTCTGACGGTCGACGGTATCATGTTCGTCGTGGATGCTGGTTACTCCAAGCTGAAGGTGTACAACCCGCGCATGGGTATGGACGGTCTTCAGGTCACCCCAATTTCTCAAGCCAATGCAAACCAGCGATCTGGACGTGCTGGACGAACCGGGCCGGGCAAGGCCTATCGCCTCTACACGGAGACAGCCTACAAGAACGAGCTTTACATTCAAACAATCCCTGAGATTCAGCGAACGAGTCTTTCCAACACCATCCTTCTACTGAAATCCCTTGGTGTGAAGGACCTTCTGGACTTTGACTTCATGGATCCTCCGCCACAAGAGACAATCTCCACCTCTCTTTTCGAGCTCTGGGCCCTGGGAGCTCTGGACAACCTGGGCGATCTTACATCTCTAGGACGTCGCATGACACCATTCCCAATGGATCCCCCTCTTGCCAAGCTCATTATCATGGCATCCGATGAATACGAGTGCAGCGAGGAGATGCTAAGCATCGTCGCAATGCTTTCGGTTCCAAATGTCTTCTATCGTCCCAAAGAACGAGAGGAGGAAGCCGATTCAGCCCGCGAGAAATTCTTTGTTCCAGAATCCGACCACTTGACCCTTCTTCATGTCTACACTCAATGGAAAACCAACGGCCACTCGGATGCCTGGTGCACCAAGCACTTCTTGAACTCCAAATCCCTCCGTCGCGCCAAGGAAGTCCGAGACCAACTTCTCGACATCATGACCAAACAAAAAATGACCCTCATCAGCTGTGGTACAGACTGGGACACCATCCGCAAGTGCATCTGCTCGGGCTTCTTCCATCAAGCCGCACGAGTAAAGGGCATCGGCGAGTTCATCAACCTCCGCACCAGCGTGACCATGGCGCTCCATCCCACAAGTGCCCTTTACGGTATCGGCCACGTGCCCGAGTACGTCGTCTATCACGAGTTGCTCCTGACATCCAAGGAATACATGTCCACGGTGACATCCGTCGACCCTCATGTAAGTTACCACTCCCTCTATTTCCGTCTATATGTCATCTAGTACTCAACTAACTCATTTCTCTCAGTGGCTCGCCGAACTCGGTGGTGTATTCTACTCCGTCAAAGAGAAAGGCTACTCGCAGCGCGACCGCCGCGTGACAGAAATCGAATTCAACAAGCGCATGGAAATCGAAGAGCAGATGGCAGCTGACCGTGAACGCGCTGCTGCTGAGAAATTGCGCGAGAAGGAACGCAACGACCCCGCCCGCCGCAGAACGGAAATTGAGGTTGGCGGAAAGTCCGCCGTGCGTAAGCCTATCATCAAGCCAGGACGCAAGGTCGGTGGCTTGACTGCTTCGTCTTCTTCTTCCTCGCGGCCTGGGGCCAATGTCGATGGAGCTCACGATGGTGGAAGTCGTCCTGGAAGCAGTGTGGTCAAGAGGCCTACAGTGCCTCGGAGACCGGGACGTGCATTCTAGTTTTGCCGTGGAAAATAACTCCATCGAGGGCTTGAGTGCCCTGTTTGTACAACATCATTTCGTCTTTTACATCCATCTACATGGATCTTGTTCAATTGATACCCGCCATTGCGTTTTCATTCAGTTCATTTCCGAGTGGTCTGCTTTACACCCAGGCTATCTCTGAGATAGGGCCATTTGAATAGCCTGTCATTGTGTGCTCATTCGGCTCATTTCTGAGTAGTCTGCTTTATACCCAGATTATCTCCGAGATAGAGCCGTATGAATAGCGCGCCATTGCGTTTTCATTCAGCTCATTTCTGAGTAGTCTGCTCTACAACCAGGCTATCTCCGAGATAGGGCCATATGAATGACATATGCTTGTCCAACAAGCCAATCTTGTTTAAGTAGATAGGTCAAATATGAACAATATTTTTCACTTCGATCAAAGACCAAGCGTACAGGACTAGAACAAGGATTGGCTAAAAAAAAGTTCCAAGACGGAAGGATATCTAAGAGACAACATTCCCCATCCCATTTAGAGATCGAAACGGACCAACCCCAGACAGAAAACAGAATGAGCCAGCATGGTATTGAACGGAGGCTTTGAGTGGCGAGCACAGCTCAGTTAATAAAGTTGACGCAGAAAAAGTGTAGGATCAAGCTTCCGAAGATGTAATCGGCGAAGGCCCTGAAGTAGAGATTAGTATATGTATTTGTAGCGTTAGGGAAACAATCATGATGTTGAAGGTCACCACGAAAAATACAACAAAAGAAACTCACCTCTCATGCGAAGTACCCGTCCCCTGCTCTTCACTCTCATCTGCAAAGCGCGCATTCTTCCCCTTAGAGCTCGGCTTCGATCCAGAACCAGTACCGCTATCGCTAGTTTGCATGCGCAGACTCGCCGTAAGAACAAATTGACCAACAGAAGCACTGAAGCCACTCAGGAAGGCATTGAAGGGCTATGCGGAAGGGAAAGGTTGTCAGTTATTGGTTTATAGATTCCCAATTGCAATTCACACGTCGTATAGAAAAGACAAGAGAAAAAGATAGGGCGAAGAAAAGCAAAAGAACCAAACAGTATCTGCAAGCCAGGGTTTCAACTTACATAGTTTCCAACCAGAACACAGTACACGAACTGCAATCCACCAACAAGAACCAAGAAGGCCATGAAGGCATCTAGGAGGAGGGTCCGCTGCGACGTTGTGGATGCATACTGCTGCCAGACATGGCCGGCAATTTCAGCGGCTGAGGCATTGGTCTTGAGGGTTGTTGGGCCTGAGGAGAGCTTGGGTGTTGTGGGAGCGGGCGTGGGCGTAGGCGTGGAGGGTGCCGCGGAGGTAGTTGAGGCCGCGTGGCGCTTGGGAGCCATGATTTTGGGATTTGGGGGGTCGGTGATGTTTGGGTTCGTGTAATTGGCGATGAATAAATTGTAGAGAGTGCAGATGGAGATCTCACTAAAAAATTGGTGCAAGGACGGTGGGTTGGAGGACAATGGCGGAGTGGAGAGTGCTGGTTGATGCCAGCTTGGAGCTTGTTATCACTGTGGTCACGTGGTGTAGTAGATCCCGATTTGGAAGTATACAATTAAATGATAACGAATATTCTATTTGTTTATTGGTTTAATGGTAAACTTATTGATTGATGCATTTCTATGGTGTTTTTGGTTGTTATTTGTGTTTGATGTTGGGTATACAGTGTTGCCACGGCAAAACGTTGCCGATATAATGCAGAGGAGAGAAGAGGAGTATAATAACAAGTGAGGGGAGGGGGATATCATCCAGTAACCAACGCCGTAAATCATCACATCATTAATAACCACAGCCTCGATAACCATTAGGTTAAGTAAACCATTCGGTAACTTTAGTTCCGTCGATTGGCTGAGAATCGTCATTTTCAACATCCATCTGGAAATCACGCATGACTTGATCCCATTCCTCCCAGCTGAGCTGAGCAGACTCAGGAAGTGGGATCTGATTCAAAAATGGATTGCTCATGTCTGTGTTGTAGGGCATGCCCGCGGAAAATCTTGGTGTCGAGATATTATCCTGGGCAGGTGGAACATCAAATATATCGTTTGATGTAGCTAAAATATCTGTACCAGGGAACATGCTTTGAACAGCACCCATTGGACCATTGCTGAGGTCAATATTGTAGTCTTCGGACATAACAGGTGCTGTTGGGCCTGGTCGGTTTGTCGAGGGCGAATTCAGCATCCCCGTCGGCATATGAATTCGGGGAAGTGAATTAGGACAGACTCTTGGGATGGGCTCTGTTGTGGGGGGCAATGGTCCGAAATTAGATATCAATTCTTGCTGTTGCTTCGACCGGGTGGCAGCAGCTCTTCTCATCAAGGCGGCGAGTGGCCGCCACAGCATGCCCTTCTTATGTGTGGCCTGCGAGGCCCATTCCGTGTAGATCAAACTGACAGCGCTCCAGGCTCGATCGGTGATAGGGCAGATTGGTCGGACGCATATCTCAGACAGAACGAATGCGACTCCATGCCATTGCATGTTGGTCCGGAACAGCCAGCCCCATTTGGCGGTTTTGGTATCAGTCTCAAGCAAGTGGCCAAACTCGAGGACCTCAATTGCAGTCAGAAACAAGCTTTCTCGGGTTGCTTGCGACACATTTCCACGGTCTCTTCGAGTCATTGGGTGATGGACGATCAACCATAATTTGGCAAGGATCAGGCGCCCAACTGTGGCGGAGCACCACTGTATGGGGATATTCATATCACAGTGTCTGATATACCGTTGTTCACATCGATCACTGATGATTTGAATCATCCGTCCAGCACGATCTATGGGCGGTAAACTGTTAGATGGACGAAACCGGGCCCTGGGACACGCGTAATTTGCTCTCCGCAAAGCACTCGTGATCTCACAGCGAATGAGGCAGAATGTTGCATCCGTGCAGCCTTCTCGCTCTTTGGGAGGCTCTTCCATGTCGGGCGACAGGTCGTCGTCATTGATATTTAATGGGAGTAGAGTATCGTACATGCTCTCGTTGATGAGCGGGTCCGTTCCATGGTCTTCAGATGAGCGGACATCCAACAGCGAGATATGCCACCATAATCGGCGCCGCATCTCTGTTTCGAACGGTTTCAGAGAGAAATTGGTGCCATCCCGGTGTAAGCCTAGACCCTGAGCAAGGCGTAATACGATTGATGTCATAGACCACACAAACTTGCTATCATCTTCTCGTCTCACGCAGACCAAGAATAAAACAGCGGCTTGCAGAAGTACCAAGCTTTGCGTATTCAAGAACCCAGCTTTTGCCAGCGCTTGCTCTGTAGCAAACCTGTACCGCTTGACGGCAGTAGTTCGGTCTTCGCCGAACTGGAACAAGCACTCATCAGGTTTCATGCTGACAATGCTGGAAAGATACATGGAAAACATCAGTGCCTCTGAATTTTTGTCCAAAGCATCTGGGTGCCGTGCTGCCTCGGTGAACAGGTCTCTGGCAGTCGGTCGGTGTACAATGGTGATCAAAGGAGCCACATTTTCCCGATATTTTTCCCATAGTATTGAGACCTTAGACGTGGGGGGATGAAACTCTCGAAGAGACTTTGAAAGCGAGTAAAATCCAAAAATGTACCCGTCATGTGAACCCGAGTGGGAAGATTCCGGTGAGGGTGTATCATCTTCTCCTGACGATGAATGATCAAGGATATCTTGAAGCTCCTCGATCTAAAACATGTTAGTATAAAGTACGCTGGGTAGCAAAAGAAAATGGCCAATATCTACCTCGTCCCCTAGACTAGTCCAGAGCCGATTACTAACATATCGGCTCCGGCCTTCATCAATGACCAACCGCCCAAATTCGTTCTCAAACTTATTGGGGGCAAGTTTCGTCGGATCCGATTCTTCGAACGGACAGACAGTTCCACCAACAGCCTGGTTCTGTGGCTCAGCCGAAACAGACGTTGGCACAGACGTTGGCACAGTCGGTTCGCTCCGACCGGTCGAAGATCCAGGCGTAGATGACCGCGCCTGAGCTGAGGTCGATGCACCTTCTGTATTGCCACTGCCCCTGAGGTGATCAATAACACCCTCCAAACGACGCAACCGCGAAAGCAGCTCTGCGTCCGGTGGACGTTTCGATTTCCGTGGTGCGCGACCAGGAGGGGGAAAGATGCAATCTATGCCGGCTTTGGTACAATTCGAGCACGGAGATCTCTTGTTGCAACGGACTTTCCTGCGGCGACAGGTAACACAGCTGCGAGAGGTCGAGCTCGGGGGTTCTGCAGCCGCGTGGCGGGGAAAGGTGGCGGTCAGGTTGGTAGGTAGTGGAGCATTTGAAGAATTATTATTGACGGGGAAGAGATTCAGCTCCTCTGGGGAAGCTGAAGGGAACGACATAGTGCTGAGGTAGGGAAATCGGGTCTCGTTTCCCACATTCTTTGAAGCCTAGTAGTTAGTGGTTCGAGTAAGAAATTACTGGCAAGAATACGAAAATTGTCATCGCATATGCACCAAGTAATCGCTTGGGGCCGTGAAACGCGAGCATGTGACTGGCTGATTACAGTCCCAAGGTTCCATATTGCTATGACTCAGCGTCGAGCCCGGGGCCGAGGTGGAGACACCACCCCGTTTAGGAAAAAGGCCATTATCTCCGTTGAAGTCCGGAGGTCATATATATCATGAAACCCCTATTAAAGATGTGACTAGTATCAGTCAGTTAGCCAGCTTAACGTCTATAATATGCAACGATTCAATACTTGAGCTTTTTCGGGTGAGTCTTCTTTGAGAAGACATCACTCTTCTATATCACCCGTTAGCTAGTATACAGGCAGCACCATCAAACAACCTACCTCATAGCGACGCTTATCCTTTCACTTTAGCACTTCTAGGTGGCTCTTCTACCGCTTGTTTCCATCCTTGTGGACAGCTGTGATATTAATGAAAAAGCCGGACAACATAATAATCCAGCGGGCATCGATCTTATTTAGAACGTCTCTCTCAATTTGACGACATACATGGGGTTAGTCTTGAGCATATATGTACGGCTACCGTTGATGTCAGGAAGCTGAAAGTGATACTCGGTCATTTCATAGTAATATGCCGAGATATGTGTCGTTGCCTCCGATATCTGCACGTCTGGTGGGAATGTCTATACAACTGTTTAAGTGGTTTGTTTCACCTTAGGGTTCGCATTATACCATCTTAGTTCCACTGCCATGGAAGAGATTCACTCGCAAGATCTTCTTGTTCCACGTGTATAAGCAACCTACAGCACCACCAACTGTTGAGTGGGGAGACTTCTAGCAAGACCACGATCAATATATGAAAATCATGATTCTTTAGCCGAAACAAACCTACTGCCTGGCCCCTACCTTTCATTTGCAGATGTTGAAGACCCTCCTAACGGAGGGTCCGCCACCCATATGAAAGGGATCACCCACGCTGAAATGTATAATTTACGAGGAATACCACACAAAAATGTGTAAATATATAATCTCCGTATAAATGTTGGATTTTCTTGATACTACTGCCAGAGACCACCACTCTGAGTGTAACGTTTATATTCTAACACCGTGATAATGTTCCAATGAAATTCCAAACGTAAATTTTAGGGACGCTTCTATGATATATATATCATACTAGAGGCAGGAGGCAGGAGGTAGGAGTAGGATTAAATTCCAAACCGTAATACTATAAGAGGGCGCCTCGATTAGGCTGAATCGAATATGGTGTTGAGATAAAGAAGATGTAATATAGGTTATACTAAGGCTTTTTCCAAAAAATGTACATGGTACTAAAAAAACAATGAACTTTTGAGAAAGAACGATGAGCAAAAAAGATATGAACCCAACCCGATTTGAACGGATGACCTTGAGGTCTGGAATCTCACGCGCTACCTGGGATATTATTAGTAATTGAAGATTGGAGACTTTTGAAAGTGGAGACATACCGCTGCGCCATAGGTCCTATTTGACATGGTTTTTGGAAAAGTGTAGCATGAAGAGCCAAGGAAGACTTTAAGTCAAAAAGAATAATGGCGGTAGTACTCCTACATCGATACCTTTTTTGCCTAACGTAATTCTTACCGCCTTCCTATTACAAAACTGGTAGTAAGACAGAAGGTACCTCTAATTTTATATAAACTGCTAGTAAATTTTAAGTCACTCTTATTATACCTCACTTCGTATACTAAGTACTATTATAAATACTATCCTAAGTACTGATTTAGGTAGGATATAGTATTTTTTTACTATATAAATTAGAAGTAATAGATAGTAGGCAGAATATTTAGTAGGGAAAAACCAGCCAGTATTCATTTTAACTTAAAGCCTTCCTTAGCTCTTAATACTATACTTTTAAAAAAACTATCATAAATAGGACCTATGGCGCAGCGGTATGTTTCAACCATTCAACGGTCTTCAATCCTCAATTACTAATAATATCCCAGGTAGCGCGTGAGATTCCAGACCTCAAGGTCATCCGTTCAAATCGGGTTGGGTTCATAACTTTTTTTTTGGTCGTTGATATACGCGTTTTTTCCTTACTATATATTTTGCCTACTATTTATTAATTCTAGTTTATATGGTAAAAAAACACTATATTCTACCCGGATTCGTTCCTAGCTTAGTGCATAGTATAGCGCTTCTTAGCATAATACTTAGGATAGTATTTATAATAGTACTTAGTATACGGAGTACGAAGTGAGGTACAATAAGAGTGACTTAAATTTACTAGCAGTTTATATAAAATTAGAGGTACCTTCTGTCTTACTACCAGTTTTGTAATAAGAAGGCGGTAAGAAGTACGCTAGGCAGAAAATGTATCGATATAGGAGTACTACCCGATTGAGAAGGCGGTACTGCAATTTAGGCGGGGGACGTTTATCTAAAGGGGGGGGTCCCGTATATCAATAACCAAAAAAAAGTTATGAACCCAACCCGATTTGAACGGATGACCTTGAGGTCTGGAATCTCACGCGCTACCTGGGATATTATTAGTAATTGAGGATTGAAGACCGTTGAATGGTTGAAACATACCGCTGCGCCATAGGTCCTATTCGATGCTATTCTTAGCTCCTAAATAAATACTTCAACATAATACTGAATTGCGCAGAACCTCTTTCTGATCAATTTTGTATCATTCAAAGCACACATTGCTGTTGAGATAGTTATGAAGCTGTGATTTACATTTACCGCGTTTAATACAGCCCCAACTGCCCCGACTGCCAAGGGTGCATCACGTCATTATGTAAATTAGGTATGTCAAACACATACCCATGAAGATTCATTCTAGCGGCTACCGTGAATTTTAATCTTCCGTGTCATGTCCGTCACAGGAGACTGAGTGAAGTGGAACCAGTCTAGAAAAACTACAATCTAGTATTTAACCTTGAAATACATACGATACCCCATTTGTTGCCTCCTAACAAACATTTGACGGCGATGACGTCTCGGGGTCGATCGAACAGTTACATTGGCACGCCATCTCCTGTCTTCGTGCCGCGTTGCCAAAGATATTCAGAAGACTCACTACGACTCACACACATCAGAAGCCAACATAATCTCCAAGTGGCAGTTTCAAAAACGATCAAGAGCTGCCTTGCAGTGTACGGAGTAGATACGAGAGTAATAAACAAGGTAACTATCGAACACTGCCTTCCCATCGACAATGACTGGGTATCTTGAATCAAAGAAAAACGGCGCAGGTGATTGCAAACTTGAAATGCTTCAGTTGCGTTCGCCGACAGAAAAAGAATCAAGCCAGAGACCACCAGAGAATATCACAGGAGAAAAAGACGTCAAATTTGTTGGAACTGGAATTGAGATTTCTTATGATCTTGTGTCTTGAAAATTATACTTTGTTTCTTATTTTTTTTTTTTGTTTCTTCTTTCTTCTTTTTCTGTTCCATTCTTTTCCTTTTGAATAAAGCCAGATGTTAGAAACTGAATATGGAAACTTGTTGTGTGTAAAACACAAATTTCAAATTGATATGTCCATAGCTGACAAGGACGCTATATGTCTACACCAGCTACTTCGGCTAAGCTTCGGCTAAACTTGCATGATCTCAAGGACACTGGCTTTGCGTCGAAGTCCTTGGATACCTAGATCCAAACAGAACCCTACCCGCACCTATTAATGCTCTCTAATGATCTGTTATGCGTTGCAGCGATCCCCGTCATCTACGGAGTAGATACATGTATATCCGAGGATGGAGGGTAGATCCTCCCTACACTTGACTGATCGACAGCGAATCATGGCTCATTTCGGGACATAATCTGCACAGCTTGAAGCCAGCCAATCATGCAAGACTGTGTAAGAAGTTAAGCCTTTTTGTGTCGTGCACTGTTTGTTCCCCGAAGAAACTCCGAGCCCGAGCCTCAACATCGATCGGCGGATCTTCCTGCTTGCATAGCAGGGAGGCAATGAAAATTGACTTTGCCCAAGTCGGAGAATTGCCCTCCGATTTCTTCAAGCTCTGGTCTTGACTTCCCGTGCCGACTATCAGTGGATCGGGTTTCTTTTCCAGCTGTAGCCGTTGTGCGACCGGGAAGACTTGACCCGGTCCTTTTTATGACGTCGGAAGAGCATTTTCGCTGGTAGTAGCTTAGGGGCTCAATAACTCAAAGTAATGGGAACACGTGCCCAGGGCATACTGCCTATGTTGTAGGTGGAATTGTTCCCCCAAGCCTCACTTGAACTGGCCTCGAAAGTGGAGTACTCCGGGAGTCATAGCAGCATGCTATTTTCCATGTTATAAAGCGCAAGATAGAACGAACATACATCCACACTCATAACCTGTAATTTGTAGAAAAATGTGATACCTATGGATAATTGCCGGGGAAAGAAGTATCGATCACAAAAGTAGAGCCCAAAAATGTTCGGAGAGATGTCCGTATAAATCACGGACATCACGGACATCGCTATCAGAAACCTCATGCACTGAAATACTTATTGAGAAACAGAGTGGACACGGGAGACAAAATTACCTACTTTGGAGATACAGTTTGCAGCTGGTTAATAATAAGTAGAGGAACAGCATTAATCTCCTTAATGTACTCCGTACGGAGGACCAGCACTGACACATCTATCCAATCGACTGACTGGCATTGGAAATCGCATGTTACAACTTCAAACACGGAGTACACATCCAACTCTAGTTACAAAGTTGATAGCACATGTCAAAGGACACCTCTTTTCACTCGAATGTTCGATAGGGCCCACTTGTCCGGCATACCGAGAAATCACGGCTGGAGTGAGACTAGCTAAAGTGCTCTATCACATGCTTATAATAATTATCTTCTAGCTCATCCACATGAATTGTGGCGGCATCGAGTGGGCTCATTGTGGAGTGAACAACAACTGAGACATGCAGATATAGCTCAAGGGCTATTTTATACTCCTTGGTGAAGACGATCTATATCCCACTCTGTTCAGTGGATATAGCACGCGGTGCTATTTCACCGCGACCGGCGGGTATTCGGGGGAAAGGGTATCTAATATCTTACAATTTTTTTTTAAAAAAACCACTTATATATGTGCGGAGTACTCCGTATGTTTTACGCAGGACTGAAAAAATCATAGCCAAGCTTAGTTTATATCCCAAAGTTTGAAATCGTAATTATTTCCCTCATCTCCGCAAATAGGAAGCTATAGCGAGAATACCAGGCACATGAACCGATTGGGGCCTCCGTCGGGCACTTTCGATAGGCCAATAATGGACTGCCGGTGCCAATGGCTTTTCAGTGGAGATGTGGTGGCATAATGATTCGCCATGTTTAGCTTTAGGCTTTCAACCTTCATAACCGTTTCATTTGGAAGTCAATCCGGTAAGTACACGCTGGTGCCTATCTTCTGAACTAGTCGTGAAAGAGTATTGGTAGATCACTTTAATATTACTACTTTGTATGTACTAGTAGTACCCTACATATGTAGCTGTATGTATCGGATGTTAGATTTTCCTGACCGGGTTGTTGCCGCTTTATTAGGGTAGGGTAGAACTTTTCTTGGCAGATGACGTCGATCTATGTTGTATGTTGTACATGTTGTAGTATGCCTTAGACCTCTAGGTACTCCCTAGTTGGGCTTTGGTTTTATGGAACCTCGTGTTCAGCTTTGTTGTGTGTATTAAGAAAAACCGCGCTAAAGCGAGCGATTGAGTTAGTACCAAGATAGGAAACCAAGATGCTGAAAATGCCTCACAAATCAGGCCACAAAATTTCGATCGGTCCCATTTAGAGTTTAAGAACTATTCTATCAGGTGAAACAACCAGGAATGCAGCCACAGTGAATGACGCCAGTCTTTTAAGAGGACAGACAAATTCAAGAGCGCATATGATACCCCAGGTCTCAATTTTGCTCGATGAAAAAGCGGCAAGGGGGTAAGCGCTAGAACAGAAGGGAAAGACATCTCGGCTGTATACATGCATGTAAGATTACTCCAATACATACTCCGTATATTTATAATACACTATATGTATTTTATCTATCCCAAGAACTAGCGTGGAGAAACAACGATCCTTACCCTCTCCACTTCTCCAGAGGGCTTCTAGCCCTCCCTGAATGCTTTAGCAATCTTTTGCTTTAAGCTTCGATTAAATTTCTAGCTTTCACATGATAAATTCCTAAATTTCTTAATTCACATCCTTGTGGGGTCTGACATCGAAATCTATCGGATAGTTTTCGTTGATTCGACTTTCATGTCAGTCCCCCCCCGTTGCACGATTTTCACTCGATAAAATGAGTTGATATACGCAGTAACCATCGCTACTCGGACGTACCATTGAGGCCGTCTCATAATTTATGTGAAATCACCAATCTCTCATTCCCTGACAGTTTCTGGCGCGCGTGTGTGTTTGAATATGCCAGAGACCTCCCCCACATCCCAAGGCGAATCAAGCACCCTGCAAGGATCAGCCGCCCAGCAGTTGAATAGGTCCTGCGAGTCTTGTCGAAGTCTCAAGGTCCGCTGTCTCCCCAGCCCATCCACGCCTAATCAATGCCAGCGATGCGCTAAGGGTAAGCGATCATGTGTCTTCGTGGCGCCGCAGAGACGGCGACCCCGGAAGCGGACGGATTCGCGCGTCGCCCAGCTTGAGAAGGAGATGCGGATGATGCGTTCACTGTTGAAAAATCGCATCCCCGAAGAAGAACCGGATTCCAGTGAGGAAAGCGACGGGGACGATGTCCAGGATCATGAGTCGGGCGATGGAGACTTTAAGAGCAATCTCGCCTTGCGGGAGCATTCGGCTCATTCGTCCGAGGATGTCCGTTATACGGATTATTCCCCTGAATTGCTGACAACCCCGCACCCCAGCATGTCTGATAGTGGTGGTTATTCGGCGCCGCCGACCTTTTCGGGTATGCCAGCTGGCTTTGTGTCGGAGCATGAGAGGATTCCTCCGGCGGACGACGTGATCGACCGGGGGATTCTCTCGCTCGAAGATGCGGAGCAATTGGTGGCGTATTTCATCCACGAACTTGCAGTCTTCTTTCCATTGATTGTCCTGCCTCCGAACACTACGGCAGCGCAACTGCGAAAAACAAAGCCAGTCCTCTTTCTCTCCGTGATTGCCGCGACATCCATATCCGTCGATGTAGGCTTGGCAGGTGTGCTGAACCGCGAGATGGTCCGCCTCTATTCAGAGCGGTTCTTCATCGAAGGCGAAAAATCACTAGAGTTAGTGCAAGCGCTGCTTCTGATGATCATATTTTATTTCCCGCCCGTGTCGCCTTTGAAGCTGCAGCTTTATCAGTACACGCACATCGCTTCGACAATGGCGTTAGAAATTGGGTTAGCAAATAAACGTCGTGTCTCGAAAAAGTTCGATCGCAAGAGCACCAGACATGATGAGGTGTTGGCTGAGCAGGCGAGAGCAGTCCTCGGCTGCTACCATCTCGGTTCAAGTGTCGCGATGAAAACCCGTCGCCCAAATCTGCTCCAGTTCAATGACTGGATGACCGAGTGTCTCATTCAATTAGAAAACTCGCCGCAGCGAACGGATCAACATGTGGCGATATGGTTCGAGCTCCAGCGAATAACCGATGAGGCAATGTCCTCATTCGGTCTGGACGACACCAGTACCACATCGACCCTAACTGAGTCGCGTGTCCAAGCCGTGCTACGCTGGTTCGACAAGCGGCTCGAAACGTGGAAGGATAATACCCCATCAGAAATGCTCACCAGTAAGAAACGCCAGTCCTCTTGCTTCGTATCAGATGCGTCCAAAGCCCACCCAATACTAACCGATATCATCAAATAGTCCCCATGATCCTCGAATACCGCTCCACAGTACTAGCGATGTACGAACTCGGCGTAGGAGAAGGCTACCGCGACCCGAACGCACTTAAGCGACGATATTTCACACTGCCGACCCTTGATGAAGAAGGCAACAACGGCAGGGAAGCACTGGAAGGCCCACTCAGCGCAATCCGTATCGACATCAATATCAAATGGATGAACGCCGCACATGAGATGTTGGACACCGTGCTGACCTGCAGCACGGAGACGATGCGTAAACTCCCGAATCTCATGTACACCCGGTTCGGAATGGCCGTGACATCCCTGCTGAAAATCCACTTCTCCGTGCGAACCGGTGCTCTCGGCGAAGTCGTCACAGTGCAGGCTGTGAACGTGGCCTTCTATCTCGAAGCCCTAGCCAACAAGCTAAGCGAGGCCAGTGCCGGGGGTAAGTACCATATCCCCAGTCGGTGGTACTATGTCGTGGGCGTCAAGGGTCGGGATTGGTATGAGCGGCTGGAGAAGCGGCAGAGCGGAGGGGTAGAAGTTGGTTCTCGGGTCGTATCGGGGAGTCCGTCGACCGGTACTGCGGAATCGATCTCCGGTCCAGCGTCGCATCCTAGCCAAGGTCAGAGCCAAAGCCAAAACCAAAACCAAAACCAAGGCCAAGTCCCATCAACGATGGACTCCTTCCCCGTCGCCTCCATGCCTCCAATGCCGCCGGCAGTAGAGGGCATGCGCGACGGGTACGTAGCGATGGGTGGCCCTAGCATGTGGGCCATGGATACCGGGCATAACCCGCATTTCTACCAGATGAGCGCGGCAGCGTATCAGCCTTCTGTAACGTATGCGCAGGTGTCGCATGTGCAGGCAACGTTGCCGCCACAGTTTTCGTATGAGCCGCAGAGGATGCCGGTTAGTGCTGCTGGGCAGCATATGGCTAGGGCGGGCATGGAGCTGGATGGGTGGCTTCCTGATGGGAGTATTTTCGGGGTGCAGCCTCTGCCTGAGTTCTGAGATAATCAGAACCCTAGGATGAAGCTGGGATGGATGCACATGTGTGTGAAAGTCTATGTAATGTCATAGATCATGAATATGAACTGTATATACATATCAGCTGGTTAATATTTCAAACTGATATCCCGTAGTGACATCAGTAAGAATCATGTTCGACTTACCAGTGCACGAGAACAAAACCCAGAAAGAAGATCCCATAAAAACAGAGCTCAGTTGAATAACTTAAGCTTGATAGATGGGGAGTATAGAACCCGGAAGGCAGCAGCCATAACCAAACAGTGGCCAGAAAACGGGATACAGTCAAGTCACCAAGACGCAAAGAAAAGAAAAGAGAAACCTCCAACAAAGAGAGAATCTCCTAAATCCCAGCGGATGTTACATTAACCCATTTTGCCCGGAAGAAATATATTCGCAAAGCCCTGTCGGAGGCTCGGGAGAATCGGAACTTCCGCGATGGGACCCATCGGAGTTGATTGATTATCAAACGATGTATTGAAAATGGGTCTGATGTGGGTTTCTTCGGTCTTGGCTGCTCCTTTTTGCACTACGGAGTATATTGTTGTGTTGTGTGCATGGGCAGAGGCTTTTGATGGCATTGGCTGGTGTATTGTCCAACGTTGTAGTCGGGCTGATTCCTAGCCGAAGCCGAAGCCGAAGCCCCATCTGATGTGGAAACGTTTCAGGATTCGTGGATTAAGCTGAGAATGCTTGGTTATTGTATTTTGACGTGATGATATCTTTTTTCGCTATTTGTACGGAGTAGGGGTTGATTACTTATTTGAGAATGTTTTGCATAACACACTCGTAGAGCGGGATCTATGAAACATCCGAATCCATGGATACATACGGAGTGGACAGACGGTAATCACATGTAATAATGCATGGGCGAGTCGAATAGTCGCAGTCATAAAGGTTCGTTAATTCATTGCATAGATAGAACAGGGATATCAAAAGCCAACCGAAACCAGGACCAACCAACTTGGTCTATTCAACAAGCCTAGTACACTGAAAACAAAGAAAAGACGTAAAAGTAAATCACAGGATTGAAAACGCCTCCAAGGCATCCATAAACCCGGCAATAGCCCCGATCCCCGCCAATCCCCTTGTAGCACTACGAGTCAAAGCCTTATGCCGATCCTTAGCATCTTCGCGCGGGGATCGGCGTGGGTGCGATGACGGGGATCGTTGATCCGAGCGAGACGGCGAGGCCCGGAAGCTAGACTCGGGGGACGAGGAAGAAAGCGGGTATGCGGATGGATGGTGGCGGGGTTGGAATTTGTTGTTGGGGATAATGTTGTATGCCTGATTTCGGGTCCGGGGGGACTCAAAGTGGACTTGGTTTGGTGATGAGCCCCTCGGAGACGGATTGGTACTAGGAATAGTGATGGCTGGGTTGTTGAGTTGGTTCATGTTCATTGGGATGGATCGACGGGCTGTGGTGTAGTCTTGATTTGGGTAGTATTTGTATGGCTGCTGGAGAGGACCCGGCTGTGCGTGTGAAGGTAGTGGTAGAGGACGGGGTAGAGCATGGTTAGGGGGTGGGAAGCTGCCGCTTAGGTATGTGGGGGATCTGCTGTCGGGATTGTTGTGATTCGGAAGATGTCTGGATGAGACACTGTTGGAATGGAGACGGTGGCCTTGCATAGGGTTGGTGCTGTGTGAAGGCGGAAGATGATCAGATCTTTGCTCGTCCTCGTCACTTGAGTCGATGACTCTTGCATCGCTGCGAGGCTTATCTCGATGCTTGAATTCATCGGGCTCTGGTTCGCTTTCCACATGGGCCTGGTAGCTGGAGTACTTTCGGCGTAGCTCTGCTGCATTCTGTCGGGCCTCTTGTGAATGAGGGTCTCTCCAGTCCACTGTGGATCCTTCGAGGTAGTAACCTCGGATTGCGTGACCATCAAAGTCTAGCTCCTCGGTATCGTCTTCCTCGGTATCTGAAGAGAGGTAGACTCGAGGTTGGACTAGCTTATTGGATTTGTTGAAGCCTTTGCCGGTGTGGTGAAGTTTCGAAGGATCAATCAAAGGCACCCAGAGTGAAAGCAACCGGTCCAATGTGCTCTCAGATAGGTGCACCATATCCTTCGGGGATCTTTCCATATCACTCATCCCCACGTCGCTGTCCCCAAGAGTAATGATGGGCAATCTTGTTGGACCCAAGCGTCTGGTTGCGGCAGCCAATGGCTTCGATGCCGATGCTGTATTGGACGAGTAGTTGGAACTGATTTTCTGGTTTGTCGGGTCATTGGCGGCATCTAAATTCTCCTGTTCCACAAGATCCCACAAGCGATCGAGGCGCTTGATAGACCAATATCGGACGATAATCATGTTCTGAGATTCCGCTTTCTCCTGGGCAATCGCATCGTCGGCGGTGGAGGTAAGGGAATCAGTATCAATCGCCTCGTCAACGTTGGATTTGATAACTTTCCCAAGCTGTAGAGTTTGTAGCATCACAGTCAGGTTGAGCTTGAGAGATTCCAACTGGGCGAGCAAGTAAGTGACGTGCTGCTTCCGGAAACACCATTTGAGTCTCTCCTGTAGTGGAATCCTCATAAGATCATTGTCGCTGTCGGTTGCCTTCAGCTTGTCCAGCATGTGTTCGATCTCGATGAAGATCATCTGGCCTTGTCCGGCAATCTCCCAGGCCTTCTCTGTTGCCTCTGGAGACTGGTCCACATCGGTACCCTCAATAGTCAGCCCAATATGTTTGAGCGCTAAAGCGAACAGCGAGATACCCTTAGCGATGCTATGAATTTCCAGTCTCGACTGAGCGAGTTGACAAGCGGCAGCGTTGAGGAGCAGTGAGAGCCGAAACCCCGCGCCGGCGATCTTAACAATGGAAGCCTGTGAGCCTTTAGATAAAGAGAAGGAGCTCATTAGTAGAATTTCTCAGCTCTCCAAAGGAAACATCATACCTTGTGCCATGTTGAAGCAGTGTTTTAGATCATATCAAAAGACAAAGCGGGTTTCACCAACGATCATAACCTCCAAGCTACTCTCTGCCAAGAATTAGAGCCGCAAGCCTACTGCATATCAAGTGACTCACGTCTGACATATGCATTGGAACCCCCGGGGGTTCTCTGTTTGTACCCCCGCGATTCATGGCGTCATAGTTTATACTTTCTGGCCTTCTCGTTGGTCTACGATGGGCGGAGTCGATCTTCAACCTGAAATAATCTTGCACGTGTTTTTCCTTGTTATATTGAAGTCTCGGGCCAAAGTACCCCGGCACTGCCTCAAACTTTGATCAACACGGCGTTCCGCTCAGCTTCTTACCTTGGACTTACTTATCAAGACTGCCTCGCCCGTATCAAAAGGTCAGACTGTCCACCGGAGGTCTTCGGACACCCATGAAAGTCCTTATCCTTGGTCTTTACCCGGGTTTTCTCCTAGGGCGAAGCGTCGTGGCAATGACCTCGTATTATTAGAACTGGGATCAGGAATGGAAATGCGAGTTAATTCAAAAGTTCCGTTATGTCCGAGTCCGGGGATTTTTCCTCTTTTGTTCAACAAAATCCAATATGGTAGCCACAAACGTGGTCTGGAGTACGGAGTAGACATGTAGCTATTCCGAGGTGGATCTCACAAGCGGTGACCTGTTAAATGTGCAACCTTCCACAGAGTATGGAATGAAGAGTAGGAAAGATCAAAAATATTTAGAAGAATGTATACATTATTCAAATATATCCAAGTATCTACTGTTTTCATTCAGACTTGTTTATTTAGCATCGGACTTAATGGGCGCATTTCCGCTTTCGGTTCCTCAACAGTTCCTTTTGCTATCTGCCTAAAATCCCCTCAAAAACCTCCAAGATTCTATCTCGAATATCCCTTGAAACTGTTTAATTACAAACTTGACACTCAGACCCTTTATTGTGGCTACTGTGTTGGTTAATTGATCTCTCCGCCGCATTCTCCGCCCCTCCTCCTTTTTCGCCGCGTGGCACACCGTCATCTACCGGAGATTGCCCAAGCTTGTCCGATGACCATCTAGTGGCCCACCATCGGACGTGGGAAACTCGTGAGAAGACAAATTCACTCAGGTAGGAGCTCAAAAGCTCAACGCAACAATTGTGAGGCCGGATGGGTGAGCTCCCGAAGGCATCGCGAAGGAACGTGAGGACGCAAGGGACAAGGATCCGATACACCACCTTAGGGCCCCCAAGAGCCTCCATTCCATGAAATCATGACCGCAGCCTCGGGTGTCACCGTAGACACCTCCTATTATCCTATACCCTCCCCGCCGAACGCCACCAATTCGTCCCAGCACGAAACCCAATCAACAAAGGGCGATTCCCCCACAAATCAGAATGAAAAGGAGATAGAGGGCTCAGCGCCCCGACCAGTAGCATCCGAACCTGCTGCAGGGCCTGCTAAACAAGATCCTACCGCAGCAGATGAAGTAGATGATTTTGGCCTTCCCATTCGAGCACGCCGACCCGACCCCACACTTAGCGAGCCTCCCGAAGGAGAGAACGCCGGCCAAAACACTCAGAGTGTGGCGGTGAGCTCGACAGGATATAGTGACGCTGTGAAAAAAGAGAAGGAGCCAGAGTTGTCACAGGGCAAGCTGGATTCTGGGGCCCCTGAGCTAGCCAATCCGAACAATACAGAAGAGCGAGGCAAGGGTGCAGAGGCCCAGGACACTTCTGCACCCCCAGAGTATTCACAGGCCGCTAGTGCCGTTGCTCAACCTCGGAACTCAACATCGAAGCAAAGAACAGCCCAGGTATCGGAATGGTCGCACCAGCGCCTCGCTCAACCTGATGCACATCACCCCGAGAGTGACGAGTCAGACGCAGAGCCCGATGAATGGCAATCGATGCCTGCACTTGGAGAATTTGACTACTATGACGACTATGGGAGACTCGTTGCTCGTGGCGCCAAGGAAGAAGGCGACGAGGCTGTATACCAAGGATTAGGAGGAGCAGGGAGGGGTTATACTCGAGTGCAGCTTGACGAAGATGCTCAGTCTGCCACAAGTCTAGATGATGATACAAGCTACCTGTTCCGAGAGGCAGGTGACAATTCTGCTGGTTTAGTTGGCGAGGAACTGCGCGATTCCATCAGCCAGCTCCAGGCCACCAAAGACCTTCTCAACGAGACTCAAAAGATCGCATATGTGGGGGTTGTCAGGTTGGCAATCCATAATATGAATCATGATCTGGCTTCAATTGCCACAACCAAATCCACGCGCAGAACCATGCAGAAAGCCTCGGATGCCATGCGACAATGGGGCCAGTCGATTATGGGGCGAATCTATGCTCATATGGATATCAATTCTGCTGAGCAGATTATGATTGAGCAGCTCGCGGAGCATGGCGTGCAACCAGAAGATCTGGTGCCGCCACTCATGCAGAATGCGCGGGTCAAGAATCCTATGGCACAGAGTGAACCGAAAACATCTACATCCAGTCGGAAATTGGACTCTCCATCTAGGGCCTCCGCAGAAACGGATTCATCCGAGTTAGATCCCCCTCCGCCATACGAGGCCCACGAGACTGAGGAGCCCCCGGAGGTCAAGATGCCTTCTGAGATGCCAACCTCTGATCGCATAGATATCGATCTCCGCTGGACTGTCCTCTGCGATCTGTTCCTTGTGCTCATTGCAAATTCAGCATACGACGCTCGGTCGCGAACTCTTCTGGAAAGGGTTGGCGCAGCTTTGGATGTAACATGGCTACAGATTTCACGGTTCGAAAAGCGAGTTACAGACTCCCTCGAAATGCAAGAACAAGCAGAGAAGGAGAACTGGGATGAGTCAGATCACATGGAAAAGCGCCGCAAGATGGCCTTGAAGCGGAAATATATGATTATGGGTTTGGCGACGGTTGGCGGCGGACTGGTCATCGGCCTTTCCGCTGGACTGTTGGCACCCGTCATCGGAGCTGGTCTTGCAGCTGGGTTTACTACAGTGGGTATCTCTGGAACCAGTGCATTCCTGGGAGGAGCCGGTGGTACAGCTTTGATTGCTTCTGGTGCTACTCTAGGTGGAAGCACTATTGGAATGAGAGCTTCGCAGCGACGTATGGGTGCAGTTCAAACGTTCGAATATCGACCTCTTCATAATAACAAGAAGGTCAACTTGATTGTGACTGTCTCTGGCTGGATGACTGGAAAGGTTGATGATGTCCGTCTACCTTTTAGTACTGTCGATCCGATTATGGGCGATATCTATTCCGTGCTGTGGGAGCCTGAGATGCTTCGAAGCATGGGTGACACTATCAACATTCTGGCAACGGAGGTAAGCTTTTTAAGATTTGTGATAAGCGTTACTAGACTAACTGGTTCTTTAGGCATTAACACAAGGTCTGCAACAAGTGTTAGGTAGCACCGTCCTGATGGCGCTGATGGCATCTTTGCAACTGCCACTTGTCCTCACTAAACTTGCATACTTGATCGACAATCCCTGGATCGTTTCGTTAGCACGCGCCAATTCAGCCGGCCTCGTTATGGCTGATTCCTTGCGAGAGCGGAATCTCGGCAACCGGCCTATCACATTGCTTGGTTTCTCCCTCGGCGCGCGTGTGATCTTTTCTTGTTTGAAAGAGCTGGCCGAAAAGGGGGCCCACGGTCTAATTCAGAATGTATACCTATTTGGCTCGCCTGTTGTGGCGAACAAAGACGAATACCTCAAGGCTCGGAGTGTAGTATCTGGGCGATTTGTGAACGGTTATGCCACGAACGATTGGATCCTGGGCTACCTCTTCCGAGCAACAAGTGGTGGTATCATGAGAGTCGCTGGCCTCGCAGCTGTCGAAGATATACCGGGGATTGAGAACTTCAATATTACCACGCTTGTGAATGGTCATATGGATTACCGTACGGCTATGCCCCGAATTCTGAGGGAAGTTGGCTGGGAGGTTCTTGAAGATGAGTTTGCGGAAATCGAGGATCCAGACCCAGATAACCACGCTGAACGACAGCGCGAGTTGATTCGTGAAATTGATGAAGCTCGCCGAGAAGCAGAGGCGAAGCCAGAGAAGAAGCGATTCGGCCTGTTCAAGCGAGGCAAGATGGCGGAAAAGAAGAAATGGGAAACATATGACGTCGACAAAAACACCGCCCCTCGCGATTCAACCGAGCCCGAAAGTACGCCCGGCAGTATCCTCTTCGACATCGAGGCCATTCGAGCCGAGTTACACTCCGAGGCGATCGAAGTCAAAGAATTGGAGTCGACTATGCCTCTCATGAAGCTAGATCTGAACGCTCCGGCAGAACCGCCCCCAGCCCAGCCGTCCCCCCCTGTCGTCAAGAGGCCCAAGACGCCCGAACCTCCAGCTGCTTCTCGGACTTCTTCGCTACCCCCGCAAGCATCGGGGCACTACTCCCCTCACGGATCCAATGAATTCTCCCCCGTGCCGAAATACGAAGATATGGAAATGACGTTTGACACATCTTTCCATGATTCCCCACGATCCAGAAATGACGACTATTACTCTCGTCCAGAGTTGAGAACTGCCTCTACAATGCCGACGGTTGGTTCCAGCGCGCTTGGAGCCATGGCTATGGAGCCCAATGCATGGGCGGACCATGATCAGGGACATCGGGATGGCGAGATCTCAATGACGTTCGAATAGTGTCGGCTTGAGGGTCCGGTCCTTCTTATATTGCTTTCCCCCCCTCTCTTTATAGTTTCTTCCACAGATTCGGTTTCTGAGACTCAATGAGGCGCATGGCTTGCACATGCGCGTTTGGCTTCGCTATGATCTGAGTGTGTATATGCCCACCCATCTATGTATAGAGAGGCAGCCCTAGCTTCAACAATTATCAAGATACGATCCTAAGTTACATGCAAGCGGATTGGCCTAACTGGATTCTTTGTCTGTTTTCTCGTAGTGCCCCTAAAAGTACCCGCCTACGTAGCTGTGTGCTAAGGCACCAGATAGTGAAAAGGGAGGCCAAGTACCATTGAGTATTTAGTAGGCTTCACCGGAAGAAAATCCAGCACATTATTTAGTTTTATATACTTACCGATATTGTCTCGAGTCTGATTTCATTCAACTAGTTGTCTGAAACTTCATCGCCCCAACATCGGCTCTATAACCATCATTTATGACTGCACGATTCGCATTTAACCGCTGGGGTTGCTCTTCCGTATAAGATACAATTTATCCTTCTTGCGGCCGGCGACCTCGAGTTCGGTGTTTGAGTTGGACGTCTGGGCCTCGACTTTGTCCTGGCGTAAGTGGCGGGTGTGGTCGAAGAGCCGTTCTTGGAAGTCCTCGTTGATCCATTGCTTGATGATGATGTATTTGGTTTCTTCCTGGTAGATGGAAGTAGGGTTAGCATTGGTCACATCGAGGAATGGTTGTACAAGATAGGCTTACCTCGTCCCAATCCCAGGGAAGGTTGTAGGCTTCCAAGGTTTCGGGTAGTAGGTGTTTGCGGTGGACCTGGGGATGGTGTTAGTAGAAAACCCTCGTTCAATGGACAGATCGTACTTCATACCTTGATCCAACGTGTCTTTTCAATTTTTATTTCATCCTCCTCCTCCTTCTGTTCATCCTTCTCTTTCCCCTTCTTCCTCTGATCCTCGGCCTCCATCGCCTTTCGGATATCCTCATCTCGAATCGCCTGAATGAGCTTTTCACGCTCCTCCTCCTCTTCCTTTAGCCGGGCAAGCTCTTTCCACTTTTCCTCCCGAATGAGCTTTTCACGCTCCGCCTCCTCCTCGTCACGCTCGATGGTATCCTTCCCGAGACGCCAGCGGCTCGCTAGCCGATCCAGCTCCTTCTCGTGGCTATGCTTATCCTTGAAGCTCTCCAGGCGGTGCAGCGGGTCACCGATCTCATCTTCGTACGGATCTTCTTCCCCGCGTAGTAGCTGCGACTCACTGGAGTCTCGTGCGTCAGTCTGGTCACGGTTCTGCGGCTCGTGCTCTAGATGCTTGGTGTTCTGCTGTTTAATCCAGCCGTCGATTCCATGCTGCATATCGCTTTGAAAGAGCTTTTGATTTGTAGCGAGGTCGTCTTCAGACTCTTCAGACTCTTCATAGTCTAGACTCCGGTAATCGAACCTTGAGGGGTATGATTTGTTCTCCACGTTAGATTCCAGATCTCCAGAAGTCTCTCTGTCACTCAAATTTGCCCCAACTGATGACGTGGAATGTTTGTCTTTATTTTGTAGCCCTTCCATTGGATTTTCATTCCTAGGATCGGAGTCGGAGGCTGGTGTCGCTGCGTTCTTCATATCATTGCGCTCCTCGAAACTCTGTTCTATTGAATGGTCGTCCAAAGATACATTGCTAAGATTGTCATCCTCCAATTCGTTTTCATCTTCGTCTTCGTCTGTTCGTGGCAACAAAAAGAGCGCAAGCTCTTCCAAGTGTTGACCCACGTGTCGCTGAAACGTGATAGCGGGAAGAGAGCACTTTTTGCAGATAGAGCAGTCATATGTACCATCCGTGATTGATATTGTAGCGTGTGTTTGCTGAATATGATGGTGCCATTGTCGACGGCCCCCGTATAGTTTGTTGGGCGTCGAGCATCCGGGGAAGATGCAAACGTACGGCATCAGATCGCGAAAGATATGGCGCGCCCATGCTCTCCTGTCTCGAACCGTGATGATGTAAAAACAGTATGGACATTCAAAGGGTTGCTTTTTTGTGCCCTTTTTCGGTATAGGTGGTATTTTAGGGGCATCTGAACCAGTGCCCTCGAGCAGGGCGCCTCCGTATGAAGTTTGAGATACGCCAGTATCGGAGGCCATGTCGTTAAATTGGCCAGGTATCTCCTTGAACACATCTGTCACCACCGTTTCTGATAGTATGGTCGATTTACCATCACTCTCGGAATAGATGCCCTGACTTAATTTTGCATGATGTCGTTCGCGATATTTCAAGATCGCTCTTTGTCGCGCCATTGCGGAACTGATGCGGTCAATAACCAGCGCATCTGCATTTGGATATTTGTTGGAAGTATGCTGCTTCGCCCAGAATTCGAAGGGCTCGGAATCCAGCTTTTTGGTTCCAACCAGTCGATCGTGCTGTGCTGGTTTACGGATGATCATGGACATCTGGTAGAGTTGAGTGATCGTCTCAGCGAGGCCTTGGTGAATTTCTTGGATCTCTGTGGTAGAACTCTCGCTTTCTAATTCTCCTAGATCTTCAAATTCATCGTATTGCGCTTCGTCATCGCTTTCCTCCTCGAGCACATCCTCAAGGTCAGTGAGAAGTTCCTGGAATTGCTCCAACAGCCTCACTATCTGACCCTGGATATGCGAAGCATCCCTAAGACGGTAATCTAGCGAAGACTGACGGGTCTGATGAGCACCGATATTTGCTGCCCACAGGCGAAGTCGACCCAGTTCGTCCGTCCAATCTTGTAATGGAACCTCCTCAATGTGATCGGAGAGCGCGTCTGAGTTGATCAATGAGACAAACTGGGCAAGACAGCCCTGCAACAGCTCCGATATTGCTACCATTATGCGGTAATTCTTGAAGTTGTAAGACCGCTGGCATTACAGGTGTGAGATGTCTGCTAAAATGTGGATCTTGGGTATCTTTCATTGAGGCTTTAGTGCGGGGTCATTGGCATAGCACCATCCAGCTGAGACCCCATTTCTCTTTTGCAAGCCTGGACTCGAAAGATCAGATCCGGACATGGTCACCGGTATCGAGGCTGCAGGGCTCGCTCTTGCGATTCTTCCACTCTTTGTGAACCAGATCGATGCCTATGTCCGTGGCATAGAGAAGATCAAGGGTCTGAGGCGCTACCGACGGGAGTTTAAAGGCTATTCAGTAGGACTTCGCACACAGCATGCCATTCTACTAAATACGCTGGAACAAGCTTTGGAAGGTGTCGTGAATGATGAGGATCAAGTTTCTGAACTCATCTGCGACCCGCAGGGTGATGGATGGAAGGATCCGGACTTGCAAAAGCGACTGCGCTCGAAGCTGGACCGAAATTACGAAGTATTCATGGGAAATATGGCTGGCCTCTCTGAGTTGCTGGAACAACTATCGCATAAGCTAGATGTTGGAGTAACTGATATGAAGGTTAGTGGTTGGTATTTCTAACCACCGTCTGCTCAGTCTTTGACCCGATTTATTCTCCGAACAGACACCCGTCACCGAAGCCTGGAACATATGGAAATTCCGAAAGATCCTCAGCAAGGCAGTCTACGATGATCTGCTCGTGAAAATTGATGGAACAAATACAATCCTTAAGACACTAGTCGATCAGTCATTTCACCTAGAAGATACCAAGAAGAGGCGGCAGAGCTGGAACTATCTACTGAAACGGTATCAAAAGTCTCGCAAGCATGCTGAGGGACTGTTTAAAGCAATCATTGGAGGAGGCTACTGGCGCTGTCAATGCAAGAAGCACCATTGCGTCCACCTCCAGCTGCAAATAAACTCCTTACAGAGTACCAAAGAATACCCGGACAGTGACTTTGATGCTAGATCCCAATTTCGGATGATCTTTTCAAACACGAATGAGGCAGATCTGACTAGCCTATGGACTTGGACAGAAGTGGTATTTGAGCCTTGGCTGGTTGAAGAGATAGTGACAGTTGCTAGTCTCTCTCAACATGACGATTCCAAGTCCTATCGCCAGAAGAAGCCTAAGGTTCAATTTGATATCCCTTCCGTGGAGGAAGCACGGTCATGGGAAGAACGCCGAGAGGCTCTATCTGCTCCACCGATCCAGGACTTTTGTTCATCGCTTTGTGTCGCTGAATCACACGTTGGGCGCCGGGAAAGCATAGGTTCCATTTCGAACGACCTAGATGCCTCTGTTAGATACACGATGCATGCCGTGAAGATACTTCCAAAAGCATTCCACAAAAGCCTCTCCGCGAGGTACTATCGCATATCAGTCGACGGGACCGCCTTCATATCGCTGCTGCTCTAGCATGTGGTATGATTCAATTCTGCGGTAATTGGTTGAAATCCTGGTGGGATATCTCTGATATCTACCTGGCTACTACAAGCGACGACGGGAGCAATATACTATTGGATAATCTATACCTGTCATGGCCTCTTTCTACCACTGGCATAACACCAGGTCCTCGCAATGGTACTAAGTATTCCGATCTCGGGGATAACCGTCTACTGCCACTGGGGCTTGCACTGGTGGAGCTGTCCCTTGGAAAGCCTCTCCACACATTGTTGGATATGCAGGATGAGAATCAGGATACACTGGTGAGCAGATTCAATACTGCGTCATGGCTTGTCAAAAAGGTATACATGGAGAGTGGGACGAATTATGCCGATGTGGTTAATAGCTGCTTGTCTTGGTCTTCTCTATGTCTTGATAAAAGGTTCGAGGAGCGTGTCTTCGACACTATTGTTTCTCCGTTACTGAAAGACTTGGGCAATTTTGAAGGCATAGCATAATATGAACGAAACTTGAATGTATATTTGAACACTTTTCTATAGTACTCTCGCAAGGTTATGTGACCTTTCCCTTGAGACCTGTCTGTGTACCGCGAAAAACTTCTATTCCCCAAGCTTTGGATACAAAGTGGCACCTAATATATGAAAGCCCCACCTAGCAGAGGGAATATACCATATAGAGGTACATAATTAGGTCTTTTTTAGGATATTGTATAAAAGTGCATGAAATTGGAGTAGCAATCGCGACGCGTTTCCCCTCAATGTGGCGCTGGTTACGGCGGAAAATAGCGGCACATCGGACAAATTTATGGAGGGCATTTAATTGGTTCAAAATACTGACTAATTCACCGCCTTTCTCCCACCGCTTCTCCCAATCTGATACTAACGAAAGTGTTCAGATGCCTTTCTTTAGCATTTCTTTTTTTGGATTTCTTTTTTCAGGTGTCGTTTTAGGTATCTTGCTGGGGGTGCTTTTGGGATATACTTTTTTTGGTCTCTTTTTAGCTTTTCTTTCCCCCCATTTCAATGTTGGTAGAAAGAATGATTAAAAATGGAGAACCACAAATCATATAATTACAGTGAATAGCGTAGTTCCCATAAAACGACTTTCCGATATATAGTATGCAATATTTGGAGTATTACGATAGATACATGGAGTTATAGATGGAGTTCTACTCAATGATTTTCTGCCGGGTGAAAGCGGCGGTTCAACCAATCAAAATCCCCGGTGTCCGATATGCCGCTATAGCCCGCCGTAGCCAGGTGTCCGCATTGTCTCAGCTTCTCGAAACCAAGTGTTCTTTGTCTCGAGGACCAAAAAAACCAATCCAGCCCTGATTCAACATTTCACCTCGAACTGAACCGCAGAAACATTTGCCTAGAGAGTTGAAAACGCGCAAAAACGCGTTACCCCATCCCGAGCTCGAATTCCCCCCGGCCTGAGCAACGCGCTTCACATGAACCCAGAATAGTTCTCTTTGACTCGAAGCTTTCAGAGCCCCGATTGGTGCCAACAGTTGGCAATTGGAATCCTCCACCGCCGTCCACCATGGCGGCTCAGGCCAAACCTGATTCCAGCTACGCATCCAATCGTCTGACGTGGAGCAATCCTCCACCCGGACATCTTTTGTCTACTTTCAATAAGCCCAAGCCTGAAGATGCGAAAGTCGAAGTCGCAGGAACCAATAAGGAGGCTGATCAGCCTGGTGTCGAGGCAAAGCCGGAGATTGATACAGACGCCGAGCCTTTAAGCTCCGATGAAGAGGAAGCAGAAGGCTCCAAGCCAGATGTTGCTCAGCCTATCATTGATACAAAAGTGGATATTGACACAGATGCCGAGCCTTTGAGTTCTGACGAAGAGGAAGGCGAAGACCCCATGCCAGACATTGCTCAACCTAGCATCGAGAACAAGCTAGAGATTGATACAGACACCGAACCTCTCAGCTCTCCACCTCTTAGCTCCCCACCACTCAGCTCCAATGAAGAGGAAGCGGAAGACCCGAAATCGAACGCTGCTCAACCTAGCGTTAAGAAAAAGTGGGATATCGACACCGATGCCGATCCTCTAAGCTCCGATGAAGAGCAAGCTAGCGATAGCGAGGCTTCCCCAAGTCGCAAAGAGGTGAACTATACGACTTTGGAGGAGAAGCTTGCGGAAGAAAACAACAAGGCATACAGTAGTCCACAAATTCATAATGGACACTCTCGCAGAGGCGAGTTTGTGCGAAACCTCAGCGCTATGATGGGCTCCGATGATGACGACCTCCTTTTCTTCTCTTCGCAAAGCCAGAACAAGCGGCACAGGACAAAATATGCGTATAAGGGAACCTATTTCAACAGGCCATCTTTTTCTGCACCAGAGACCAAGAAAGCGAAAGAGCCGTCGCCGGTCGAGGAAGCTCCCAAAGAGCCCGAGGAGACCTTTATTATGCCAAAGGACATCGAAAGTTCGAGTTTGAGAGAACCTCGTGGCGGAGAAGACTCAAACTCTAGTTTCTCACACGGCCCATACACGATGGAAGAATACGAGGCAATGCTGCTTGACGATGATTCACCTCTCTCATCACCTTCTTCCTCCACTTGCGAGCAAATGTCCCAGCTCGATGGACCCGCAGCGAAGGAGGAGCGCCAACCATCACCGCCCCGTATAGCTCTGTGCCCGATGTGTCATAAGGAAGTAGACTGGGCTTCGCTAGAACTGTTCAAATCACAGGCAAAACAGCGTATTCGCGAACAGGTGATGTTCTGTGAATCACACAAGCTCCGCAGTGCGATGGACCTGTGGCGTGATCGAGGGTATCCTAACATTAATTGGGATAAGTTTGAAGAGCGTGTTCAGAGTTATTTCCCCGAACTCGAGAAACTGCTTGTCCCCGGTGCTTTCTCTTACTACCGAAATATTCTTGGTACCTCTTTTGCACCAGGGAAAGCGAGAAACTTCCGTGTGACAGTGAGTGACGACGAGAGGCTTGAGACGATGACCTGTGGTTATTATGGTACTATGGGTGCAACTAAAATGTATGTGGTATATAACTCCCTATTTGGTCGAACTACGCTAACCTGTGTCTTCAATCTAGGCTAGAGACAATCATCCGTCGTTTTTCTGTGGTTGTACGTCGTCTGGCGACAACAGATGAGCTTATTAAGACGGCAGGTGTGGCTGGCTACACACAGTCTGTACTTGTGCCTGAGCTGGCTGTTCTCATGGTCAAGGATGACATGAAGGTCAACGACGAAGAAGCCCGTCGGATTATGAGGGAGAGTATGGACATTGGTGGCAGAGTCAATCCAGATCTCAATGTTGTCCCGATACCGGAAGATGTCGAATTATGATTGTGGATTTACTCGGTTACATTCTATACCACGGGCGCTATGTTGTTTCATCTCATTTCTAGCTGTGGCTTGTGTTTCATCTCTTTCTGCTCCCGTTTCAAGGGTCATGCAGTTTTATCATCCTGAGCGATTGTATATAGATAGCCATTATGATACCACTCATGCTTTGTCTTATATTTACTTGAATGTCACTTATATTGATTCCCAACTGAACGCCCAATTAACCCTTGGTAATCATCATCAGCGAGAAGACCTGAGTCACTCTCATAGATCAAGGAAATCAATATTCGCCCAAAGAGGCAATTTGATGGCGGGTTGACCCGTGAGGGGTAGCTTTGTCAGCCGATAAGGTGATCGCTGGGTCGATGATACCATGCGGAGAAGTATTCCATCTGGGCAAGATTGACATTTTCACTCTTCCATCACTCACACACAGGATGAGGGAGAAAGACATGCGATATTCAGAGATCACACCTCTGCTGGAGGTCAATGTCGCTCCTTTGCGGCATAGATATCCACACCATGCTCTTCGTCGAGCGTGTACTATCTCCCTTGCCGCCCTACTTTCTGTGGCAACCCTTCTATTCCTACTTCCCATCGCCATTTTGCCCCGAGAGGGCGGCTCTATTTGGTCCTATCTCCCCGGTGCCCACCCAATCCCCCACGAAGCGTGGCCGGAGAGCTACGGTCTGCCTTACGAACAGCTCCAGCAGATCCTCCTCAATGTGCCTTCCGCAGCCAAGGCCCGAGAGTGGAGCCAATACTATACCGCAGGTCCACACTTGGGAGGAAAGAACCTGTCTCAGGCGCTCTGGACTTTAGAAAAATGGAAGGAATTCGGCGTTGAGGATACCGAGCTCGCAACGTATGATATTTACATCAACTACCCGCTCGAACACCGCCTGGCTCTCTTGAAGACGTCCGGTGACAAGACCGAAGTGACATTCGAAGCTACATTGGAGGAGGATGTTCTTGAAGAAGATCCCACTTCCGGCCTGCCAGACCGTGTTCCAGTGTTCCATGGCTATTCTGCGACCGGCAATGTGACCGCACAGTATGTGTATGTCAACTTTGGCACGTACAAGGACTTTGAGGACCTCGTCAATGCCAATATCACCTTGGAGGGTAAGATTGCCATCGCCAAATACGGTGGGATTTTCCGTGGTTTGAAGGTGAAGCGTGCACAGGAGCTTGGAATGGTCGGCGTAGTTATCTACAGTGATCCGCAGGAAGATGGTGAAATCACCGAGGAAAATGGCTATGAAGCCTACCCTAATGGACCGGCACGGAATCCCAGTGCTATCCAAAGAGGTAGCACTCAATTCCTCAGTAAGGCTTCTCTTCCGATGTAATGACTAATGGCATTGCCAAGCTAACTTGAACAAGGTATCCTCCCTGGTGACCCCACAACCCCGGGATACGCATCTAAGCCTGGATGTGAGCGACAAGATCCGCACAACTCCATCCCTTCAATCCCATCTCTCCCGATCTCGTACAAGGAGGTTTTGCCATTCCTGAAGGCGCTTAACGGCCACGGCCCCAAAGCGTCGGACTTCAACAAGTTTTGGCAGGGAGGCGGTCTTGGCTACAAGGGTGTGGAGTACAACATCGGACCCTCTCCCGAGGATGTAGTGATTAACCTCCACAACCTCCAAGAGTATGTCACCACCCCACTGTGGAACGTCATCGGTACCATCAAGGGCCACATCGCCGATGAGGTCGTTATCCTCGGGAACCACCGTGACGCGTGGATTGCCGGTGGTGCAGGAGATCCTAACAGTGGATCCGCTGCTTTGAACGAAGTCGTTCGTAGCTTCGGCGAGGCTCTCAAGGCAGGATGGAAGCCATTGCGCACTGTTGTCTTTGCCAGCTGGGACGGCGAAGAGTACGGTCTTCTTGGCTCGACCGAGTGGGTAGAAGAATACCTCCCATGGCTCTCCAAGGCCAACATCGCCTATCTAAATGTCGATGTTGCCGCTGCTGGCACTCATTTCGAACCTCGGGCCAGTCCCTTGCTGAACAAGGTCATCAACGATGTCACCGCTCTGGTGCAGTCCCCCAACCAGACCGTTCGCGGCCAGACAATCCGCGATGTCTGGGATGGCAAGATCTCAACCATGGGCAGCGGCAGTGACTTCACTGCCTTCCAGGATTTCGCCGGTGTCGCCAGTCTCGACTTCGGCTTTGGTCGTGGTAAGAATGACCCAGTCTACCACTACCACTCAAACTATGACAGCTTCGCATGGATGGAGAAGTATGGTGACAAGGACTTCCTTTACCACCAAGCTTGCACAAAGCTCTGGGCTTTGGCAGCGGCACAATTGGTGGAGTCTCCTCTTCTTGCGCTCAACGCCACCGACTATTCCCTTGGCCTTGGATCCTACCTGGACAACATCAAGCCCGCCGCCGACAATCTCCCAGAGAAGACTCACTTTGACTTCGCACCTCTGGATCGGGCCATCCTTGAGTTCCAGGAATCCGCAAAGGCCTTCGATGCCCATGCTGCCGACCTGAAGTCCCAGCTTGGTGATGACGTGCCTTGGTACCACTGGTGGAAGAAGGTGAGACTGTGGTTCCAGATTCGCGTCACCAATGCGAAGTACAAGGGAATTGAGCGGGCTTTCTTGTACCAGCCTGGTCTGGATGGCCGTGAATGGTTCAAGCACGTCGTCTTTGCTCCTGGCATCTGGACTGGTTACTCGGGAGCCACCTACCCCGGACTAGTAGAGAGTCTTGAAGCTGGAGACGTGGAGAATGCCGAGGTATGTGTTTATTCACAAACAATTTTTGCTCTTGGCACAAATACTAACTTATGTGTTTCTAGAAATGGAGCTCCATCATCCAGGAACGAATTGGTGCTGCGACCAAGTTGCTGCTGTAAATGGCTGTTAAGCAACTATCTTACCTCGGTATGATAGAGCGTTGGGTATATATATAGTATAGTTGGGATTGGAGATTTACAGGTACATCAATTTGAACAAATCCCACAAGTAAAACACTTCCCAAACACAGAATTATATACTTCCCAGCATTATATTATGCGTGCACATTTACCCCAGACTTCGTCATCTGACTAATCAATTGCATGACCGAGCTTCATCTGCGTAACTTACGTCTTTCCTAATCTCACCTCTTCCTCTTGACCCTATTCCTCCATACGCCCAAGAAAAGAAGACTAAAATCTACCTTCCAAACATACAAGATGGTATGTACATAAATCTACATCCCCGCACCGCGCCTCCAACCTTATTCAACCCACCCAATCAAACCCTCCTACCCCAAATCCAAATAAACCACCAACATACCACCATCCACCTCTTCCATCTGTCCCAGACAACCCAAACCCAAAACTAACAAAACCTAGGCCCCACCAACAACCTCCGCCCTAGTCCTCTCCCTCCTAACAAGTCTGGGCGGAATAATCGGCTACGCTCGGACCGGCTCCCTCCCCTCAATCATCGCCGGCGTCTCCGTCGGCCTCGTCTACCTCCTCTCATTCCTGCGTCTGCGCGCCGGCCAATCCTACGGCGAGGAACTTGGTCTCCTGGCCTCGGCCGTGCTGGGTGGAAGCTCTATCCCGCGAGTGATCAAGACGGGTGGCAAGCCTGTCCCGCTTGTTTTGTCTGTGTTGGCTACGTATGGGCTGTTTGTTTTTGGGATTGCGTTTAGGGAGAAGCGGGCTTGAGGATTAGGATTGGAAAGGAAATGGAGAAGATAATCAAGTTGCATTGTTAGTTCAGATTTAGTTAAGACTCATACGTCAATTGAGTGTTTAGCAGCCATTGCATTGCGTATTGACTTTAGTTGCATGTTGTATAAATCGGTGCTACTTTACGGGCTTGACGGGTACGAAGTCTAAACAGGAATCAAGAATCACTGAAATCAAACATGCATTGGTGGATAAACGAAAAGTGCATTAGATCCCAGGCCAAAACGCCCCGAGATGGATTTCCTACCTCCAGAGAAACGCTAAAAACTTACATCGACCGTAGATGGCATCATTTCGCCGTCTCGGGCATTCACATCGAACAAATTCCTCCGGGCCAGGGTTAAACCTCCAGTGGGGGGTCAGGAGGGAGGATCAAAGGGCAAGGCACGTACTGTACGTAGGCTCGTTGTGACTTTCACGAGCCAATGGCTCAGACCTGGGCCTCCCTTCCCCGAACGAGCGACTCAAGGGAACCTCTCGATTCTTTCTTTTGGTTTTTTTGATGATTTTTTTGGGAGTTTTTCGATTTTCTCCTTCGATTTCTTTCAAAATGTCTTTTTTATCTGGCAGCATCAAACTCAAACAGCATCGACGTTTCCTGGGGTTGTCGGGAGAGAGATGGTGGGACGGGGGAGGACTCGCCAGACTAGGATTTGGAATCAGGGCCACTGATGACAACCAAGAATCCAGCCAGGAGAATGCTCATATGTAACTAGAAGTTTTGATGTGTCGACTTAGCTGGGTTCCGTAACTCCATCACTTGCAAATGCAGCAGGAAAAAACAATGCAGAACTTAATGTGCCGGGTCGATCACCGTGTCGGACTCTTGAATGCCCCCCACGATTACGTTGCCGGGAAGCTCGCCGAGAGCGGTTTGCGTGCTTCGGTCTGGGACGTATGCATATCGAGGTAGCTGCGCCATCTTCTCTTCTGGACTAAGCGTATCTTCATTGTAAACCATTCGGACCGCGGGCTTGGTCTTTTCTTTCTTGGGTTTGCTGGTACCCTCTGTCTTGGAGGCGACGTCATTGGCTGCGCCTGAAATTTGATTGTCAACGGGTGTGGAGACATTATCGGTTGGTTGGGCGCTGGATCCATTAGAGTAACCCGAAGCTGCGGGGGTGGGGGATGGGACATGTCCCATGTGCATCTGTTGCATTTCGTGCGCGTTGACTGAAGGCACAGCAAAAGCAGGACGCTGAGGAAGGTTTGAGGCGGCCGGTAGGCCCGTAAATCTGTTATCGGATGGTGGAGGTTGTTGCTGGGGGAAAGAAGGAGCCCCATAGGAGACTGGTGGCTGTGCTGGAAGACCGGCGGGAAATGGTGAGGGATACCCGGACGGGGTGTAAGGGGAGGCACCAGGGACCTGTTGTCCACCAACAGGGGAGTAGCCTGAATAGGAAGGACTGCCAGTTTGCGAGAAATGAGGTGTCACACCAGCGGGGGGCCCACCGTAGGGCTGAGGGTAAGAATATTGCGGAGTGGCTGCGATCTGAGGTGATGACGCCTAGTAATAACTGTTAGTTCTCAGATCACTTCACATTGAATCGCAAGATACGACTTACGTATCCACCGGGTGTTGAAGTAGATGGAACAGCACTAGAGGGTGTCACATCGCCGCTGCTACCTCCGGCAAGCGCCTCCGCACGCCTAGCCTTGTGTTCAGCCAGTCGCTTCTTAAGATCTGAGACAGGTTCGAGCTTGGGCTTCTTCGCCGGTTGGCCGCCAGAAGAGGCGCCAGTAGGAGGGTTGCCTGTCGCATGCTGGCGATCCAGCTCGGCCTGCTGAAATTGTGAAGCGACACGCTGCTGGTGGGCCTTGAGGACATCCGCGGGGATACCCTCCATGCCGAAGATTTCAATATCGACGCCCATGCGGTTCGGCAGCGCATTGTGGACCTGGGTCAATTGCTCCTTGTGGACCTGGCTCAAGTGCACGGATAGACCTAGCGGCATAAGCCATCAGTACATGCGCTTACATGATCTACATAAAATGCAACTTACCTCCGGCAGTATTCAGTCTGCGATGGCAGTTGTCACACTTGAAATGCTTAGCTTTCTGGTGAGAAATGAGGATCTTCAGGTCGTCAAAGTCACGTTCACAGTAGTAGCACCATGGGCGATCGAGGAGCTCCTCGAGAGAGGGACCGCGTCTTTTTTTACCCATTGTGGCGTCGATAGAGACAAAGAGTGATTCGAAAACCGTAAAGGTGTGTGGGGTTGCAAAGGAGGGGAGGTTTGCTCAGGAGTGTCGCAGATCCGGAAGCTCGCCATGATGGATGAGGCCAAGCCTTTATCACGTGGTTGGCACGTGACTGGCTCCAGATGAAGTATGAAGTTGTGACTGAAGGAACTTTGAAGCATTTTGAAGATCTTTTTTTATCTCTCTGTTTGTATTGGGGAAACAAGCTGGCTACTTTGTCTCTTGCAATAGAATTCGCTCACGTGTATGTATTCCCATTTCGTTGGCCTAGGCTGCCTTTGAGAGTATTCCATATCTGAGCCCAGTATAGTTACTACTTCTAAATTATATTTTTGGTAGTCTCTAGCAGTTTTTTCTAATGTCCTTTTTTTTTAAAGATATGTTGTCGTGTTATTAGCGTTAGCGACAAAATATAGAATATGGAGAGTGAAAGAAGTATACAAATGTGCAACCGATGTTTGCAATATAATATGCGATCTACCTATCTCGAATAAAATCCCCCAAATACAATCTACAACCCTCGAAACTAGTATGTACAAGCTAGGAACTACAGATAGGGAGCGAGATTTTTTTTTACAACTTGAATTTTGTCCTAGAATACATGTACTAGTGCCCTAGCAGTGTCCGGACACTGCCAGGGCACCAGTACCTTCATAATGTATCTGATCATTTTATTCCCAGCCCACACCCCAGGGAGGTCTGAGGTCGTAGGGAACCACCTCCACCCCGGTTTATCAACTGCGGGCTCGGCCCAGTCACGAAGAGGGCTGTGCACCAAGCAGTGAAGATAAACCGGGGCGAAGATGATTCCCTGCAACCCATTCCAAACCCTGGGGTGGGCCAAGAAATGATCAGTTGGTGTCGATGCAACCCCCAATTCTCTCTCTCTCACTCGTGAAAAAAAAGTAAGATGAACATGAAGTAAGATAATAGCTAAAATGAGAGAGAGAGAACTGAGGATTGCCTCGACGAAGTCGGCCTGCCCTCAATGGCGTGGGTCCCTCGGGTTATGACCCGGGAGGGGACCCATCCCGTGGTACTGGACGTACGGGAATGGGGCGTACTGGGGCGGCATGGGTTGCCCCAGTTGCGCCATAGGCGCAACAGGCGCAGCAGCAGCAAAGGGGTTCACTGGGCCGGGGCCGTAGTGAGAGACCACCCCCATAGGAGGGAGGGTGGGAGGCATGGGCTGCTGCTGCTGCGCCTGTACGCTTGCCATTGAGGGCAGGCCGGTGGGCCCCTTGGGGGCGAGGTTGCCAGCAAGTGGTGCCAGCGAGGGCGACCGCTTGCGGCGGCCGGGGCCAGTGGGCTTGGGGACCTCGTCGGCGGCGCCGTCGACGGTCCGGTCCTGCTCGATTTGGGCCTTGGATCGCTTTGGGTTGCGAATGCGTCCTTCCCGGTTGAACCGGTCCCAGTGATCGAGCATCGCCTTGGTCCTCTTGGGGTTCTTCGAATTGGCGATCTTCTGGCGCCTGGCCTCCTCAATCGCCTCAGCAGAGAGAGCCTCCTTCTTGGCCGATGTCGGAGCGGATTCGACAGGGCTTTCGGTGGCCGTCGGTTCGACGGCCGGGAAGGAGGTCTCTGCTGGAGGGAGTGATGAGGAGGCCAGGCTGCTAGCGCCACGTCGACCCCGGCCCCGAGATGCGGGTTGAGTAGGGGCAGGGGTGACTTCGAAGGTAGCCCGAGAGGATCCAAGGCGACCAAGCCCACGGCCGCGTCCGCGGCCACGGCCACGGCCAGAGCCTCGGCGAGAGTTTGTGTCAGAGTGAGTTGATTCGGCAACGACGGTTTTGCCGCCGCGGCCTCGGGTGCGTCGCTTTGCGGGGTGGTTGTCTTCATCGGTTTCATCACCATCCGCACTCTCATTTTGAGTCTCTTCTGCATCGGTGGTTTTGGCTGGCACTTCAACTTCTGCGGCCTTGCGTTTCCGAGTGACTTTTGGCACAAGTGGCTCGCGTCGAGGTTCATAAATTTGAGGGTGATATTCAAGGCCATGTTTCTTCATGGGTGCCCACCCATCAGGGTTAAGATCACCACTCTCCTTGTTCTTAGCAATCATCTTTCTGGCTTGCGCAGGAGTTGGGACAAAGCCTCCCTGTACAAATGGATCCTGCTGTGTGCGGATGGGTACAAGTGGTGTGTTGCCCGGGAAATAATTGTGCTTGTAACCATAGAGCATTGCCTCTTTCTTTTCCTCAAAGTCAAGCTTGTCCTCATTGAAGTTAGCCAGAGGGGCTCCGCCCTTTTTCTTGTGACCCTGCATTTGATGTCGCTTTGTTTGATATGAGGGTTCATCTCGCTTGTGTCGGTGCGCCTTGAGGTAAAGGTCGTCGAGGGCCAGGTATTCATCTTGAATTGTTTTCAAGGCAAAAGCGGCGGTCTGTGTGAGTGCGTAGAGTTCTTCAGGGGTGTATTTTTCGGGATTGCGGAGCATGCTGACAAGCTCATCGAGTTCCTGAGCCTGTACTTCGAGGAATTGGCCTTTGTCGACTTTGGGTTTCTTGTATGGAAGAGGTTGAGAGGCTGGCTCAGGAGCATCGCGCTTCCTGGTCTTAGAAGGGTCGTGGAAAGCATTGTCCCAAGTAAATTCACACTTGGCGGCTTCCTGGTCGTAATTTGGGGAGAATTTGTTGGCATCATGAACTTTCCAGAAACGTTCAAGGCGCTGTTTTACATCTGATCGTCGCCACTGGGCCTCACGAAGGCGATACTCCTCGGGATATCCAGTACGCGGGTTGGAAAGCCAGTCCAACAGGTCACGTTTCGTTTCGGGCATATGGCTGATATTGGCTTGGACTGCGGTTGGCTGGGTGCCATTGTTGTCGTCAGTGGTCAGTTCCACTGCGATCTCTTCGCCGTCTTCGTCCTGAGCCTCGTCATCTTCGGGCTTGGCAGCTTGGACTATGGGCTCGTCCTGTTCAATGGCGTCGTCATCTTGGAGATCGCCATTCTCGTCGTAAGTGTCATCAGCGCCATCTTCGGCGAGATCTTCAGCGAGATCTTCGGCGCCATCGTCGGCACCATCATACCCAGAAAAGTTGATAGATTTCGGGTGAACTTCGTTGATATGATCATTCAAAACATCTTCCTCGGAGATGTCTGGGTCATTTGGGAGCATCAAAAGCTTCCCACACCAGTCACACTTGAGCCGTCGAGGCATGGGCTCCGGGGACTGAGAGATTTGGGTGGAAGTAGATTGGGGACGGAAGGGTTCAGAAAATTGACGACGCAGCGGGGAGTCCTGGCTGTCACCAATATCCGAAGAAGGATTGTCCCCATCCAGATCGGCCCTTGGAATAGGGGCCATTTTGGCGCGAATGAACAGAAAAGGAAAAAGAAAAAAAAGAGAACAAGGGGGGTATGAGTGTTTCAATGAACAGGAGAAAAAAAAAGAAGAAAAAAAACACGAGTCTCAAATGGAGAATGAAGAACGTCAAGAAAGAATCTGTATAGATGGTCAGCGTTGGTTCGCTTGCGGGTGCCAAGACGCCAGTAAATCGCAGCGCAATTCCGCGGTTCCAAGGGCCCAAGCCACAAGGGAACAGCGCGAACACAAGAATCGCAATACATTGTAAACCCAGTAAACGCGACATGTAACATGAGAAAAGCATGAAACATAAGACACGGTCGGGCAAAAATGCATGGATCAAGATCTGACCGGGAAGTACTGCGAAACTGTGCCATACAAGAAAAAAAGTGGAAAAGACGCGACACTTACCATGAGATGTTTAAAGTCGAGTTGAGTCCTTGTGAATAGGAGACACGAAGTCACAGCCAATGACTGCTGGCTGTTAGTGAGTGCTGCAAAGAAGGGTGCAGGATGGGCATGAGTGGCTGCCAGGGATGTGTACTTACTATCTGACTGGGGAAGGCTGGGTAGGTGACAGTCCACTTATTGGGACACAACGCGAAGTGGGATGAGAGAACAAGAGAGGAGGTAAGATGTTGGAGACAGGTGAAATAGAGAAGATGTCAAAAGGGAAAGTATGTCGCAAACTTGTGTTTGGCGCGCAGATCTTGCGTCCCCCGGGTAGTATGAAGAAAAAAATGATCTTCGCCGACGCGACACCGCGCAAAGAGGAAAACACGAAACCAAGGGCAGTAAATGAAGTGAGATTACAGAACAGGGTGAATACAAGAGAAGAGAATAAATCGGAAGGTGAAATGGACTTAGGATGATGAGGTTGAGAGGAGATTGAGGTTGAGAGAGAGATAGTTTTGTAGTTTCATAGGCAGTGGAAACCCCGTCCTGGCCCGACCAATCAGAGACCCCGTATCTACTAGCCACATTGGACTACATTGAGGAAAGGGGGTTTTTGATTTGGATTCATCAACTATTCTTCACTATTCATCGAGGATTTTATTGATTCTCTGCATTGTATTGATCTTCAATTGTCAATTGTTATTCTATTTTTTACATAGTCACCTATATACTCGTATACCGGTTTTCATTTTCATCGGACGTCACATGATACGTACTTTTAGAACAATAGCTTGTCTCTTCAATAGCTGGCTATTAAGGCAGGTAGGAATTACAGTAGATCTTGGAGGAGACACACAATAGAACCGATTTGTATGCGCTTCCTTTTAGGCAGCTGCTGTGGACAATCTTATGGACTCGATTATACTCATCTATATGTACTCAACAAGGAAGTCACGACAAGTGACAGGAAATCGAACACGAGATAGTTGCATTATGTTTATATGGATATGTCCGTGGTGACTGGCCTTGGTCCGTTCGGTTCATGGTCTCCATATTTTGTGTGACAAGGAATGCAGTGGCGTCTCATCCTGGTTGAGACATATAGACTACAATACACATTGTCGCCTCTCAAGTTAGAGAGTACCTAAGATAAGTTCTCCATATACCCCTCAACGATTGTCTCCTATCCGTAGTGTCTCCTATCCGTAGCAGGCGTGTCAAACTCAAAACAGCTGTTACTACCAAAGCAAAATGTTCAACGCCAGTTTCTCATAGTATACATCATCAAATATGATGCTCTTATAGTCGAGAAAAACCCTTGTACTGACCGCCTCGCTATCAGTTAAAATAGCCGCTTATGTCTCTTTCGCCTAAACGACATATTATAACCCTTCCGGCCTTGTCGGGTAGAAAGACCAACTCAAATGTATTTATTCTTTACAATCGGTATCTAGGTCATAAGTTGGCTGGTTGGATATGGTAAGTTGTCACATTCTTCGTAGCGCCATCCTATACTTCCCGATTATATGTTTATCACAATATGTTAGAATTTTCTTTTCAAATCAAACCTGACGATACTCTACTAAGTAGAAATTTGTCTAATCACACTGAGTCTCAACTAATAATAATGATAATTAAAAATCAGAGAGAGAAAGAAAGATATAAAAAATAAAACGGATTCATTAAAGCGGCAGCCGAAAAACCCCGGTAGGAAATGTACCAGTGGGTCTCGGGATCGCCCCAATTTTTCCTGGAATGTTCCTTCGACCCGTGAATGCCGAGGTTCACTCTAAATTTTCTACTATTCGAGGCCTCCCTGGGAACAGTCAAATATTGTATAATGATGATCTTTGTACAGTGGAACATAACATTATCGATTATAGAAAAATCGTCAATAGGGACTACTTTGTGGCGATCTTTTGAAGTATATGTTGGCAGAGCTAACGTGAGCCAATGAGATAAGGAGTTTTGGAAAGTACATTGACTCATGTTCTAGTGAAGAGAGATGTAAGTATCAAAAACAACAAGCATAATGGAAGGTACATACAAAGTGGTACAAAGTGCCTAGAAACATGCGACATACTGCAGGGACTATACACATTCCGCACAAGAATTGAAGCAGTGTCGCACAAAAGCAGTGTTTATAAATAGATAAAAGCCCAATGTTGACTCGACCGGACACTACCCAATAAAAGCGTCAAGATCGCCTTGTATCCCGTTATGGTAAAGATGAACTTTGACGCTCTAGGAATCAAGAAAGAGGTCTAGCTTCATTTATGGCGTTTATCTCAAGAGCAATTTGGAATATATGTAATATATACTGTTATAGAGATGATTACCCAGGATACTGACAAGTTTAAATTGGCAGTGCACACTTTGCCCATTGCACGACAATTCATCCAAGCTCTCCTTTCCATTTCAAGCACATATCTACTTCTGCTTTCCAGTGGGAATGTTGAAAAAGACATCAGGGACACCGGGAGCAGGAACCCGATCCACACGGTAGAAGCCCTTGCGATCGAATTGCAAGACATCGCCAACATTGACCTCGGAGACATTGCAATCGGCCAACCCACTCACACGAAACTCTGTGTTGAAGTTGAGAACATCCTCGAGGATATCATCGTCATTCAGTGAGTCCTTCTTGAGCAGGTAGTCAAAGTCGACCAGCTCGACGGGGACCAGAGTCTGGCCCTTAGTAGACAGCCAAGTAACCTTCTTCTCAGTTTTCTTCACGTCACCAGCCATGTGCAACTCTAGTTCCAGATGCGTCACTTTGTCGGTAGAACCATCGGTGGAGATTGCGCGCACAATTGCATTGCCCCAGTTCATTAGCGTAATCTCCTCGTCCTGGCTGAAGGACTTGGCATCAACCTGCTCGAGAACAATGGACGAGGAAAAAGCAACCACTTTATCGCCAAGAGCGGTATTCTTGACATGTTTTTGACGCTTTTCCGTGTATGGGGTAGCGGGAGCCCCAATGACAGTCGCCTTGACAATGTCCTCGTTTGCAATAGCTGTGTGGCGAGGGGCAACTGGGTCGATGTATTTCTTGTTGGTGGCCCAAATCAAGCCCCAGTCAAATAGCGTCACGTTCTTAGACGGACCCTGCTTGAGAATGAACTCGCGAAGCGCGGGAATAGTCATACCACGACGGCGAATACCACGGATAGTGGGAAAACGAGGATCTAGAATGGTCGTTAGTATCGTCACATAAAGCTAGAGAAAACGGAACGCTTACCATCCCAGCCCCATACGACACCGCTTTCCACGAGTTTAGTTAGCTTGCGCTTTGATAGCAGGGTACGGATGAAGTTCATGCGAGCAAAGTCCCAGACCTGCACATTACGGAGGCTCAGAGTATCGAGCATCCACTGGTACTGCGGGTTGCGGTCTCTGTATTCAATGGTTCTCAGAGCATGGGTGACGCCCTCCATCGAGTCGACTATGGGACAAGCAAAGTCGTACGTAGGATAGATAACCCAGTCATCACCTGTGCGGTGATGAGTAGTAGGTTTGCATCGGTAGATCACAGGGTCGCGTAGGGCCTTGTTCTTGTCATCGAAGGAGATCTTAGCACGGATGCACCACTGTAAGCCCTCGGGAGTTCCCTTCTTCATCTCCTCTAGGTGAGCCAGAGATTCTTCAGGATAGAGGTCATGACGCTGGCTAGGGACGCCGTTCCTCCGCTGGTGCTTCATGATCTCCTTGTCGGTGTCATCGGCATAAGCCTTTCCTGATTTAATAATCTGAAGACAATGGTCGTAGAGTTGATCGAAGTAGTCACTAGTATAGCTGACTTTGTCGGGTCGGATGCCTATGCATAATTGTTAGTACTTCCGATTTTAAAACAAAAAGGGGACGGACCCATCAATGCAAGATCCTCAACAATGGCATCTTCAAATTCCTGCTTCTCGTTCGACGGGTTGGTGTCGTCGAATCTAAGGATTGAGTAAGCCTCTACCATCCTCAGTTTGGGTCACATAGACAAACCGAAGTATAAGAGTGCCGCTATACTTCTCGTCTATTGAAAAGTGGTCGTTAGTAGGGTGTGATTTCCGTAATTAAGACATGGAACGCACGGGTAAAGTAATCGTTCTAGACAAATGGTAATGTTAGCCAGGGATTCAACAGGAAAAGGTGGAAAACAAACCAAAAGAGCGGCTTTAGCATGTCCAATATGAAGGTATCCACTATACACCAAGTTAGTAAAGAAATGTGCTAGCCCTGGAGCATCAAGGGAACATACGAAGGCTCCGGTGGGAATCTGGTGACAACCCCTTTCTCGGTATTCTTGAAAGTCTCACATGGTTAGCCATAAATATCATGAATTGGTCTCATTCAAATGCAGACCTTCAGGGCAATATCGTAGCTGGCACCCTCTTTGGATTTAGCAAGCTTCTTTTCGCGAGAAGCAGCATTTAACGACTCAAAGGCCGATGTGGCCCAAGGGCACAACTCCTCGAGGAACTTGTACCAGCGGGTCAGGTTGAGGAGAGTACCCCTCTTGAGAGCGGAGACAGCAACACGGTTTCCCCGAAGGGCACCCCATAGTGCAATGTCCGCCGTCGAAAGATAATACCCTGAGAGGAAGGACCGAAGGAGCAGGTGAGTATCGAGATGCTTTTTGAATATGTTAGACTAGTCCAAAGCTGCATATAGGTTCTTCTAACCTGGAGGATTGGCTCGAGCGTCTTGAAGTCCAAGGTGTTAAAGAAATCTATTCGAGAGATCCATTCCTTCTCCTAGATGCGACATCAACACTGGAACTTGTCGACTTTTAAAGCCTGATTCGAGGATATGCTAGCTCACCAGCTTAGCATCCTTGCCGACAAGGAAAGGGAACTGCGCGCACAGCTCCTGGATGATAGGAATAGTGCCAGTAACAGTCTTGTCGTCTATCTGAAACTTGATGATTGACTTGTCACCCTCAGTCAGCAGGGAAGTATCCTCCAAGCTGATATTGATGATTGGAGCTCTAAGGGAAGGTTAGTTTGTTTATAGACTCAAGATCTTAGGACCTCCAAGGGAGTTACTAACGGGCGGGCCTCATTAATGGAGGATGCGATTAAGACTACGGGCAACAGCGCAGCATGGTTGGCACAAGTGGCCACGAAAAGTTCGAATTGAGTCATGTTGTACCGTTGTACATGTAAAACTGAGAAAAATGTGAGTGATAGACAAGTTCAAATAAGGCCCCGGGGGAATTCTGCCTGAGTCACCTGTACCGCATCCATGGGCCTGCACAGCCGCAGACCTAGCGCGATTTATGTTCTGGGCTGATCTATTAGCAAGCCAACTATGAATCATACGAGCTCTTTTGTCTACTTACTCTTGCTTTGCATTTGGATTGCACTATTGGAGGCATACATGAGAAGTAGATTTGTATCCTGCATATCATTATTATCCTTTTATAAAATGCACCAGGCGCCGATTTTGATAGAACATAATGTCAACCTGTCAAGCCCAAGGAGCCCAAGCTATGTAGGCTCGGGGGGCGGCCACCTTGGAAGTATCACAGAACATCTACCCAAAGGCGTAGCGTGAACTCGCACGTCATCCAGCTCAAACTTCCACGCCTTTGCAACCCGACTATCTGGCTGATATTCGACATGCGATTGCCACTGTAACATACTCGCACTGGCGTTGTTCTGAAGATTAAGATAAAACCGGCAATAACAATCCATATGAAACTCCATAAGCTTCAAACGGGGCATGCGTTGGGTTGCATAACCCATCGATATGAGAAGCCGGTGGAATTGTTCTTCGTCTATCGCCGATCTTCCACCCCATCTCCGTTCGGGATCGTGCATCCGGTCATTCCACTTGCCATTCTCGATTCTGGCTCGATGCTCCGCGGTATGATTGGAAGTCCATTTTCCTAGTCGATTGGCTTGCTTAAGTAGCCAAAAACATACCAACGGAAAAAGAGATATTCCTTACCGGAAGGAAGCCAGGGAGGCACATCCTCAAATTCCAGTGTTTCCAAATAGGGCCAGTGCAAGGAGCCTATAATAGGCTGGCCTTTTGCATCCAAAGGACATAGAAAATCAAATGCAAGAGTGGTTCTGTTCAATTTCAATTTTCGAAGGTGAATGCTGAGATTTCGCAAATTGATAGTCATGCTATCAATACCCGAAGGGGTGACATTTAGTGCAGGCATACTATGTTTCCACGGGCCATCCTCCGTGCCGTTATAACGAAACACTCTTACGCTGCTAGGAACAATACTGAGCAAGGAAGACAATGCTATAAAACTATTAGTACAAAAGTGTCTAAGCGAAAACACATGAAACTAATGATATAGCTTACATGCTCGCCGTTCTTGTATATAATGTAAGTAATCCGGACGGACCCATTCATTGAGATCCAGCTCCAATTCAGTGATGGTTGGACAGTGTTCGATAATGGTCTGCACTGCCCCAGTCCATATTTGATGGAGCTGGTTTTTGTCATGGGTTCTGTTAAGGAATGAGAGCGTATCAATACACGGAGCGTGCATCATATATAGTTGATGCATACTGTTGACGAAACGTGCCCGATAGGGATAGATCGAAATATTGCGTGTTCCTGTGTATTGATCGAAAGAACGATATGCACCGGCAGTAGGACAGTGCTCAGTATCTGGTTCTATTTTAGGCCATCTATTGTGTCGAGATTCTCGAAGCCCTAGATGCAATTTGAGACGGCAATTCTGGTTCCACGAATGAAGCGTTTGGAAAAGATCAAATATAGCCGTCTGGAAAGCGAAATCGTTGGCCTGCCTTAATTGATTGCTTGTGCTATATTGCGAGTTTTTACTTGTTTTCCAGTCCAGTAATTTGCAGGGGATGATGATGTCGTAGTCCAGCCTTCGGATCCATTCCCGCCGTATGGCACGGCTACCGGATGTGAGTTTTTGAAAATGTGTTAGGGAAATTCCACGTCGCCCTTTTTCTTTATGGTAACTGTCACTATAGACAACGAGATCGGTATATATCAAAGGCTCGAAAGCTGCCTGCCAATAGCGACACACATAAGTGCATGGAATCAAAGTCTCTCCGTCCATTTGCAGAAGTGTTGCAATTTCGTATAGCAGTTCCAGGGGTAGTGATGCCGCCATTACGCTGAGGTGTGTAGATCATAACACTGGGAAGTCGATTGAACCACGGCGACCTTTCAAAAAGAAAGGAGCCACATGGAGAAGAACGAGAAGTTCCAGGAATAGAATCAAAGAGAAGAAAAGGAAGTTCATAAAGAAAAGATAGTGCTGTTTATAATTGAAGGCTTGGTGCCACGTTACTTAGACGTATCACATTATGCTGCAAATGTGATCGATCATTGTAAGCATTAGGCCGAAGGACCTCTAATTACGCCTAACTACTAGTAGTGTTAGGCTAGAGGACCTCAATATTGATAAATACAATTATCTTTAACAAAAATGTCAATAGCTCTTCTAAGACCAGTCTATTTTGCCAGAAGGCTTGTAAGCATCTATAGCTCAGTGCAGGTGGTTCTTCTCGCCAACATCCAAAGCCACTAAAAAGCGACTAACACAGTTATAAGCTGCAATCGTAGCGGTAATCTCAACAACCTCTCGTTCATTAAAGGACCCCTTCAGCTCCGCAAAAACCTCATCAGGCACGGTAACCGTCTTCGTCATAGCATCGGTATACTTCAGCACAGCCCTCTGGTCAGCACTCAAGACCGACGACGCAGCCTCGCTGGAGAAATCTGCTTGGGCATCCCCAATAAACTTCAATGCCTCTGAGCCCAATCCACCTTCCGTAAGCAGAGGTGCATGTTGTTCCCACTCGAACAGGGCGCCGTTGACTACTGCGACGCGGCAGATGGCTAGTTCACGGATGACAGATGTGAGGGTGGTTCGGGTGCGGATTGCGCCAATGAATGAGTTCCAGCCTTCTGTGACTGGGTAGGAGTGCAAGAGTGCTAGATCGAGGGGGAGGAGCGGGTTTGGGGCTCGGCGCGCTTGCACGCTGGCAAGGATTCTCGCTTCATCTGGTGTGCTAGTTGCTGGAGGGTCTGCAACATATGGGAGACGCATGGTGGGTCGTATGGAAGGGTTGGAGGTGATCTTAATTGGAAGTTGGGTTGTTCAATGGCTAGATTTGAGTGAAATCTGGGGTCTGTGGTTTGATTTCAGTTGAGATGTGACTCAATAGGCTGTGCTTTGGAGCAGACAGAGCAACCATGTATCGGCAACCCCGCGCGGGTCCATATGGGGCGGATAAGTCAAAGCCGCGGGAGTCGGGTTTGCGCTTCCGAGTTCCGCAGTATTTAGTCTGATTTTGCTTGAAATTTCAGGTGTGGGCCTGTAAAGAGAAGATGTCAAGATGTGAGGATGAGAAGATAGCTGGCATTGTGTACAAGGGTGCTCTGTACTGTGCGGGGTGACACATTTAAATTCAAGGTCGCCCAGGTGGTCCAACATCCAATGTGTCCAAGGCTTGTATTTTCTCTTGGAATTGAATAAAATATTCGAATTAAAGAATGAAAGCATTAACATCATCTGTTTAACCAAATTTGACTTTCATCAAGCAGCTGCAGTCAGTGTTGTTAGTCTTGGCACATGATCTCCACAAGTTCAGAAGCTCCCAAGGTGTCGTCACCTCTCCTGAACATTGTTCCCCCCAAACAAACATGCCTCCAAAGGCCCCCAAACCCACAAGTGACGAGCTTCTAGCTCAGTTTGACGACCTCGGTCTTGACAAATCCGGCAACAAAACATCTAAAGCTATCGTATCTGACAATGCCAAGGGCGGGCAGGAGGACATCCTGGCCGAGCTGGACCACCTAGCCACACAGCGTCCAGCGAGTGGACCAGGCACTCCGCGCCTGTCTTCCGATAAGCCCAGGCCATCTACACGTTCTCCCCGCCCGAGCGCGACCATCGACCGATCGACCGAGGACAAGGCGCCGGTCCGCCAGTCTGAGGAGACCGGCCGGTCTTCACGCACAGAAACCAAGCCAGAACAGCCCAAGGCTGAGCCTGAGAATGTCCCCACACAGCAAACAGCCCAGGAGGGGGCTGGCTGGTGGGGTGGATGGTCAGGAGGCCTGTTCGCAACGGCCACCGCGGCTATGAAACAGGCCGAGGCGGCTGTCAAGGAGATCCAGAATAATGAGGAAGCACAGAAGTGGGCTCAGCAAGTCAAGGGCAATGTTGGAGCTCTCCGTGATCTTGGTATGGATCATCCTACTCAAAACATGCTCTCCTACATGCAGACGGAGCTAACTGGCACACGCAGGCGGCGAGCTTCGAGACAGGGCAATCCCGACATTCACCAACCTCATCCACACCCTTGCCCCTCCTATTTCTTCGCATGAACGTCTACAAATCCATGTGACTCACGATATGTCCGGCTACCCGGGCATCGACCCTCTCGTCTATGCGGTATTCTCACGAGTGATGTCCCAAGTTGAGGGCGGAGACCTGTTGGTGATCCAGCGGGGCCAGGAGTCATCCCCGAAGCGCGGAATCGATGTTACCGGCTACATGACCAGTGCCGGATGGAATGACGGGCCCTGGTGGCGGACGGTTACACCTGGACAACCGCGGAGCATCTCTTCCGTGCGAGGCACCGTGGAAGGTTCCAAGCTCGCGCGAGCCAGCGCCGAGTCCTACGCTACCGAGTACTTCTCGTCCCGCGGTGGAGTCGAAGAGGCTGCAAAGCACGCCTCGGAAGTCCTGAGTGAATCGAATCCGGTCCGCAGCAGCGATATCTTCCTGGCTATTCAGGCTATCAGCCAGACTACTTCCAAGGACCTCTTCCAGGCGGGTGCGACGGGCGAGAAGGCCACCGAAGGAGCCGTGGAAGCTGATACGCAAGAAGAGGAGATCTCCTTCGCGCTGTATCTTCACGACCCCATTCATGGCATTGCCTTCCACGCCATCTCCCAGAGCATCCCGCAGACATGGATTGAATGGCTCGATGCTTCGGTGCCCGCCCCCGAGAACCCCGAGGCCGCGGATGCGAATATTCAGCGCATTGTAGTGCCCGAAGCCATCGCTGAGGTCATCGAGAGTGGAGGTGTTGACCCCCGCGAGTGGGTTTCGGAATGGATTGAGGAAACTCTTTCGCTGACCGCTGGTATTATCGCGCAGCGATACGTGGCTCGACGAATGGGCGTCGGC